CTTCAATCTGATTAAGAGTAAGAGATTAAAGTGGAACAGCATCACTGTATCTGTGAATATCTATTTTAATCTTGTAAAGACTCTGTAAGCTTCTGAGATAAGAAAGTTCTCACAGTTCTTTCTTCTTAATAATCTTTTTATTCTCTATTTATGAGATGACTTCTTCTTGTTTTCACCCTTCAGCATGTCTGTAAGAACTAAGAAGATTCTTATAAATGTAAAGATAAATCATCTATAGAAATTCACAAAGCTCAGAAAGATCTGAATCTCATGAATACTAGTTAGCTTCAGTTATGATAGAATAGTCTCAATCTGTGAAGATTTCATCTGAATATCATTTATAATGATTATATATTCTAGAAAATTAATTCAGCAGACACTGAAGTTGCACTTTGTAAGCTTAATATACAGTTCTGTCTCATCTAAGACCTTCAACACACTTCACACATGCTCAGTGTGTTCTTTCTTCTTTATAAAGTACATCATCACATCATTCAGATATATTACTACAAAGATATTTAGATATATATGAAGTGTTTTATTGATGAAAGACTGAAATGTTACAGAGATATTAGTCAGATTAAAAGATATCACTAAATATTCAAACAATCTCAGTACAGTTCTAAAGACAGTCTTTCATTCATTCTCAGACTGTATTCACAGCTGTGTATATGCATTGATCACATTCAGTTGTGTGAATATAACAGCTCTCATGAGATAGTTGATTACATTCTCAATCAGAGACAGAGAATAACAGCTCTTTATTATCTTGAAGTTCAGATTATAATAGTCTATACACAATCTGAAATCTTTATTCTTCTTCTTCATAAATATCACAGAGACTTCTGCAGAGATCTGTGAAGATCAGATGAAGTTATTCTTCAGATTCTTCTTTACATAGATCTGCAAGACCTCTGTCTTGTGATGAGAGAGCTTATAGATTGATTCTTAGAAGAATTTCTATTCTTCTATCAAATCTATTATCAGATTCTTCTTACAATGAGAAGAAAGCTCAGCTGCCTTAGCTGAGCTGAACATCTCTGTGAGATCTTGATATTTCTCTGATATCTGAAGCTCAGTTTTCATGACTGTGAGATTCTCAGACACTTGTAAAGTCATTATATAGATGAGCTTGTCTTCTCTAATCAACTCTGCAGTATCAACTGCTTCTATCTCTGTGAGTGAGTCTGTTAACACTGATCAGAAGTATAAATCTGACTCACAGACAGCTATGTGTGAATTATGTCTTTGAAGTTATATAAGTCTCAAATACATATCATCTGTGATGTCTGTGATAATCATAGTTTCTATAAATTTTCTTCAGATTTCAGAGAGATCTTGCAATTCAAAGATAACTCTCATGAGTCTCTCAGCTCTCAGATCTGAGTTCTCATATCCTGCTTATTATAAGAGCAGGTTCTCAGTCTTCATCTTTCAGCTCATTTACTCTGTGAGCTTTAGAAACATCACAGTGACCTGAGATTCTGAGTTCATTAATACTTTTCATACTTGTGAGACAGCAGTACTGTGATATGATCTCTCTCTGTGAGTAAGTATTTTCATTGAGAGAGTAACAGATTCAGGTGTCAGCTTCAAGACTTTTAAGAAGACTGTTACTGACTCTGTCTGTGACTTCTTAAATTTCTATTTTAATTTATTCAGACAGTTTGTGTGAAGATGTTCTGATTTAAAACAGATGAAGCAGAGTCTCTTTTTCTTAATCTCTCTATTATATACTCTGTTTATAGAAGCTTATGAAGCTCTCTCTCTCTACTCAGCAGTCAGATACAAATCTCTCTGTGTCTTATCATCTTTTTCTGACAAATCTGTTCTCTGTTATTCTGATTCTTGTAGAGTCAGTCAATGATCTGCTCTCTGCAGATCTGTGACTCTCACAGTAATTTATAAGTGATGAATAAGAGTCATCAGTTTCTTCAGAGTTAAGAACTTAGAGTCTTGCTCAATGAGCTTGTTCTGCATGTCTTTATTCAGTCTCTTTACAAATATCATTATTCAGGTCTTATTTCAGAGCCCTGTTTTCACAGGTCTCAATTCATGTTATAATTTTATAAAGTACTGTGAGTAGTCTTCATCAGATTTCTCATCTCTTTTTCTAATATTAATAATTATGATTCAGATGTTCTCTGTTCAGCTCACAGAGTTTCTCAACTTATTCTCTAAATAGATCTTGAGAACAGATCATCAGAATCTCTCATAATCATTCTCTAGATAATTCAGCCAGTTCTTAACTTCAGTGTAATAGAGGTCTGTCATTGCATAGATGACAGCTTCTTCATCTTTCATATCACACAGTCAGGCTTATGAGTCAATTTCAAATGCAAACTTGTAAAAGCTTTTATAGATTGTGATTCAATAGATGACTTTAAGTGATTATAACTTGAGAAAGTTTCTTTTCAGTTCACAGGTATTTCTGAAGATCATATCTAGAGACTCAGTTTGAGAGTGTTTGCAGACAGTAAGCATTTCTTATAGAAAAATAGCTTAATTCTATGAAAGATGCTCAAGAATGTTCTTCACTGAGATTGATTTATTCATGAGTTCAAAGAGTTTCTCTGTCACAGATGCAGAGAATGATATCTCATAAGTGATTGATAAGTTCTCTGAGACTTCTTTTACAGGAATTATTCATGATTCAGATGACTGCTTCTGAGTGTCTGCAGTAGAGTTCACAGGGATTAGAGTGTGTAAGTTTCTAGTTCTTTCAGTTATAACAGGCAGTTGCTGACTGACTGAGCTTGAAATATAAGAATAAGTGCTCACAGGTAATTATTTGAGTGTTTGCAGCTTGATGTGATATGTACTGTTAACTACTAGAAGTGTTCACAGTAGAAAGATAAATGTAGAGATCAAATGTATAATAGCATTCAAGCTGAGTTGTGAATAGTATTCGCGAACTCCAGTCTATATAGTTGTGTGTAGCCAAGGGCTGCTAGCCCTATTGATTACATGAGAGATAGGAATAGGGGTAAAGGATCCGCGAGGAGCGGGATTTCTTACACAATATATAAGAAATAAGAGAAATAAACAATCAGTTAAGCAGATACTGAGTTCTCAGATAGAAGTTTACTTATCAGTTACTCTGACTCTGTAATAAAATCTTATAAGAGAATATCAGTAAAAGATCTGAGAGTTCTGACATCTTAGACATATAAAATATTCATACAATTACACTTCTTCTGATTTCACAGACTGAAATTTTTATTGAATAATCAACAAAATGAGAAATAAAAAAAAGTGAAAGAAGAGAGAAATGAGTTCTTCTATTGATTTAAGCAAGTGAGCTCATTACCACTGACTGTTGTAAAGGAAATGACTCCATCAGGTAAACCTGACAGATTTGAAGAGCTCTATGGCATGGTGACTGCAATAGCGGGTGACTAGTGGGTGATAAGGGTGATTCAAGAAGGGCGAGGAGGGTGAGCATGAGGTGAGGATGTGGTGAGGCTGGGGTGAGGATGTAGCAGCGAGGGACCGGCACTAATACGGAAGAGGAAGATCCAAATCTCCGATTAACTATGTAATTAATAGCAGACGGGGGAGGAAGGCGGGGAACGGGGTTGCTTCAGTTAGTTATTTATTAGTTATTCATCGTGTTGTGTGGCTGGTTTTAGAATTTCCGGGTGGGGAAAAAATTTCTGCAAACCTTGCGGGGGTTTTTTTCCTTTTTTTTTATTTTTATTAACTATTTCATATTGACATTCCTTTGGATTAGTTAAATACTTCCCCCACCCACAATCTCCTCCGCGCCGCTGCTAAGAGAACGGATTTTCCCAAGGCTTAATTCATGCTGGGCGCTGGGGGCCGCGGGCATTGGGGACGGGGTGAATGGGATGGAGTGGAATAGAATAAAAAAACACGAGGTTCTTGAATAGATAGATAACTACATAGAGGTGCGCACATAATAATGATGGAAGTTGGCTGTATGCGTAGGGATAGGATAGCGGCGGGGGTTGCCTGTAGTAGCATTCGAGGAGGATATTTAAATACACAAGGATAAGGTATTATTATATAAATATTTATGGTAACTAGCGGGTTCTGGAAGGAATGGCGGGAGGGGAGAAGGAACATTACATCAACGTGGAAGCAGTGGAAGCAGTGGAAGCAGCCGACGATGTATGAAAAATATATAGAGATATACATATATATATTGTGTAACTACGCTGTATGTATAGTAAATATTTAACTGTTTGATGTTTCTCCTTCTTCAAAGGCTTCAAAGCACATCAGAGTCACCACTAGTTATTTATCCACGATTTCTGGTCTATTTAGCCAACAACAACCACAGATATTCAGACAGACAGACAGACAGACAGACAGACAGACAAGACACCACTTTCCGCGCCCTCTGCGCTGCCTCTTAAATATCAACAACAACAACCTCCACCACAACCATTTCCCACGGAATAGCACCCATTGCTGCTCTGTAACGCCTTCATCCGCCTCTCCTGGCCCCAATTCTATGACCCTGCGTCCGCATTCTCCCTTCCCCGAAGCTCATAGCTGCCTGTCGTGCCCTTGCCTGCCTGCTTGCTAGTCTGCTCCGTGCAGGGCTGGCGCTGAAATCTCTTCACTGCGTCTAAAATCGCTTCATCTTCCGCCTTCCGCCTCCGTTTCCTTCTGGGCCCCCTCTACCAACTCCACCCTCCATTTGCTCCTCTTCTTCTCTGCTCCCGCTGTCTATTATTTTTTTCTCTGGTTCCTGCTGCTGCTGGGACTGGAAAATAATACTATACTCAACCTCATTAAGTTGCGTTGCACATCTGTCTCCTCCAGCCGTCCCCTCATATATCACCACCAAGTGACTTACCTCCACCTAACCCACCACTTCAACCTCTCGCTCACTCACTCCCCCCCCCCCCCCCCCTCCGGGGGGAAATAACGGAACGCTCCCTTTTTCCTTCTCGAACGTATATGCCCGTACTAGCGACTGCTATCTTCCCTCATAAACCGTCTCCGACACATCTTCGTTTCATTCAATCATGGGACAGACTTTGTCGGAGCCTGTGGTAGAGAAAGTGAGTTGCCCCGCTTTGCTGCTTTGTTTTTGTTTGCTCAGAACACAGATCCCAAACGCCCGCTCTACGGAACCTGGAACCACCTTCCCCCCACCCTCTCAATTCATGGCTACTCGATTGTTGTTTTTCAAGGGACCTGTTTATTTCCTTGCGATAAGCTCCCTGCTTTCTGGCTTGGGGGCACGGACCTATCTTGTTCTGTGCCTGGTACATGACATTTACATGCCTCGAAGGAGGAAGAAGGAGACGCGAGGGGAAGGGGGACTACCATCAGGAGTTGAAAATCTTTTTGACCCTGGCTGATATTAAACCGTTTCCCCTTGTTTGTTTGTGATGATGAATCTTGCTAACATGGCGTGATTTTCTTCCCCGCACTCGTTGAATACAGATATCAGATGAAGGCCAAGATGAATGCGTACTCTACGGAGTATCTGCGATGCAGGGGTGGAGAATAAGTATGGAGGATGCACACGCCGCAGTCCTGGACCTGCAAGCCAAATACCTAGACAAGGCGCACCGTCCAACCCACCCCGACAAACGCTTATCTTTTTTCGGTGTCTACGACGGTCACGGCGGTGAAAAGGTCGCCCTGTTTGCAGGAGATAATGTCCACCGCATCGTTACGCTACAAGACTCTTTTGCAGAGGGGGATATTGAGCAGGCTTTGAAGGATGGCTTTTTGGCAACTGATCGGGCTATTTTGGAAGGTCGGTCCCACACACTCATATCCATTCAAAGCAATCTTACCTCTATAGCGATCTTCCATTTTACGTTTCACTTTCTCTCGCTTCCTCCTCCTCCTTCCTGTGTTCTGGACTAATCACTGCCAATTCCAGATCCTAAATATGAGGAAGAAGTCTCGGGCTGCACAGCTTCTGTTGCAGTCATTTCTAAGGATAAGATCAGAGTAGTATGTGCTCCTCCGTGTTTTTCTTCATTTGTGTCATGACAATGCTGTTGGTGTCTTTGTATATACTGATTGCATCCTCACAGGCGAATGCTGGAGACTCGAGATCTGTACTAGGAGTCAAGGGGAGGGCGAAACCGCTATCGTTCGATCACAAGCCACAAAACGAAGGTTCGTTTGAATCCATTTCTCCGCCTGCAACGTTTTATAAATTTCCCCAGCGATCATTTTCGACTTTGCTCATAATGTGAACAGGTGAAAAGGCCCGAATAAGTGCTGCTGGCGGCTTCGTTGATTACGGCAGAGTCAATGGCAACCTCGCACTGTCCCGTGCACTTGGTGATTTCGAGTTTAAGAAGAGTGCAGATCTCGCGCCAGAACAACAGATTGTTACTGCTTATCCTGACGTAACTACACATGAGATTACAGAGGATGATGAGTTCCTTGTGATTGCTTGTGACGGTATGATTTTTATCTTCCTTCGTTTCGAAGTTTTTTTTTGTTTTTTGTTTTTTGTTTTTTTTCGGGGAAAAACGCCCTTGTTCTGTCGTCTAACATGCTATTTTTAGGTATCTGGGATTGCCAGTCCTCACAGGCGGTGATTGAATTTGTTAGACGGGGTATTGCTGCGAAGCAGGAGCTATATCGGATTTGTGAAAACATGATGGATAATTGCTTGGCTTCTAATAGCGAAACGGGAGGCGTCGGGTGCGATAACATGACTATGGTCATCATTGGGCTGCTCCATGGAAAGTCTAAGGAGGAGTGGTACAAAACTATTGCAGACCGGGTTGCAAATGGTGACGGGCCATGCGCACCACCTGAATATGGTATGTTTTGTTCCCTATATCTGTCCCCACCCCCCACGCGTAGGGTCGTTGAGCTGACGAGGAATTTTATTTTATCCCTCCAGCGGAATTCCGTGGCCCTGGCGTCCGCCGTCAAGGAGACGAAGGCCTCGATGACTACGAGCCCGATCTCGACACGCGACTCAGAGGAGGGAGATCGGGTAGAATCATCTTGCTAGGCGATGGCACCGAAGTGCTGACTGACATGGGCGACGACGAGGATATGTTCGATCATACCGAGGAGGATAAGGATCTTGAGAGCCAGGTGCGCAAAGGCGGCGCGGGAGCTGAAAGAGCGGATAGTGCAGAGGATACCGCTAGGAGCGAGCGAGGAGGTACACCGGGTCCCCTACAACAGCAAGGGCAGCAACAGCAACAATCGAATCGCCAAGGTACCCCTAACGCGCAGTCTGAATCGCCTGGTGTAATCTCTGCGTCTCCTTCGTCCACAAGTCCGAATGATATCTTACGCGGTAGCGAGAGACGGTCTACCTCATGATTGTTATTTCTTTCCTAAATTAATCTACACTTTTCTCCCTTCTTTTACATCATCGTCTTTCCCTCTCTTGTGTTCACCCCTATTTTCTCCTCAACAGTGTTTTCTGTCTCTTTTCCTTTCTTCTATTTTATTTTCCCTTAAAGATCTTGCTTGTTCCCGGGTACGGTATGATTCTTATTCTTTTTATTCTTATCTACGGTACAAACACACGCCTTCACACAACCACGCACACCAACATAACTCGGATTATTTTATGATATATAAGCTTTTTTCCCTTCTTTTTGCACCTTTTTTTGTTTACACTCGCAAAATCAAATATATAAGTTAATCGCCAAGCGCCTTTCCATCCCATCCCTTCTCCCCCTGTCCCCTACCACTATCACCGCACCTCCATCCTCAACTTAAATCTTAAAGTATTCTGTCGGGGAAATGGATGTGATGTTGAAAGAGTTGAGCGAATTGGGTTGGGTTGTTATTTGGTGTTCCTTATTTTTTGCTTTGCATGTGCCTTTGATTTTTTTTTGGATTTTTAAGTGTGTTTGTTTTTCTTCCGTCCTTTTCTTCTTCTTCTTCTCTTTGCTATTTCTGTCTCTCCCTTTCGCTTTTTTCTCTCTCTATCCTTGCTTTTATGATTTTCCTGTTATATTCTTCATGGCAACGTCTTGAATTTTTTTTTTCCTTTTTTTTTCTTTTTTTCTTTTTTTTTTTTTTTTTTTGCATGTGTAATCTCTATTTTACTGTTTTTGCTGTTTTAACTTTTTTTCGCAACTCTTACACATGCTTCGTCTGTGATTATTTTATTTTATTATTATTACTATTCCTCTGTCTTCTCTCCTTTTTATTTAATATATATATATATATATATATATATATATATTTCTATATATATTGAATTCACTCTGATATATGGATATATGGACAGATATGACACTCCTGCGCGCGGGTCATAGATGCATACTTACATACGTGCACAGAGGCGTGAGCTCTATGTCAACTAGGCTTGAATTGATTTTGAATCTTTGAGTTGACGATTTGGGTTTTGATCAGGATAATACAGACGCCGGGAGGTATACAGGAGAAGAGGAGGGGGGGGGGGAAGTTAAGCTATACGGACAGATCCGATCCGATAGAAGAGAAGAGAAGAGCATGGAAAGAAGACAGAAACAAGTGTATATGTTCTCTCTAACATAGTAAACGTTGCATTTCGGCATTTAGTGTGCGGGTGCGGGGCTTTCCCGGCCCTACCCCTTCTGTTTTCTTGCTAGAAATAGAACTCTTCTCCTTTCTTTTTCTCTCTCTTGTTTTTTTTTTAACTTCTTTATGGTGGTTGGTGGTGGTTGGTTGTTTGGCTGATCTGGATTTTTTCCCTATGTTTTCCTGCTTGTAGCAATTGGAGCGAAGAAGGGCAAGCAAGTAAGTAGCCTCTGGCTGGTTTTAATTCGGGGTTTCGGGGTTTTCCAATTGGTAGAGTTTTCATCGTTCTTCTGTTGGGGGTCCCGCGGTTGGTCGGCCCTTCTACCAGCAGTGCGCTGGTGGTGATTGAGCTCTTTTGCCCCAGTAGCCTACAGGTTATGAGCCCGTTAAGCGTGAGCCCCGCTGTGGTCAACATGCATAGGTTCGATCCCAGAATGGACTTAAAAATTCCTAACAAATACCCTGGACATTTTAACAGTGCCAAGAGACATCCCAGGAGTGTGCCCTAGAAGTCCTGTGAGCCCTAGGACTGAGTGGTCCAGTCCATTATTAAAAAGGAGCCATTGTGGGGAGGCCACTGAAGGGAGCCACTGAGGGGAAGTACTGTACTCTGTGGTAGCTGGTCCGAGGGGGGGTGTTGGGGGTCCCGCGGTTGGTCGGCCCTTCTACCAGCAGTGCGCTGGTGGTGATTGAGCTCTTTTGCCCCAGTAGCCTACATCTTCTTCATGTTGTAGTAGTTATGTTATGTGTATATATATATAATACATATATGTATGGAAAGTGCCTTGTTATGATAAAAGCCAAGTCTGGAAGGTCTGGAAGGGGGCAGTGGCTTAGTCATCGCCCGTCTCGTCTTGCTGCACAATGCAATGGATCAGAATAGCCTCATCTTTGCCTGTTTGGGACGGTTTTATCAACTACGCAGCGAAACCTGTCCTGTCCTATGTCCGTTTCTCCCTCCTCTTCCCCTCTTTCTCCCGCTATTTATTATTCTTATTCTTACCCCCGTTGCATCATTACCAGATCTCCCTTTCCCTCTCTCTCCCTCTTGTTTGCCATCCTAGCTCGCCCTTAGTGCCGGACCAACAGCAACCTCCAATCTTCCAATAATCTCCAATCCAACCTCCCAGCGTCTTGGTCTAACCAACTTACCAAGGGTGCAAATTATAGTGGCCCCTTCTCAGCCCGGCCAACCACTGCTTCCATCCTCCACCGCCGTCCACCGAGTGCCACTGTTCCCTGCTTCTTCGGCCAACGGCATAATTTTGCGGGCTTGACTCTGCCCTGCACGCTCTGCTCTGCTCTTCCCGCGGGCCACGGGCCATGGCGTTTCTGGACTGTACTACGGAGTCCTATTATATTTAATATTATTCTGCTTCTTCGGATTTAATCATCACTCTTCCTCTAAACCACCTCACCTAGCTTCCAACGCTTGATTATTGAGCGTTACCGTGCAAAACAATAAATCTCTGCTTCTTTTTCTCCTTGCTCGAATCTCTCCAGAGGAACAAATCCAATCCCCCCCTTGTTTTTCTTTTTTGCTCCCTTCTCTCCCAACTCCCCGCTGGTTACATCCGATCCTATCGACGGACACACACCACAACGGTTCTTCTCCCCTTTTTTCCCCAGCTCAACTTGGCTTTGGGCGTTGCTCGCCCCAATTGGACCGGATACAAATCGTCCCGTCGTCGAACAGAGTGCTTCCCGGCCAGCTCCTTCCAGTCCGTGCCAGGACGCGAAAGGGGGGGAAAAAAATTTAAAAAATAAAAAATAAAAATAAATTGCACAAAAACCAACCCTTGAACATCGAGAAAAGCCCACACACAACAACGTCTTTTTATCCTTGGTTCTATCTTCTCTTCCTCGTTTTGACAATTGAAATCATCGTTCGCCATCAGCTCATAGTCGGTACCAACATACACACATACACACACAAAATCAATTGACCATGTCGTCCCCCTCCTCCATCAGCTCCACGAAACGGAAGCGGAGCTCCTCCCACCTCACCGCAGCTCCCATCCCTAAATCCTCCACTACAGACCTCCTCCAGCCCTCCTCCCGTGATGCCTCTGGCGAGGACGCTGACGACTCTACCTCATCATCGGCCAAACACAAGAAGCCCTCTCCATCATCCACGGACGCCGCGACCAACCCACCCTCCAAACGGGCCCGTACCCGCTCCACCACAGCAGATAACTCTGCCGCTGCTGCACCAGTGACACCCGCCCACGGCACTCCCTCCTCCTCCCCTAGCAAAAATAACAACAATAGCATCCACAAAGAAGACCCCGGTGAACCCTCCGAGACCACCGAGGCGAGCATTGATATCGAGAAGCGGACGAAGCGGCATGCGGCGCCGTCGCTGTTCCGCACGCCGAGCCTGGCTGCGACGGTGACGACGGCTTCTGCTGCGACGGTGGCGGCGCAGGAGGAGGGCCGCATGAAGCCGCCTGAACGTGCCGGGCTGCAGGATCCGGCGGGCTATCATACCAACCCGCCGCCGACGGGGAGGCCGGTTCGAGTCTATGCGGATGGAGTGTTTGATTTGTTTCATCTTGGGTATGTCTCTTTTTTCTTTTTTTTGGGTTTGTTCTGCGGCTACTTTTTGAAAGGCGAAACAGCTAATGGGAGATTTCTTTTTTCTTTTATATACATGATATAGCCACATGCGCCAGCTGGAACAAGCCAAGAAAGCTTTTCCTGACACATACCTTATCGTCGGCGTCACGTCTGACCATGAGACGCACAAGCGCAAGGGGTTGACCGTGTTGACTGGCGCGGAGAGGTCGGAGACTGTCCGCCATTGCCGATGGGTTGATGAAGTCATCCCCGATTGCCCCTGGATTGTCACACCGGAGTTCCTCGAGGAGCACAAGATTGACTATGTCGCTCATGACGATTTACCTTACGGAGCCGCGGAAGGAGATGATATCTACGCTCCGATCAAGGCGCAGGGCAAGTTCCTTGTTACGCAGCGGACAGAGGGTGTTAGTACCACGGGGATTATTACTCAGTATGTCGTTTTCTTCTTATTCTACCTTTGTTTGCTGGTGCCCACCGCACCTACTTTTTTGAATAACACCTACCTAACCTTCCACCCCCCAACAGCATCGTCCGCGACTACGAAAAATACATCACCCGCCAACTAAAACGCGGCACCACCCGCCAAGAACTAAACGTCTCCTGGCTCAAGAAGAACGAGCTCGAGATCAAACGCCACGTCGCCGAGCTGCGCGATAGCATCAAGAATAACTGGTCCGTCACGGGCCAGGAGCTGGGTAAAGAACTGCGCCAGTTCTGGTTGAACAGCCGGCCCTCGAGTCCCGCGCGAAGTAGCGTGGATGGCAGCGGCGGCGGGTTTGTGTTTGGTGGCAGTCATCGAGGGAGTCCGGGGCATAATAATAATAATAATAATAATAATAACAATAACAACAACAACAACAACAACAATAATAATAATAATAATGGGAATGGGTCCTATTTTGGTATTGGGAACGGGAGCCGGACGCAGTTGGGCCGGTTGGAGATTCCGAGTCGGCCGGAGAGTCCCGGGGTTGGTGTTGGGGCGGGGCGGAGCGAGGATTTTGCGACGGGGTATAGTTTGGGTTTGATTGGGGGGGTTAGGGCTTGGGTGAGTTTGTTTGTACCCTTTTTCTTATTCATCCTCCGATATTAACATGGAAACAACCAACACCAACAGATGACCCGCAGCCGCACCTCACTTCACGACACAGAAAGCCACGCCTACCACGCGTCCTCGCCGTCGGGTAGCGATGAGGATCGCGAGAATGGAGATCGGAAAGCAAGTTCCTCGACACAGCAGCGGGGACGGAGTAAGGAGGCTGTTACGGGGTAGTGTGGTAGGCGGGCAAACGAGGCGGATAATAATACTGGGCTGCGTTGCTAGATGCTCCCATTTCGTCGGTTGTGGATGGTTTTTGACGCGGGGGAATGGGATGGGTCGGGGCGGGATAGGGTGGGAGAAGAGAGGTGGATGAGGTGTCTTTTTTCTCTTTTGGGCCGTTCTGTTCTCCTTCCTGTCGCAGAGGGGAGGTGGGATGGATATAAGGTTCTTTTCGGCCCTGGGCTTCTCGGGAGAACTACTCGGGGGTAAGAATGTGGTTATGTTTGTGTGATGTAGTCTCGGGGTATGCGTTTGTGTATGTGTATGCGTGGACTTGAGAAGATAGAGGTCTGAAAGAGGGCTGGCTGAGGGGGGGGTACGGTACAGAGAGGGGTGTCGTGTCTTTTTTTTTTTTTTTCTCTTATTCTCCGCTTTTCCTGGGTTTGTTTGTATGTATGTACATGTACATGTTGGCTTTTCGTTTTTCATTTTTCATTTCCTTTTCCGTTTTTAAATTTTTTACTAGATGGTGATCCGAAAGGGGAAAAAATGGAATGGGAAAAATGAATTTAAAAAAGAATGGATATAATATATGGATATGAAGAAGCTCAAAAAAAGTGAGATGGTGTTATATCTATGTATACGAGGACTTCCGTTTCTTTAAGTTACCTGATCGTATAAAATATAAAGGGCATTGGAGGTTGGGAGTGGCATTTGTATTTGTTAATGGGATGGAGGAAGAGAAAAAAAAAACAAAAAAAGAAACAGATTCGAATATTGTCTGGGCATTTCTGCTGTAGTTCTATTTACAGTACATAATCAAAATGAATTTTTTATCTATCCCTATCCATCCATCCATCGCTATGCGTCTTTTATATCTCGTATATCATGTTCCCAAAAAGGGGGAGGGGGACAATACATACCATACCGCCTGGCAACAACCCCCCCCCCCCCTTTTCCACCTTCCAAGTCCTATCTTCCCTTTTTAATAGTTTCTCTAATATCCACGTCAATATACAGGTTCATCCCATCGTCTGTCCACTTTCTCGTAATGGGATGTGGAGATTCACCTCGCCAGCCCCATCCGGTTCAGCGCCCATTCCCATTCCCATTCCCATTCCCACCACCAACATTATCATTGTCAAAGTCGTAATCATCATAATCATCATCATCATCGTCATCATCATCGTAATCAGCCAAAAGTCCCCTTCCCTCCTCTACCTCTGCCTCTGCCTCTGCCTCTGCCAGCCGTACATCCTCCGCGTTCCAGGATCGCGTATGCTTGGATCCTTCTCCCTCACCCTGAGCCTCAATAGCACCCCCACCACTGCCGTCCTTCTCCTTCCCCCGCTCCTTCACCAACGCAACGTAAATCGCACTGGCCAAAATAATCGCCGACCCAGCCCAACTAACCGGCGACGGCGTCGCGTTGAATACCAACTTGTCATACAGCAGCGCAAAGAGCATCTGCGTGTATACCATGGATGTTGCTTTGGAGCCGTGCGTGGAGGAGGATGGTTTCGCATTTTCTTCCTTCTTCATCACTTCGCTACTCCCCCGTTGCGCGGCTTCTTCTCCTCCCTCCCTAGCCCCCTCGCCAACCTCCCCTACTACCCCGTCCTGCTCTACATCCACATCCCTACCCCCACCCCCACCCACGCCCACGCCCACGCCCACGCCAGCATTCTCACCCCCCAGAACCCCTCCCACCTCCTTTTCCCTTTCTTCCATAACCGACGGCGGCGGTACATACGACAAGCCGGCCGTGAGCAAAAACTGCAATAGGAACCCGCACGTCCCCAGGCCGAGCAGGAGCAGAAGTTCCGCCATGTTGCCCGGCAGCCGGAAGCTGATGGCCGGTATCAGCGCGACGCCCAGTAGCGAAATGATGGTGGTTATGCCGCTGAAATACGTGACGCTGACGAGCGGGGTGCGTGCGTTTCCCGATGATGCGGATGGAGGTGTAGGCGACCGTGGCGCCGGTGACGCCTAGGAGCGCAGCTAGGGTGCCGAGGGGTACGTTGGTAGGGATCTTGGGGCTGCGCCTGTCGCGGATACCTGCTCCTCCCACTGCTGCTGCTGGTGCTGCTGCTGGTGATGGTGCTGTTCAGCAAACCCACGAAACAACGACGCGGGGCCTTGCAATCAGCACGACGACCACCAGCGACGACAGCGCTGCTAACTGCTGTCTGCGCGTGAAGGTCTCGTTGGGCATGGTTAGCGAGCAGGCGTAGCAGCTGCCGATGGGGGCTAGGAAGGTGAGCACGGTGGCTTCCGAGAGGGCGAGGTAGAGGAGCGAGTAGTAGAGGCCGAAGACGCCGATGAAGCCGCTTACGCCGCGTAGGAGGAGGAGGGGCCGGATGGAGCGGATGCCGAAGGGGTGGGGGACGCGGGCGTAGAGCATGTAGAGGAAGCTGAGGAGGACGGTCATGCCCATGCGGGCGAAGAGGATCTGTTTGGAATCATTTCCGTGAGCCTTTTTTTTCTTTTCTAGGCATTTATTGAGGGGTGGGATGAGATATCATATCATATATGGCATATGCAAGGTTCATGGTGTATAGTTAAGAAAACAAAATTGAAAAAGAATATATAGTACACACCTGAAACGGATGCATTCCCTTCCCATGGCTCCCATCCAGCTGCAGCGTACGGGTCATGACATTCATAGACGAGCCGAAGAATTGCGCCAGCATCACCATGACCATCCCCTTGCTCATGAGCCATGTGTGCCGGAGCTTGCGGCGCCATGATTGCACCACGGTGCTCCGTTTGTCCTCACTGCTTGCGCCCCTTGGTGGTTCGCAGCTGGCTGGAGGAGAGCGGTGGGCAAGCGTAGATTGAGAGCCCGATACATCATTATTATGAGTAGGAGGAGGAGTAGTAGTAGTAGTAGTATGGCTAGGTAGTAGGGCGTCCGCTGGGCATGAGTGTGAGCGGATGGAGGGAGAGGGAGCAACTGCTGCTATGACTGTGCACGGGCGAGAGGAAGATGATTGAAGTTCTTCGTCTTCCTCGGCGTATGTCTGTTCGGCATGCGCTTGTTTGCTAGGTAACGGCTCCGAGTGAGCTTGTTCGATAACTGTTATTATATCTTCTTCTGCTTGAGGGCATTGCTCATCAACGGAGGAGCTGTCTGGGAGTTGGTGTTCGAGAGACGAAGAACACCCCGCCGCCGCCCAGCTCTCGATTGGATGCGCGGGCATTATTTATTGGTCCCGGATGATGGTTAAATATGTTTTTCGCTTTTGTTTCGTTATATCAAAAACCCCACAGGAAGGTTTTTTAAGAAAGGGTAATCAATCCCTCGAAAAGAGGAGGAGAAGAAAAGAAAAAAGAAAAGAAAATATTAAAAAAACACCCGGAGCTGTTTCTTTTATACGCCGACGAACACGGGCAAAAGGGGAATCAAAAATCTAAACCTGCGCCATCAATCCAGCTCTTCTCTTGTCCGGCTGTCTATATTCCCCTCCACAATAATGATAATAAGAGGAGGGAAAAAAAGAAAAAAGAAACCCGAGATGCCGCGCGGGGAAACAAGCCGGCCAAACCACGCTACTAAGCGTAAATAGTTACATCAATCAGACTGCCTCGCCTTTGCCTGTGACTGACTGGTGGATGTTAGTTATTTAACCAGTCGAAGCTTTGCTCCGGGGATTGAGCTGAATTATGAACCGATGGCTGTGGCATACATGTACCCTGCATAAGCTCGGCCGGGTCGACGGCTGATTATTCGCCAATAAAAATGTATGCAGAATCCATGGATAGGCTTTCTTTGGCTTCCGGAGTCAGTTAGTTGTCCCGTTAAATAGCAGTAGTAACCGGTAAATGGTTCAACACGCTCGGTGTTTATCAAGGCTCTTATTATTAAGAGAAATATGGGGATGGTAAATAATTATGAAGGGGGGAGGGGGGGGGGGGAATTGGCCGTAGAAGATGATATATAAATCTCGTGTGCAGCATCATTTCCACAGGATAATAAATACCACGGCAAAGAGTCGATTGTGAATGAGCAGGGGACCAATGTATCCTTCGGCCCTACCCAGTATACGAGGGGATACACACGCCATTTCGGCAGGCCCCAAGGCGGAATTTCAGATATAGCATCGCTATAATGGCATCGAGGGAGGACAAAAAAATCACTCGGATGTTGTTAACATCCTGAATTGCGCTTTGACGCACAGTCTAGGCCCCTCGGTTTGTGAAGTGAGAGGCGGGGGAATTGAGGTCCTCTAGTCCCGATTGGAATAAAAAGCAAAGAAGAAGAGCCGAGGGGAGTACAAACCTTGCCAGCCGTTGGAGTATCCGAAGTCGGAGAATTTGAACTGGATATTTTGGATGGATTCCCAGACAAATGGCTAATGTACAGTACATGTTGATAACTATTCTAATTGTAAGAATCTATATCTCTAGCAAAAACAGTAGAGGGCAATGAACAGCTGGAAGAATTTCCCTATAGGTCATGCAAAGTGATCGGTCGGAATAGGGGTATATGATAAGTACTCTCTTAAGGAGCAGGACAACATAGTCCCGTTAAACATGGCAGTCTCACACAAAACTAAACGTATCCCCTCCCTTTTCCATGAGCATATTCCCCAACCTCTTCGTCCCAACAATCCTCTCCATCTTCAAAGCATCCCATTTCGAAAACAACGCCCGCACCCCGCCCTCAGCTGCCTCCGCCGTGCCTGCAGGATCCAAGCCCAGGAACCCCACAATCTCCCCCCAGAAAACAGGGTTCTCCGGGACACCATACATAATCACCCTCTTCACCCCGCGAATTTGATAGCGGCGGAAATGGTGTGTTCGTTCCGTGTAGAGCAGGGCTGAGTGGCGGCCACTGAAGAAATGTGTTCGTGCGCGAGCCACGTCGCGTACAGATGTGTATTCCGATATCGCGCCAAAGGAGAGGTTTTCTGTCTGTGATGAGGTTGCCAGGTAGTTGCGGACACGGACGAAGTCTAGGTAGGATGGGATGAAGATCAGGGTACCCGATGCATGAGGCTTTCCTCCGCTGCCGGTCGAGCTGCGGACGAGAGATGAAAGTACTGCGCTGGTAAAGTACTTGAAGCGGTCGTCGGGGTCTTTCACGGGCGAGGTTGAATTGAAGCGGGAGAAAGTTTGCTTGACGGGGACGGGCAGTGGTATGTCTAGGATGGCACCTTCATATGTTGGGGTAACTTTGACTTTGCCAGCCGTGTTGTGCATCTGCGACGAGAAGAGGGCGTTTATTTCAGGGGTAATGAAGGATGAGAAGACGAGTGTCTGGCGGACATATTTGGCTTGGCCATCCAGGTACCAGTTGCGGACGCGGCTGAAATCACAGCCGTGAGATTCCTTCGGTTGAAGGTTTAGGTGTGAAAATACGTATTCGATATGTTCCCAGTTCTGCATTAGAAGGGCATCTGCTTGATCGACAACTGCCACCTCGATTGATGAAAGGAAATCAAAGTCTTGCTTTTTACCACTGTAACATTACATTAGTGGCTGATTTTGAATAGGCATCCTGGGATCGGCGTTCGTTATAACTTACTCCTCTTTATCCATAACCATCCGGAGACCCAGTGGACTCGCCAGGATAATATCGGAATTGTAGAACTGGGAAAAGTACTTGATGGTTTTCCGAGTGAACTTTAGCCCTAATCTGAACATGTCATCGTCGTTCCCACCGAACAATTCTCGAAAGTCGTCGGGTTTGTCCTCCCATGATTTATCGTCAGCCGCAGAGAAGGTATCGTAGAACCTGCTTTTATTTTCTTGCTGCTCTGCATGGTATAATTTAGTAATAGACTCCACAACCCGCACGCATGCCTGTCGTGTCGGTAAAATGATCAACACCTTTGGGCGGGTAAAGCCTTGATCTCGCAGTTCCAGATCTTGGTCAGGTTCCTTTTGTGAACGGGAATTGTTTTTCAACACCCTGTCTCGAGTTTTAAGGATGTGGTTTAGAACATGGAGGCAGTAGAGATCTCGGAACTTTGCTGAGTTGGATAACGTTCGCGCCCCAAATAGGAGGTCCTGGTAGCCGAAAATGTAAGGGACAAGGCCCGAGGTAAGGCTTTCAAACTTAGCGATATGGTCTCCCGCATGGTTGGCAAGTTTTTGCTTCAGCTGTGGGAAAATATTAGTTTAGTGACCTGTGGCGTTCAGAAGCAACGTCTATACATACCTTCAAACTTTGTAGCCCATGCGCGGGAGGTGGAAGCTGCACGGCATCCCCACCCGTGTCTGGATGGCTGAGCACGAGCCTGAATTTTCCTGGAAGTTCATTTTTATGTGTCTTCCAGCCTTTTGTTGAGATAACATTTATCTGTTGTAATAGCAATGAACTATCTACGTTTGAAAAGTGGGTTTCGAATGGATCCGTTGCTGAAGGAAATAGTTAGAATATAGAGGTATACTTGGTACTAAAAGTTTCCACATACCGTCATCCTCGTCTCCGGAATCTTCTGCTTCGCCTTCATCCACAGCAATGCCTTCCGCATCCTCGTCCTCTTCATCATCCTCAATTTCCGACTCGGACAAGTCAGCTTCGTCGTCAAGCTCCTCCGGCTCTTTAATCTGAACCTCCGTTTTCTTGGAGCTGTGCTCGACTTTCCGCCTTTTTCGAGCAGGCCCATTGGTATCTTGGCCAGCGTTGAACAGCTGCAATAGTGTATTGTATGGCTTCGATGTCTTTTTGTCTTCCTCGTCGTCATCGTCACTGCCGGAAGACAGCTCGTCAATTAATTCTACCTCATCCTCTGCATCTACATTGCCCTCAGATAAGCCAGATTCACCATCGGAGGAAGCTTCATGGCTTGGCTATAATTAGTTATTGTCATGTAGAACTTGGAGATAGAGAGAGAAACCTACTGAACTTCTTCGACCCTGGAGGTTTCGAATCTTGGCTTTCGGCCGCCGCGCTGCCCTCTTCCACGGCCTCCTCTGGCGCCTCGAGAATTGAAAGGCCTACTACCTCTTCCGCGTGGTGCGACCATCTCGAAATAAGTTACTCTAACGCTTTATTACCGTGTGTTGCGTTGTTGTTGTGCTTTCCTCTATGAAATGCGCCCCAGCCAAAAATATATATTTTCTGGTTGAGTGTTTGGTGGATCTTATCTTATCTTAGCGTGAAATCTCCTCTTGGGTCCGCACACACAATTTGAGCCCCATTTGTTGACGACCGCAATAGCAATTCTCCACGCCAACAAGACTCTCCCACCGCCGATACTGACGCTTGTGACGCCTGTGACGTGGGATCAAATTACAGATATAACTGCCCAGCATGGCTGATACCGATTCGTTCCTCCATCTCTCGCGGCCTCTGGGCCCTGCAGCCATTGGCACTCAACCCTCCACCGCCCCTCTCAACGTTGTGATACAACCACAAGTAAGCATATGAACCCCTCTGGGAAAACCGAAAATCATTATAAACATGCTAATACGTCTAATAGGCGATTTTCTCTATCCTCGATCATTCCCTTCGTCGCAATGCTGACCAGGAGCGGGTCATCGGTACTCTTCTGGGAACCCGATCCGAGGATGGCACCGAAGTTGAGATTCGCTCCTGTTTCGCCGTAGGACACACGGAAACAACCGATCAAGTCGAGGTTGATATGGAATACCAGAAGCAAATGCTTGCTCTACACTTGAAAGCTAACCCCAAGGAAGTTCTTGTGGGTTGGTACGCGACATCCTCAGAACTGAATACCTTCTCCGCGCTCATTCAGAACTTCTATGGCGGCTCAGGTGATGGAACATGGCCTCACCCAGCCGTACATCTAACTGTATCTACAGTTCCTGGGAAGGACATTGAGACTAGAACGTACATTTCAGCGCCTGTTGGCGTGACAGCAGAAAGGGCCGCTGACAGCGCTGCATTCATACCCGTTCCTTATGAAATCAGATACGGCGACGCCGAGAAGAATGGCTTGGAGGCGATCGCTGCTGCAAGGGACAGTGAAAATCGGACTGCCAATTTGTTCACAGATATTGAGGCCCTAGAAAAAGCCATCGAGGACGTTTTGGGCATGATCGATCGAGTATCGAGATACGTCGACTCAGTGATGGATGAGGAAGCGCCCGCTTCTACAGCGCTTGGACAGTTCCTTCTTAATGCTCTCGCCTTGGCTCCAAAAGTTGACCCTGCTGATATTGAAAATGACTTGTATGTTCTCTTTTGTTCTCTTTTTTTTTTTTTTTTTTTTTTTTTTTTTTTTTTTTTTTTTTTTTTTTTTTTTTTTTTTTTTTTCTTTCTCCCCTTGCCGAATTGTACATTCGTTGTTCGAATACATTAACATTAACTTACCTGTGTTCGCAGTAATAACCACATCCAAGATGTCCTGGTGGTTTCCTACCTTGCCAACACCATCCGCACACAAATGGAACTTTCCAACCGATTAGCAACTGCCCAACTAACCCTCGGTGGCGAGGGTGCGGGAACTGCTGCTGCAGGCGGCTCAGGAGAAGCAGGAGGACAGCGAGGCGGCCGCGGAGGCGGTCGGGGACGGGGTGGCCAGCAACGAAATCAAGACCGCGGTGGAGTCGAAGCATGAAGGGAATTTTTGATACATGCAATTTTCGCAATATGCAAATTGCAACTAAAACAAATACCAACCTGCGTCCAATGGTTCATCCATGCATCAAGAGTACATTCCTAGTTTTCTCTTCCTCGGGATGTAGTCGGCGGATATGACTTTGCCCCTGATTTTTACCACACCATTGCAGTGTTGCTCGGGTTGGGGCAAAAGCAAGGCGTCATTGGAGTCGTTTTATTGGAATCCATTTTTCATTTCTTTTTTCATCCTTCCTGTTCCTTATCCTTCATGATCTTCTTTTGCGACTTTTGCTGGTTTATTCAGAAGACGGCAAAAGGGTATTGTCTTAGTATGCGGACATGACGCGATGAAACGTATGTAGACTGTTTTCTTTTGTCATATCGGGATATCGTGTCTACTGTGGAAAAGCGAGTGCGACATGTCAATGAATGATGTGGTATAGAATCTTAAATTAGACTTAATTTTATCACCCACCAAGGCGCGTTTGAGTTGCACACGTAATCAAAGATATCAAGAGTGATTGAACTCTTGCTACCATTCTGGTTGCTTGTCAACCTAGCAATCTGATACGAGTGAAATCCAATCATTGTTCCCAAACGCCATCGCAATGCAATGTAAACACAGCGGCATCTAAATAGCCTAATCGAGTAAGGAAAATGAACCTTTTCACCTCCTAATCCAACGCGTCACATTAAGCAACGGAGCCCCCAGCACTTCTCCGCTTCTTCGACAGGTCCCCGTCAGAAACCGAATCCGCCCCTCTCTTCCCCGTAGCCTTAACAGACAAAGCCTTCCCCTTTCCTTTCTTCCCTACCGTTGTCCCCGTTCCAGTCCCCGTCCCTCCAGCCACAGACCCATCTCCACCATCAGCAACCGGCTCAGCCAATTCCTCCAGCCCCTTCTTCCCACTAGCCCCGACCTGGTCATCGTTCTGGTCAAAAGCTCTCCTGGCCTCTTTGAGCTCGCGCTCGATGCGGAACAGTTCCTGCACACGGCCTAGTTTGACGGGGTCACGGCGGAGTGCGAAGCGGAAGTCGTCCACTTTGATTTTCTGACGGCGGGAGTATGTGGCGCATTGTGCGGCGGAGTGGCAGGTTTCGATTATGAAGTCTGTCACGATCTCGTCGAGGACGCGCAGGGTTTCTGGGAGGGGTTCCTGGGGGTAAGAGGGGTGCGGGGTTGGGTCCCCGTACGCGTGTAGGAGGTGGCGTACTGTTCATCCATTCGTTAGGTTATTTGGCAATACAACCCCCCCGAAAAAAAAAAAAAAGACAACAATTAAAGTAACAAAGACGGATATGGAGGAGTAACATACATTCATTCCCAAAGTTCAGCTGGCCTTGATGACGAGTAAGTCGAACCCGCGGTTCAGCCATGCCGTTAGTCAAATGTCTTAATTTGCGGCGGGCTCGATAGTTGGCGTTATTCGGTGCCTTTGTTCCGTCATCTGTCTTCTTGGAAGGAGCAGATTCCTTTCCTTCAGCTATCGGATTCGATTCCGCGGGTTCCAACACGTGCTCGAGCTTGTAATAGTCTCGAATATGTGTGGGAAAATGGAACAAGTACTCGAAATCGCCGAGCCTGATATTTTGCTTATCTGGTGGAGGTTGGGGTTGAGCCATGGCGCTTAGATTAGAGTTGGAGTGGCGCGCGTCTAATAGTGACTTGGCAGTGTTATGCGATATGGTTGGGCAACGAAGCGATGAAGATGAGCTAAGCAGGCTAGGGTGCTTGTCGACACTTAAGTGTTGATGATGATGATGCTGATGTTCATGTCTCTATTTATCTTGTCTTAAAGGAAGTTCGTGGATGAATGAACGGCCGACGCGTTGTGAGAATCCGAGCTTATATAAAGGTGAAACTGCCCTGGAGGATTTATTTCATTTGGAGTGTTGCGGGGGCCTACGACTGAAACCGTCTTCAACAAACAACAAAGCAATCACTCACTTCCACCATGGTAAGTAACAAGCAAGCAACTCTCAGATCGCGTCCATCCCGTAGCAGCTCTTTCCTTCGTGCTGTTCACGTTCACTCTCTTTTTCATCCAGCAGCTACTAATGGGACATTCCTTTCTTTCTTGACAGACTGCCCTTTTCAACTTCCAATCCCTCCTCCTCGTTATCCTCCTTATCATCTGCACAAGTACCTATGCCCATTCGATAATGCCGGGGATTATGGATCGCAACCAGAACGGGTACGCAAGTTTATTATAGTGGATTTATTTCTACGTTTTACTATGTCTGTTTTCTTTGACTAACCGCCGTTCGGTGGTGGAATGCATATAGCTTCTTCGGGATATTCTGGAAATGCGCGCGGGTTGGGGAACGGCTAAGCCCGTACGTCAGTTTATGTTGTCTGGCTATGGCTGTAAGTTTTCTTCATTCTTTCTCTTATTCTCTTTCCTCTTTGTTTAAAAAAAATTATTGGGTGGAAATAGTGCATTTCCAACAATGATTTATTTCTGGGCTATTTCGCGTTTTGATGAACGGTCTTTACTAATGCACAGTGATGGATTCCAGATATCTCTATTCATGGGACAGTGAAAAAAGGAAAGAGCTGACCCTCTTCCGCGCGGGAGGATCCATCATTAACTTACGGAAGCGCATGGCGTTGGGAGTTCCGTGGGTTTTTTTTTTTTTTTTTTTTTGCTTTTCACTTATATAGTATGAGGATACCCTGAACACTCACAAACCAATAATCAAAGATGAGATTTCTGCATGAAATTGTTTCTCGTCTTTTATTCAAGGGCAGATCAATAGCCTGCCTGAGCTAAATATCCTATAATGCATATATACAAAAATTCTGAACATAGCTCTACATTTCCATAGTTGACACTGTACAGTACAAACGAATTAAACAAAGAGAGATCCAAGTCTAAATAATTTACATGAACAAGAACACCACCACCGAGGGTATTGGTATAGTTAGGAGGGTGATTCATCTGTCATCTCCGCATTCTCTTGACTTTCAACTGGCTCGTCGTATCCTTCGATTTCGACTGGCTCACTGAGTCCTTCACCTTCAGCTAATCGATGATTTGCATGATCAGGGATTTTGGTGGCCACATTATCCACAAGAGCAAGTAATCGATCACGGTCGTGGATCCACCCCATACTATTCAGTGTATATTCATCAAGAGCCCATCCCTCTTTCATCATCGCGTTCACTGCATTGGCAGTCTCATCCACCATTTGCATAGTGGAAAAACCTGCGACGGCTACATTCCAGGTGACTTCATTGAACTTCAAACCCTGCTCCTGCATCATGCTTCGAATCTTTTCGATAGCGTTGGGATGCCGATCGCGGATAAACGCGGTGAGGATAATGGTCCATGTCTGGACAGTCGGCTTCACTTGCTCCAGTTGGCGGTTGTTTTGAGACCGGAGAACTGCAGTGGCGGGAAGTGGCTGCAGCATCTTATCCAGTACCCTGACGCAATTCCGCATCCGACCTGAATGCCGCCGAGCAAACTCCTGGACGAACACGTTATATATGTAGTCGCTTTCCGCTAGTGGTCCGAACGATTCATGCCCTTGGTCGCGAAGGTTTATAAAGCGATCAAAAATATTGTTGACGACTCGCCGATTCTGCATCCTCAGAAATGCAGCAATCATAATAACAAGAGCGTGACTCGAGGGAGGGGGATTTCCAGATACTTCACGTTCTTCTAGGGCGAACTCGTCTACCCGAACGACACCTAAATCCACGAGAGGCTGGACGTCATGTGCTGCGCTGTATATGTTAAGCATGCGGCCGAAGACATCAGCATCTCCCCACCCTTCATCGGGATTGACGCGGTCCAGTGAATAGAAAACGTGAAGCAGCTTGCTGGTGATAAAGGGGTTCTTCCTGAGGGACTCCTGACTACTAATTTCCCGTATTATCACATCAAGATGCTGAAGGTCACGGCGGGACACAGCATCATCTAGAAGCGAGATATAGGTATAAGAATCTGGTGGAATGCCTTTTTCCCCCATTTCATGAAGAACGTGCGGCACTGATGCTGGGACTTTTTGCTTTAGTGCATTGCGATAAATGATGTTTAGCATGGGTTGATTTAATGGCACGCCAATTTTGAGTATTTCCGGTAAGATCCTAAAGTATCGATCGTCGTTCTCCTCAATGACATGGTCCAAAGTGAGGAGCTTGCAGCAGCGTTGTTGCACTCTCGGATCTGAGAGAAATCGAGTGTAGTCAGGGGTATCCGTAATTAATCCTAAAGAGCTTAGTGCCCTAGGGATATCCTGCCGCTTGGTAAAGAGGTCCATTAAGTATGTTGCTGTCTCAAAACCAATAAAAATTCTCCGATCTATGATTGTGGACAATGCCTTATTCAGATCTTCGGGCGCACTTCGCTTAAGAAATAGGCGTATTCCACGTTCATACGCCTTCAGGACTGGCCACTTCTCTGGGTTTAGGCAAGTTCTTAACGCCTCGTGATAGTGTTGTTTAGACCGCTCATCCCGTGTAAGCTCTTCATAGTGAAAGGCGTCGAGATAAAGAAAACATTTCGCGACCATGCTAAAAGGAGGAGCTGGGAAAACATCTGTCGCTAACAGAAATGCCAGAGACGCTCGAGGAGAATTGAGGAGTAACCACAATGCAATGGGAGGCCATAGTGTCTCCTTTTGCCGACGGTGAACTCGGCTCCACTTCCTTGCCAAATGGGTAGGATCTTCCGCAGTCCAGTCGACGCCAGTTAGCCACTCCAGAGCGTCTTCTTCATGATCAAGTTTCAGCTTGTCCCATACAGTCTCCATATTCTCCCCTCTGACCTTATGCGAGAACACCAGTCCAAAATTTTCGTTCCAGTCGGGATGAATGAGAGTATCAATGTACAGACACCTTGATCTCACTGAGTATTCGTAATGATACTGACTGGGAATTAAATGGCGGCGGGTCTTGCGAGCTGTCGAGGCTATTGCCTTATTTATAAGTTCTCGGAATGTTGATCTCAGCGGCGAACTTAAAGGAGGGAAAATCTGTCCCGTGCCGCCATCGGATCTTTCTGTGTTCGGTTTTTGCGACGGGTTCTGTGCAGCTGCCTTCTCCAAGAGAAATTTTGGTGAATTTTCCGCGCCAGGGCTGAATCTGTTATTTTCAAGGGAGATATTTTGATTCCCGTAGGTATCTTGGTCCAACTGATATACATTGCTGGTTTCGGATAAGGTGGTTGGGTGAGATGTGTACAATCGACGTTGGATAGCGGAATTGTATAAGCAAGAGGTAGTGAAACCCCTCTGCAAGGGGATTCGTCCCATATGCGGAATTGTAGATGCGTCGGGGAGAGGTCGAGTTTGTGACGCTGGGTTCCGGAATTGCAACCGGCGGACGGAGAAGAGGGAAGAGAGGAGTCCCTGTTCAGCAGACATGGGCCATAAAACATCCTGGTCCTGAACATTTTCGTAGCGGGGCCGGGCTCGATTATGATAATATCTAGTTACATATCTAGGCAAAGTGACTTCGCGGCGGAAAGCATGGTGTCTAATTGACAAGCGCTTGCTGGCTTGCGAGCACCGATGCTCGCAGTGGTAAACACTGCATGGGCGAGCGAGCATGCAGGGACGCAAGCATAGAGAGCGCAACTGAAGGTATCCAATCTGTATATGCCACTCACATAGCTTGTAAACCTGGGATAATTGAGACGAGAATTCAAGGGCGCGAGTGGATTTTCGTATCTCGAAATCGCTACAGCCGAGAAATTCGAACTCACCTTTTCTTTTTCGAGGTGTGGCTGACCAGATGTGTGGCTGAGATGTGGCTAAACCTTAATGATGTTTTCGTCGCGGGCTTCGGCGCTGCCAGACCATTTTCCAAACATATAGACATCACAGCTTTTTTCTCCACGCCTGCCTTTCTTATTTCTTCCTCGCTACACAATTTAAGCATGTCCTCTTCGCATTCTACCCTTGACGCTGCGGCGACGGACCGAAAAGCCCGCCTGGCAAAGCTCGCTTCTCTTAAACGCAAACAGCCCGAACAAGATTCCGCTGGACAGGATATCTCGAAGCAAGATAGCTCCTCAAAGGAAGGAACACCGACGGATGTGTCTACACGATATTTGTCCGGAAGAAACTACGATCCCGAGACTCGGGGACCAAAGCTTGGTTTCGAATATGACCCAATAAAAGGGCAAACCACTCTGGAAGAACAAGCTTCAAGAATCGCGATATCCACCGAACAAGCTGCAAAAGAGGACGAGGAAGCCGATAAGCCGATCGACCTGTTTAAGCTACAACCTAAAAAGCCAAACTGGGATTTAAAACGAGATCTAGACGAGAAGATGAAGGTCGTAAATGTGAGAACTCAGAATGCGATCGCTAGATTGGTTCGGGAGAGGATACAGAATGCGCAAAGGGAAGCGGAAGGGAAGAAGAAAAATATGGCTTCTGAAGATGGTGACCTTGATGGGGATGGCCAGGAAGTCGGCATTGACGGAGGGGCCCTCGTTGAGGGAATACACCTGAGGGAGAGGGATGAAGCTGAAGAAGAGAGGAGGCAAAGGGAGGAGGACGCAGAGATGGGTTGATGCAGGAGTTGCGGTATTTCGTTTTCTATATTTGTTTCATTATTCTGGATAGCATGCAAGGGAGTTTGTACGAGGGTTAGGAACGGCGTTACGGTTTGGGGCATGGAACATTAGCGAAGTATTGAACTTTTGACATAAATTAAAGAATGTTGTAATTTAGTATTTGGGAATATCTGTGATCCAATTTATGACCCTTGCTTCGAAGGAACAGAAGCTCGCAATAGGCCATAGCAGTCGGGGCTGGAAAATCAAAACTGGGTATGACAAACAGAACGAAATAAATAAAAAGCGATATGCTTTTTCAGTCAAAAGTATTTCTCTAGCTAACATACACAACAAGTCCATTACCTATTCATCATATTCATCGCCTGAGTTAACGCCAAGCGTTTGCTGAAGGGGCTTAAGCTTCGTTCCTTGCGCGGTGGTGGCTTTTGGGGTATTCCTCTACCCCTATCATAAGGAGGTTGGTAACCCCGTTCCCTTGAAGGACTCCGTGAAATATTCTGGGATTCCTTGGGGGTGCGTTGGCGCCGGGCGCGACCAGACTCTGTATGCCGACCGCTTCGTTCGGGAGAGTAAGGAGTTAATGATCGCCGGTGCTTTGCAATTGAGCTTCTATCCATACTCTGGCTTCGCGATCTGTTTCTCCAACTGCCGCGTCTGCCTGAGTCATACTGTCGCCCTCGTTCAACTGGGCTCCGTGATCTCCTTCTTCGCCTTGAATCCCGTTCTTTCCCTTTTAATGTGCTTGCGTTTCTTTCAAAAGAATAAGAAGAAATATGTGAGTCTCGTGAAACATTTCTGTTTCTCGTGCTTCTGCGTTCGTTTGATCTAGAACGGGAGGGCGAGGTAGCTCGTTTTCGCTGTGGAGATCGGGACCAAGAGCGGTTTGTTGAGATTGTAGAAACGGAGTGTTCTGAGTACGCTGGAGAGACAGATCGCACCCGTTTTCTAGGATGCCCTCGAATACCATCATGGTCTCTATCATCTTCTAAGTCCCCCATATTACGGCCCCGTGCACCCTCATTCAGTGCTAGTTGTTCATCAGCCACACCTTTGCTGTGAAAACCGTTAGCTGGTGCATTTGGTAACAGGACTTGGAATGCAGACGTACGTTCGCAACAAATCATTTGGAACATCGCTCATTAGTTCTGGGACAAGCTTCGGGTTTGCCAGCTGCTGTGTCCTGGAGGGACGGGATATATACGGCCGTTCCTGAGCCGATGCTTTACACTCATAGCTATAGTGTCGTATTGTTCAGTTAGTCGAAGACGTCATTGGGATGAAATGAACGGTAGAAAACTTATCTCTTTTCAAACACTTTTGGCACAAGGTAGTGGCTGTTGCCTTGGAAGTTGACCTTAGGCCAGGGATATTTCGATATCGATTCATTGGATCCCTGAGGTGAGATAGGGCAGAGTTAATTGAAGGAACTGGACTCGGAGTTGCGTGTTGCAGTGTTCTCCTGCGGGTTGTTGCCCCTAATATATCGTACTTCGAACCAGCTGAGCATATAGAGCGCAGAAACCTGGAGGTGTTGAGATTTTCTCTACCCTCTAGCAGCCTGTCGTTGCCTTCCTTATCGTCAATGTAGTGTTACCGCATCTGAAGGGAGCGCTAGATTAGCGCAGCCGCGCGGCAACGAGCTGACAAAGACACCGCATTCTCCCTGCAAACGACAAATCCCCACCGGCGACAAACCCGCTCACTGCCCAAAGCAACCTCATCGCCCAGCCCATTCCGGTTGAACTCTGCACACATTCTCCGATCAGCCTGTGAGCCCGTCTTCTTTGCCCGCCAGTATCGCCCTGCATTCTTTGGAGGACCGCGTGTCTTTTCAGCTGCTCACAGGATTTTGATCCTGCAGCATGAAACTTCTGTGCTGACAGCTTGGAGTAGCCTTGTCTCGCTTTTTCTACAGTGAATGTGATATACGCATCAATCACCCGCCGAACACACCCATCGAATCTCTGGGCGCTCCGTCATGTTCTCTGCTTCCTGATCCACGCCCTTGCTTTCTTTGTTGACTCTCGCTTAATCCATTTAAAAGTTATACGGCGAATTTCCTTACCCAGAGATATGTCGCCCAACGATATAGACTTGTGTGAAGTGGGATTTCCTTGCGACATTGACTCCATTTGATCCTTGCTCTCTCGATGCTCTATTAAGCTGCGTTAATATCTTGACATTATTTGTTGGTATTGTCCGTTGGCCTAGCTATTCGTTAGCTCAGCATGATGGCCTCCAACCGTTCTCAACAAGAACTGGAGCGCCCTTCCTTTGCAAAGGTATGCACTGCAAGTTTTCGATTTATTAATATATTGCTGGATAATGTAACTAATATACTTCGCCTTAGGTTGCTGCAATGCGCCTTCCGCCAACACAGCAAACCCACTCTGCGCAGATTGAAACTGGCCCTGACAGCCGTACTCCGATGAGGATTGATGAAGCCTCAAATGACTCGAAGAGCGCCGCTCATGAGTCGCCTCAGAATCTAAACCAGAAGTCGCACGATACCATAGAGAATTTAAATAGGTCGGTGCAAGATTTCCACATAAACATGCAGAAGGGCCATGAAGTCAATTCGGACACTGGAGACAGCCGTGATGATGGGGTGGCTAAGCCTGAGGGAGCCTTTGAAGACGACCAAACGCATCTTTCAAATTCTTCCACTAAACCAACGAGCTTTGACTCTAAGAGCATGGCTTCTGTAACGACTTTTGCTATGGATGAAAAGGAATCGTTGCGCCCAGATGATAGTGCTAGCGTCCAAGCCGCAGAAGAAGATGACTCTTTCTCAGGACCCGCTTCTGGGGCCCCGAGCTCCCAAGTCGGCTCAGAGGCGGGTGGACGCTTGTATCGGACAACTGACCAGGGAACTTTATCCGAACGCATTCCCAATAGACCCCGAGTTAATAACTCGTGCCTCCCGGGAATCGTATCTCCGAACGGCCAAAGTGAACTGAGCCTCCATAGTTTCCCCGATGAGCCAGATGAGAAACTGCTTGAAGCGATGAGTTCACCAAAGGATCGGTTATTGATACTTCAACTTGAAGAGAAAATCATTGCATTCATCAAAGATTCTAGGTATGCAGGTCTGATTTACCAACGGAAGCTCTCTCTATGCAGTGCTAACCCACGTATAGTGAACAGTCTTTGGAATTGCCTCCGTGCAACGCGTTTGGACGGCTGCTTGCACATAAGCTCGGCGATTATTATCATCTAACTCACTTTGTTGATAATAATGTGACATCCGTTCGACTTCACCGAACCCCTTGGTGCAGAGTGTGAGTTCTGATAGTCTTAATTTTTGAGTATAAACAATGTAGTCCACTAAACTCGAGATTTAGGCCAACCCCTTTAAGCATGCTCCAACCTCCTAATGCAAACAAAACTCCGCCTCCAAATGCACCAGCGATGAAAATTATGCGTCGGTCTGGTCAGCCAGGAGAAAGGGTGTCGGGTGCAGGAAGCACGGCACCTAGTTCTTCAGCCCCTTCAAAAGCTACATCGGAAGCCGGTGCTGACGGCACTAATGAGGAAGGATTTGGATCATCGGCCGGAGCCACTCCGGCAAAGGATCGGGCGACCCTGAGTCGAGAGGAGCGGGAAGCAAAATATCAGGAAGCTCGAGAGCGGATATTTAGGGATTTTCCTGAGTCCAAGACTTCGGACCATTCAAATAGCGGGGATCAAAGTGCAAACATGTCACGGTCCAACTCCGGGAATGGCAAACGAAAAGGACACAAGCAGAGAACGCCACGTGACGACAGTTTCGAGGCACGGTCCCAGTTCAATGCATATTATCCAGGGGCTCCATACTCTAGCGCTCCGCTTCCATACAGTGGCATGATGGCTGAAGGGTCGTTTGGTACTCCAGCCCATTATTACGTCTCGACTTCTTCACCACCGCCGGCTAATTTCCCGCATGGAAACCATGTAAACGCGGTATATCAAGCCCAGGGCAACCTGACTTCTGCACCACCACAGTACCCTGTTGCTATCCCGCCTCGTATGAATCAACCTAATTGGCAGCCGGGGCATTTGCAGCAATCCCCTCCATACTCCGGATTTTCTCCGGTCAACCAGATCCCGCCAATGGTGCCTCAACAGCCTTCAACCAGATCCTCGCCTGGAATGAGTTCATATCCCTCCCATCCCAACACAGTCCCGTTCCAGCAACAGAGCTCTTCAAACTGGAATCAACCACAATACCCAACCGCTTACTCTCCATCGCCTACCCAGCGTAATCCGTCTAATACACACTGGCCAAACTACCCTCAACACTCAATGAATCCGAGTCAGGCGACTTACCCTTACGGTCAGATTCCTAACCAGCCGCCGTTCGCACCAAGTCATCAGAACAACTCAGGACAACATCCTCTTCCCGGAAGTTTTTCCCGTCCACCCTTTAACCCTCAAACAAGATCTTTCGTTCCTGGAAGCAGCCCTCAAACTCGATTTCTAGGGAACCCACCTCAACAGCCAGGCATAAATCCAGCTGGCGTACACTCGCCTCAATATCCCACTCCGACACCGTGGGCAGGGGCCAACCAGGACCCCTCGAACCACCACCATTCAAATCAACCAAACCCTCAAACTAATGCCAAAATACTCGGACCTACTTCTTCCATGAATCATTCGACACCTGGTCATCATGGGCCTTCTCCAATGATGACCCGCGACTCAATAGCTAAATGGGGTACTCCTGCCCATCTGCCCCCTAAACCGCCCCCATCGCAAGTGCCGTATGATTACGATCTCAAAAATAAGACCGCTCCAGCGATATCTCCACCTCAATCATTTCCAAGCACGCCACCCGCACCTCTCCCTAAGCAGAGCGGCCCTCTAGTTGTATCGGGCGGAATGGGACATCAGAGATCTCGGGGTAATATGGCCGCGGGTTTGTAAACATCCCATCTACATATATCTCTTAATACTATTTTCTTGCCTACATAATTTGCGTGGCACGGCACGGCATGGCATCGGATTGAATGTGATGGGGTAGGTGGACATATTTGGGGTGAACCGGATTTCATTGTATCATGTCGAGATGAGAATTGGGTGGTTTGGAGTTTGGGCGGGAGTGTGCTGTGGTTTCGTGGTGGTGAGAGGCGGTGTATCTGGATAGCTTCTGGCTATTGATGAGCTACAGAAGAAAGAAAAAAAATGGGTGGGCAAGCACTTCCACGCGAGGCGTTGCGCTAATTTGGCGCGATCTGGGTCACTCTTACGCTTTTCTTCGAGGTGTTGTTTACCTCCCGGCTCTTCAGTCGGTAGCACCGCGTAGGTTGGAGCAGTCAATTTGAGATTATTAGTGCTTCGATTTCACACAAAAGTAGGGGAGGGTGAGAAAGCAGAAGGTGTTTGTCATTGTTTATTTCAGAGTCCCTCTGGCGCTGACTGATGACAGCAAGGAAAACAAGCAAAGACAAAATATTATAGACTCACTTTTTTCTCATTCTCCCCCACCCTTTTCTTTTAATAATATTCAGTTTATATATTTTTTTTCTAAGAGTGGGTTCAATGAATGAGTTATTCACATTGAGTTTAATTGCAAATGAGAAAGTCTCTTCATATTAAATGAGATATAGCAGTCAATTGAGTTTTATTTTAAACACCACCCTGAACCCGTGGACCCGTGTCAAGATACTTACTGGATCAAGCTAGATTACCACCAATGTTTCTAGAGTTCAATTCATGATAATGAACTATATACCATGAACTGAGAGTTGTCGTATAATACATGTAAGAGAGGGACCTGGAAGGTATGCCAGAGGGACAGTTTGTCAAAGAGGAAAGAGAGTATCATGCTTCACTTTATTTAGTCCTTTACACCACACTGTTCTTTGAACCATCAAAAATGAATGTCAACAACCAGATTGTCATCAAGGTCAGAATTGTTCACTTCATGAATCTGACTGGCTGGAATAAAAGCAGAAATCATTGATTGATTCTTCAGAGTGAAACATCATCTGTTCACTTGAGCATGTCTCTTGCAAATGATGAAGATGAAGCTGAGACTTTCAGCACAACATCACATCTCTATGCTCTATCAAACTCAAGACTTGCATACTTCAATTACAACACTTGCATTGATCTCAAAGTAGAGCACTGCATTCAATTTTCCAGGCAAAGGGACACACAAGGTATCAAATGACAGATTCTGGAAATGGCTGTTACTATTGAGCGTAAGTCAGACTTAGCAGAATCTTTTTCAGAGCTCTTTTCATCTAACATATTTTATAGAGGAACAGAGATCTTGAATTTGACACATCAGAGATATATTCTGCTCTCTGAGAATGAGATGAATAAGTTCACACAACACATACAAAAGTGATACCAGCTTCTGAATTCAATGAAAAATTAATGAATTTTATCAGAGGCATTTTGATTGCTGATGTATAACTTACTTGACACATGTTTATATTAAATAAGCAAATCAAAACTGTTTCACTGATTCCCAGTCTATCTCTGATGGATTGGAACTTGTTGATTTAGTAAGTTCAAGAGAGTCATAGACTCATAATTGCATTCTGAGTAGAAATACAAATTGTATTTCAAATTGTTTCAGTAAACTCAATTCAAAAAATCAAGTATGGATTCATCTTCAGCTTTCATACCCTCTTTTTATATACAGAGTCAAGTGCATATTGTAAGATCATTTGTGAAGTTGTAGTCCTCCTTCTGTCCTATAAATAGGATGGTCTAGGGTAAAAGCTGACATACTCCAGTCCAGGAGATATCCTTTATCCTATACTGGACTTTGTTTGGTGCAATATCGGTAGACCTTCGGAACGGTGATTTTGGTCCTTGAATGAAGACAGGCATGTTTCTTATTTGCAGTTTCATCTGCTGTGAAACTCTACCCATATTTGATGATAGTTCTATGGGTGAGCCTCTTGAAAGCGCGTCCACAGTGAGCAATGACGGTGTCGTAAGAGACGAGCAATGTCGTATTATTCAGGGCTCTTGGAAGCAACTGGCTCAGTCATTTTTTTCGAGGCCTGGCGGAACAACGACGGCCCGTGTGATATTTTGGATCTATTTGTGTAGGAAGTAATAACAATCTAATAATCACTCCATTGCGCATAGTAAAATTAACGATGTTAATCAAAGGGGGTTGATCGATCGTCGGTAGTCCTAAGGGGGGGAAGTGGACATCCATCAGGCCAGGAGAGGCTCTAAGTATTGTGGCGGACATATTACTTGCGAAAACAGAATTTTCCCAGCCCCCTCTGAAAATTAGTAGCAAAACACCACCAAAAAATCAAAATATCTGCATTTCTCTAGAATCATTCAATATCATTCAATACACGTCTTTTTCAATCAAATATCATCCAAATACGCGTCTTTCTTATCTTTATCATCAAATCCACATATATCAATCAACTCTTTTTTCAATATGCCTCACAACACCTGCTGTCCTGCTGCTTCGCAAGCCTGTACAAAGACTCCTATCCTGCACCTCAGTCTCCTCAAACTACCTGTTCCAGAAGTTCTGGATAATGAAGAGGATCCAGTCAATGATGAGATGAAGGAGCAGATGAATGAGAAGGATATAGAGACTCAGTCTGAGGATTCTTGATATTCACAAATCTCTACACCTGAGTCTGATATCTCATACAGATTGTATGAATGGGTGATTATCAATGAGATAAAGAACAAGAGAGATGACAAAATGATTAATAAGTAGAAAGAAGAAGAAGAATTAGAAGAATGAATCTATAATTTCTACAATCAATTCTTCTATACAGATCTCTCAAATGTCAGTGATTATATTCCCTTCTTCAGCTCTGACAGCTTCAACTTCATTCAATATGACATTCTCAAGTGAGATAATCAATGTGATGATGATGAAATATATGATGAAAGGAATAGAAGAACTGAATTCACAATCTCATTATCATTCACATCCAGATCTGCTGTTGAATCTTCCATCAAATCCACCGTTGAAATCTTCCATCGAATCCACCGTTGAATCTTCCATCGAATCCACCGTTGAATCTTCCATCGAATACACTGTTGAATCTTCCATCGAATCCGCCGTTGAAATCTTCCATCGAATACACTGTTGAAATCTTCCATCGAATCCACCGTTGAAATCTTCCATCGAATCCACCGTTGAATCTTCCATCAAATCCGCCGTTGAAATCTTCCATCGAATACACTGTTGAAATCTTCCATCAAATCCACCGTTGAAATCTTCCATCGAATTCATCGTTGAATCTTCCATCGAATCCATCATTGAATCTTCCATCAAATCCACCGTTGAATCTTCCATCGAATACACTGTTGAAATCTTCCATCGAATCCGCCGTTGAATCTTCCATTGAATCCACTGTTCCATCTCCAATTCAAAGCAGTTCAATACCTCAATTTGATGAATACTTCAATTGATTGACAAGGGAACAGTTGCTTCATATGAATATTGACAAGAGTATATTTCAAATTATAAGAGATGGATTAAAAAGTCCATTATAACAGACAAAATTGCAGAAATTCAAATCATCTTTATTCACTATTTATAGTGATGAGAACAGATCTCATACTACTTTCACTTCTAAATTTATATTATAATGAATTGTAATCTGAATCTTTCTAATTATTATAATACTATTCTATATAAGTAGATCTGAAATATTCTTTTATATCTTTTTCTCTTATGAAGTTCTCAACTGCATGATATAAAAAAGCTTCAAAATCTTCATCAAATCTCTTCAGAATTGAAGAGATATCTGATATAATCTTTGACTTTATATCACATGTTGAACAGAGTTCTCTAGCAGTTTCAAAACAGTGAAGATTTCATTGAATTCAATATACACAGGTGATAATCAATGCTTCGCGCGATCTCAGCAGACATATAATCATTCTTAAGGTGTACAATCTTGTTGATAATGAAATCACAGAGTTGAGGTGGCATATTGATGATAAAGGTAAGAAAGACGCGTATTTGGATGATATTTGATTGAAAAAGATGTGTATTGGATGATATTGAATGATTCTAGAGAAACGCGGATATTTTGATTTTTTGGTGGTGTTTTGCTACTAATTTTCAGGGGGGGCTGGGAAAATTCTGTTTTCGCAAGTAATATGTCCGCCACAATAAATAACTTAGTGCCAGCTCACTAAATCCATTATGGAATGACATTGACTGGGACAGATATCCAAGATCCTCCAATTTCTGATCAAAATTGTCCCACCATTCTGCCGTTTGCAGATTTCTTTGTGAGCCCTTCACCAGAGACGGTCGTAACCGCTGAGCAGTGATTGATATCCCCTAGATGGAAATATGCTAGCTGGAGATGTTGAATAATCGACTGATCTTAGACGGATAGACATGAACAAGCTCTTGCTGTGCACCCTCTCCTCTCCATGCTTCCATCATTTCTGGAATAGCGGGACCAAATCTCAGGTATTGATTTCTCCTACAATTGCATCCAAATATATTCTATCATCTTCGGTATACTACCTCTCAGACCCTTTGCAATAAACACTATCCGCCATGGAGCGTGAAGATGTTATACGCCCAAGTACTGCAAAGAGCCGAACTGTGTATGAACAAGGCTTTTGTATTTGGACAAGGCTTCACACGCGTGCTCGACAGGAACCCAGCCTGCCTCAGACTTGTTTCCACATCCAGCCCGCAGTTCGGCAGGTACCTCCCTTGGTCCATGACCTGGATCTGAAATGTGAGTATGAATGCCTCTATGCGACCGGAACATCGATTTGGGAAACCTCGCGGGACCAATGCAAGCTGCCTCCTGTGGAAAAAAGACTTGAGCTACCAGTTTCTATCAACCACCCGACACGACTTACTCTCTCTAAAAACCTGAATCCGACCTATCAGAAATGGTTTAAGCGCGAAGAAAGTCACCTCTCTGTGCTAATATTGGCATGGAGCTACATATTCTCAGCGCGATGGGTTGAGCTCATGCCCGGAGCCCATCTGACCTATACTGAGAAGCACGTGGAATATGACAACAAGGGAGATGAGCAAACCCAAGTCATGGTGGATATAGGAAATGTCGACGATGAAGCAGCCAGATGGTGGGCCGCTGTTTTGTCTTCCGGTGAGGGATGGCAGGCTTACCTTACATGGGAGGGAGCGAAATTCCGATCGCCGTGGTCGACTGTTTTGGAAACAAGGGCGAAATTTACCCTTGCCTGCCGCAAACCCCTCTGTCATATGTCAACTACCGCAGCTTCATTCACCACTGCAGTTCATTTTCTCACAGAATATTGCTATCTACACAACATTGTTGACCAGACCCTGGCGGCGCTATCTTCAGCATTGTTTTTTCCTTCATTGCATACAAAGAAAAACCCGATCTCACTCCCGAAACCCAATTCTCACAGGAGGCAAAGACTCAAGCCAGCCATATCAGAGCCAACTGAGCGGAAGCAACTTGGCTCCATATCAGAGCAGATAGTGCCGGAGCTGGACAAGCTTTTAACATTGAGTTGCAACACACGGGGTCTACGCACTCTTTTGTCAAGCGTATTTTATGAACCTGGAATCCCTTGCAACACTGTAAGCTCATGGCTGCAGTCTGCGTTCTCCGTTCTTGACTCTGTAGAGGACGACCATCTACTTGCTCATATCCTGATGAACCGAGTCCCACAGGTTTCTTTTCTTTGGCTTGGTGGCATAATCATGGGTACTCACAAGGATGTCCTCCAGGATGGTCGATTCGGCCTGATGCCGATTGACCTCCATGCAGCATCATGGTGTGGTGTCACACAATCATTTTTACAGGAACCTGTCTCCCAACCCCTAATAACTAACGGGGCGCTTTTACGATCAGATGAGTGCCGACTTCTCTATCTGACCCAAGCAGAACGGCATAGTCAGTGCCCAGTGTCTCCATGGATGCCTTTCGGTACCACTGCACTCGAAGACACTGAAATTGATGTCCGTCTACATACACAGTGTACTGGTCACGGTCTTCAATATGCGGATTGGTATTGGGCTTGTCGAAACGGTAAACTAGTACGTCCATTGTGCGTTAAAACCACTATATCTGCCCATCTACAGGAACGGCACCCGGCAATGAATACACCCATCAGATACGACGCTCTGAATCTCGAGGACGAATCAGCATCAGAAAATGCTACACGGAATATATTTGGCTGTCTCCGAATTGACGGATATCCCCCACGGGAACGAGGAATAAGTAACCACGAGTGGATGAATATCGATGAATCTGATGATGAATCACCATCTCTGAATGAGTCACCAAGAAGCCATGCAGCTGGAACATCAAAAGCTGCGGTATAGAACTGGATACAACAGAGCACCTTGATAGCCGACTCAATGATGAATTCTTCACAGATTTGATTCTTCAGCAATCTGCCCGGTTTTGCTTTTTCCGATGGCCAAGTTTGCGTTTTTTCACTGTCAGACTTTGTATGATCGATGCTATTAACCCAATTCTTTTATGAACTGCTATAGTGAAAGGAACTTAATGTATGGACACAACAGCTGAGAAAGGTAATAGCTGCCAAGAGATAAATGTTGACTGAAGAGATCTTTTTAAATTAAAGCTGGAATAGTTCAAATCATTAATCTGAAATAAAAATGTGATATTTATTTATTCTTTCCCTCCCAAAATAATGTACAGTGGTAGTTACATACATACGGCATGTATCTCATCTCATAGTTAAAATGCAGTCGACATATAAAAAACGACACCACCCGAGCGAAACAAGGGCAATTTTATACATACGTGGAACAGTCAGTTTTCTAAAAAAAAAAAAAAATGGGAGAGTCAAACAGCAAAGCAAGCATGGAAAAAACAAGAAGAAGAGACAAAACACCTTCTCTAGCCTCACCCATACAAAACTGGAAGAGATTGCCATAACATGCAACTATTAAAAATCAAGAAAAAGTAAAAAAGTACCAAAAACAAATGCCCAAACCATCGACAAGAAAAGCAAAAACCTATCAGACAAAAAAATAATAAAACCCACTAATCAACCTCCCCCCCGGCCTCCCTCTTCTTCTTCGCCAGCTCCCTCTCAACCCTCTCAACCTCCTTCTCCAACGCCCGTTCCCCATCCGGCCTAAACCTCGTAACCTTCAATATATTCAACGCCGTAATCTCATTCATGCTCTCGTCGCCCTCCGCGCGCTTGCGGGCTAGCGTCCGCGCCGTCATGGCAAATCGCATGTCCCTGGGTCCGTCGACTAGTTCGAGGATGGCGGAGGGGGCTTGGTCGGGCTTGGTGGGCTCGATGCGGAGGACGCGGGTGCAGCCACCCGGCCTGTTTAGGTAGCGTTCCCGGATGGGGCCGAAGAGTTTTGTAATGAGCTCGGGTTTCTGGAGGTTTCGGGGATTTTGTGTTAGCTTTCTTCTTCCGGTGGTAATTGGAGGAGGGTCATGGTAATATATTATTCGGAGATGGCAATCGATGGTGTAGGTAGGGCCTGTTATAATTTCCCGCATGGGCGAAATAGTCAAAATAATCGCAAGCCGATGCTATCAATTCATGTTGAATACACCAACTGGCTAGCTAGGTATCCATCCCCCCGAGTCGAACTCTCGATATATGTGTAGGTATACCAGCAACTCCAGACACCAGTACAGTACAAGAAAGAAAAACAGAAAAATATTGCACGTACGAAAAACACCGCCTGCGCCTTCTGCCGACTCGTCTCCGTATTCTTCTTGCTCAACGTGATCAGCTTTTCCGCCATGCGTTGTGCCTCTTTGGCCTTGGGCCATGTCGTTGTGATGGCCTCGTGCTCGAAGAGCGATGTGACGAGGTTTCGTAGGAGGGCTTTGCGGTGGGCTGAGTCACGGCTTAGATGCCGGTATTTCATATGGCCGCCTGCCATGGTTTTTATTGGGGTTTATGGGGTTATGGAGGTGAGGTGGGAGAGCGGGGAGGGGAGGCGGCGAGTGGATGGATGGAAGATTGCTCGTAGGTGCGAACGAACGGGGAAGTGGAAACACAGCCGGGACAATTGGCTTTTGGGGAGCGGGTGAGGATATTTCCCAATCCCCGATAGATTAAATGTAGCTGTACTGAGGAATTGGGGGTAGAATTGTTGTTGATTGGCGTTTGTTGTTCTTTGGTGTGGTCTGAGTGTTTTGGAGAGTTGACGTTGGAGAAATTTGAAGCCGGAAGAATCATTGAAGGGATCCAGCCAATCGGAGCAGAGACAGCGACAACTGATAAATACAAGAAACAAACTATGATTTAACAATACTGAACTATTCTTAGCAGCAATATTTATTTCTATGACATTTCGGTGCGGTTTTTGTGTTTCTGGCACCTCTGGACCGAACGATATTGCTTTAAAGCTTCTCACTCAATATCTATTGAAACAATATCCTGCAGGTGGGGGAAGAGCAAGGAGCTCACACCAGTAATTTCTGCTTGAACTCCATCAAGCTCTTTACGCTCTAGAAAAACTGCTTTTACATATACCAAGGGAGAAAGCCCCTTCAGCCAGAGAATAGCAAGACACCTTAAATACCCAAGAGCACAAGAATGGCTTTCCTCAAAGGCTTCGTAAGTTCCCTCCCGTATTCCATCTCATCTCACTTACAACCAATCCGGGAAAACCTACTCCTCCCGCCAGCCAGCAAAACCATATAGACACCATCACAATCAAACCCAAACCCAAACCCATCCAAAGTAACTAACATTCCCCCAACAAAAACCCACAGCTCACCGGCCTAACCTTCTCAACCGCCACCATAACCCTAACCCTCCACCTCCACCTCGCCAACCGGCACCACCAACGCCTCCTCCTCCGCGAGCAGATAGATCTCATAAACACCATCGCGCTGCCCACCACCACGGCCAACGCCACCAGCAGTACCAATCTACGAACCGCGTCTGCGGAGGACGCTGCCGCCATCGCCGCCGTCATGGCGCGGAGGGGATATTACCCGCGCGAACAGCCTGGGATCATGGATTTGGCGAAGGAGAGGTGGAATAGGCAGCTTGAGGGGGGGGTGAGGAGGGTGCAGGAGGTGGGATTGGAAGGGTTGGTTAAGGAGGGGGTTAGGGTGGTTAGGGGGTTGAGGGAGGGGGTGCAGGGGACTGGGAGGGAAGGGTGATTTGATGGATGTATTGGAGGAATTGGGGTAGGGAATTGGGATGTTCTTGTTTAACGGATCATTTAGAGCTTTTGTGAGGGCTGGATGGCTTTCTTTTATTTTTCTTCGTTTGCGTATGTGGTATGGTTTTGGTGTTGCGGCGTTGGTGGTTGAATTGATACCCCCGGGCCGGCCTTTGTGTCGCTCTTAAATCTGTATGTGTATGACGTGCTGTTTCGATTGAATTATTTACAGCAACGAAAAGAAGCTTATATATAAATCTGGATATGTAAATTCGTTTCATCATTCCGGCCCATTTTTAACGTCAAAAAAATCGGATTATATTATCTATAACGGTTCCCTCATTCTAACATTTCCGAGTGGTATACAGTATTAATCAACCGTGTGCAGCCTATGGACATGGCATGATGTGCACGAAACACATCCCCTCATTCACATCCACCCTCAATTCCCCTTCTCCCGACGCCCCATGATCACCTCCTCCCCTGCATTATTCCAACCACTCCTTGCGTATCTTGCCCGCATGCCTACGGGCCGGCCCATTCCATCACATGCCATCCGTTGCTTGAGAGATTTGCCCAGGCGAGTCAAGGATTTGACATTATAGGTAAGAATCATGTTACGTAGGCGGCACAACGGGGATGAAAAAAGGGAAAAAGGGCTGCACCCTGCTTTCGAATTCAGCCTTCTGCAGAATATTAATAAACGAGGTGGGGTAGCCAATCCGAAAGTAAGACTAGAAGAACCATAAGACTCCCGATTTTCTTCGGGGCTTTTGATGACAATAATGATGACAACAAATGATGCCATGTTGCAGTCATCTTTGCTGGGAGCTTAAAGTAAGCAGCGGGTCTGCCCCTTGCTTGACTGGTTTTAATTTGGGGAACCATCATTTTCAAGATGCCGCGATGGTCGCGCATTTAAAAGCCGTCGAATGGAACTAAAATCGTGTATGTATGGGGGGCTAACCGGGTCCTCAGGCTGGCTGTGACTCGAGAAAAGCCTCGTGATCCTATTTTCGTTTCACTCGTACTGTACATTTATATGTACCCCCCGGGTCTCATTCCATACCACAGAATGTGCGATATTACCTGGGGATCTGCAAACTGGCCAGGGGATGATGCTTGCTAACGTAGATCGATTCCGTCACTACCGACTGATAAGAAATAAAAAGTAATTTAACATCGTTGTGTTGCCGAGAAAGCCACGTCTTCGGCTGAAGGAGTGATGGAATGAACGGTTAGTCCTTCCCCATTGGCAATGGGAGGAGAAGTACTGCCAGTGCTGAGAATCTGCAATTGGGTAGATAACAGAGAAGGATCGAGAAGATTGAGGAACTGTAGAACTGAGAAACTTTCTCCAGTTCGACTAACCGGGTTGTCTGATTTTATTTTTTGTAACAAAATTACGTCTCTTCATTCGCCGATATCCTTTCCTTTTTCTCTTTCATCCTCAGTCAGATATTGCACCACGACGATGACGGCGATGACGGCTGGTGGTGGTTGAAGCGGTAGCAGAGCCAGCAGCAGAAGGTCCATCCACATCCACATCCTCATCCACATGGTCACTTCCGTCAACATCGTTATCATTTTCAACATCATCAGCAGTCTCATTCCAAATCTCCTTACTCTCCCTTTCCACCACCCTCATCGCCAATGCAACCTCCTCAAGCTTCGCAACCACATCTAGAACACCACTATTAACCCGGTCGAAATACCGATCGTTGGCCTCTCTCCTTTTGCGCGCGAGAAGGATCTCTCTCTCAGTTGTCTCGCTCATGAACTTCTCTTTTATTCCTTTATCCATAGCCGTAGCAGTAGAGTCTTTGCGCATAGATTCCGCCCCTCCCCCGCCCCCCGTACCTCCTCCTCCACCTCCCCCGCTTGTCCCCGTCCCACCTCCCTTACCTGTCGTAGTAGGACCAGTTGCAGGAGTGGCAGAAGCACTCTCTTCAACGGGTGGATTCTCCACAACTTCATCAGGCTCACTCCGCGCCCACGCCAGGGCCAACGCCAATTGCTTATCCCTCAACTCCTCCAGCGCCCTAGCGTGCTGCGTGCCGAAAACATGATCACCGTTCATGGCGCTCAACTCCACCTCGGCGAGCGTATTTTGCATTTGCTGCCACAGCGCATCTGCGTCGCCACGAGCACTACCGTCCATATCTCCATGGGTCTGGGAATGGCCGTGTTGGCTCTTTCCATTGCCTAGTCCCATTCTTAGTCCTGTTCCCGTGCCATAACCCAGTCCATAACCTAATCCGGGCCCCTGTCCCTGTGCAGATAACCGGGATGCACGCATCAGCGGGGAGCTTGGAGTTGAGCCTGGGGCTGAGGCTAGTTTAGTGGTGAAAGAAGTCGTAGCGGCAGGTATATCGGGAGGGGTAGTATGGGTTGAATGAGGGCGAAGAAGCGGGGGTTGATGGATGTGATGAGCGGCGGAGGTTGCCAGGGAAGGTTTAGCCGTGGCGTTGTTGGGTGGTGAAGTGTAATTGTGAGAGCCTGGCAGAAGGCTATGGGGGAGGGAGAGGTTAGAGGTGTTTAGGGACGGTGGGCCTTGGAAGAGGAATGGAGGTGGAAGGCGTTGTTGAGACGGTGGTGGTACGGCGGGGGTTGAGGACGAGGGGTTTGATTGTGTCGGTTCGGGCTTGGAAGCCGTTGTTGAGGTCGCCATGGCATGCCCTTATGGTTAATCTCTTGACTTTTGTAGGCGCTGGACAGGGGAATTTTAGCACTACTTTTAGCACTTGCTTGGAGGTTGGCTGATTGGTTAAATGGTCCAGCACGATGACTGGGATTGCATATGAACGGGGGTGGTCAATCGTTGGGACAGCGCAAGACAGAGACAGTTAGCAGGATTGAGAGTCAGGCCACTTTTCTTGTTCTTGGCGGATACAGATGTGAGTGTTCTATGTATCAGGTATGCATGATTGGCGCTATCTTACTGGCTGATCCTGCGCTGCATTGGCTGTATGTAGTAGTATGTACGGTACGTACGTCTGGACGTTTTATATCTCCCCGCGCGCCGGGGATGTTGTGATTCGATGGTTTGTTTAGTTTTACTGAGCCGCAGTTGCCAGAGGCGCAGCGGATGACGTTTGATAGGGCGAGCGGAAGAACAATACACCGTCTTCCGGTAATTTACTCGCTTAGCGGGCAATACAGCCCCGTAACCCACACCGACAATTTGAATACCACGGCCAAGTAGCGCAGATTGGTGTGTGTGTGTGGGTGAGTAAGCCAGCATCCAGCACAATCAGCGACAAGACCACACCCACCACACACACCACCGGCAGCGGCGACGGTTTCCTTATCCTCGACATCGACAATTCCTCCTCCCAACCCACCATCCTGCTGCGTTCTGGCAATAGCCTTCCTTGATATCGGTACGTTCCATTTTACAGCTAATGATATCTGCCCTGCACGCACACCTTAGTCCCCTCCTCACATGAAACATCAACGCAAAAATTCTCCGTCTATAAATGCCCCCAAGCCCAGTCGCCAGAGAGAAATTTTACATATATAATCCCTCGTCGACATCTTGCCAGACAACCCCCCCTCTAGAAAAAAAGGGAAAAAAAGGAGCTATAGAAATCTAATTGAACAAATAGAACCCAATCAAGAACAGAAACACCAGCAATCATGGGAAAGGGCCAGCCTCGTGGTCTCAATGCCGCACGCAAGCTGCGCAACCATCGCCGTGAGGGCAGATGGGCCGATCTGACCTACAAGAAGCGTCTTCTCGGAACTGCGTTCAAGTCCTCGCCCTTCGGTGGCTCCTCCCACGCAAAGGGTATCGTCCTCGAGAAGGTCGGTGTTGAGGCCAAGCAGCCCAACTCCGCTATCCGGAAATGTGTCAAGGTCCAGCTCATCAAGAACGGAAAGAAGGTCACTGCTTTCGGTGCGTATTTGCAGAAATTCTTTTTTTTTTTTTTCCTCATTCTTGATTTTTGGGGTTTTGTGCTGCCTTTTTTTTCCTTCGTCCTCCCTTCGTGATGGATGAAAGATGGAGAAAAAATCGAAGAGAAGAGAAAAAAGACAATGGGAAATATATTTTGGCTAGGAAATGCAGGAGCCCCATACGACACGGGTGATTCAACAAAAGCAAGACCAAATGGGGACGACTTGCGGGCATTTTTGGGGAATTTCTTGATTTTTCGATTTTTTCGCGGCTTGCCTACTAACCAGTTGCAATTCGTACTCTCTAGTCCCCAACGACGGTTGCTTGAACTTCGTCGACGAGAACGACGAAGTCCTGCTCGCCGGTTTCGGTCGCAAGGGCAAGGCCAAGGGTGATATTCCCGGTGTCCGATTCAAGGTCGTCAAGGTGTCCGGTGTCGGCCTCTCGGCCCTCTGGAAGGAGAAGAAGGAGAAGCCAAGATCGTAAACGAAGAAATATAAAAGATGGGGAGGGCGGAAAAGTGGATATCTTCGTGGCGATGTAGGTGGTGGTAGTGGGGTGGTGTCCTTTGCAGGCGACTTTTTGTGTGTTTTTCTACTCGTGTGAATGTGTATGTCTGTACCGGCTCCAGAAATGAATGCCCCGGAATGATTTGAGATAACCACTTTTCCTTTTTTTTATTTGTTTATTTTATCTTGAAAATAAATCTCCTACGAAAAACCTACAAAAACGTGCTTGCATGATTTGTTATTGTGTGGCGGGTTGTCTGAAAGGCTGGCTGGTTAAGGATGGTGGCTGCTTTGCCTGCTTCTAACTTCATCATTGCTGTTGACGCGTGGAGGACAATTGATTTATTCCTTGTTATGAGGATTTGGTGATTACTGATCTCACTCGCCCCTGAAGTCATTTAAAACCAGGTTTGGGGATAGAGAGGGGGCCCCCCTTGCTGCCCTTCAGTTAGTCCTTCTGACAACAGCACCGAGAGTCAGCGAGGATGCCATTACGCATGCACACCACTGCGCAGTCATTACGTTGATCTTCCTCCTTTGAATTCATCCTTTCACTTTCATCTTCTGAATATTATTAACGAACCGGTATATTGCTTCACCTTCATCACCTTCATCATCTTCGAACGAACTTGAGTTTAAATTTGATTTGGATGTGACCTTCATATCCATCGTAAGAATTGTCGTTTCGATTCATTTCATTATCTAAAACCCCATTTCCCTCACTCAACTCCCTTGATCCGTTGTTCCTTTCGTTGGAGGTTATTATTCTGCTCTATTTCCCCTCGTGCTTTAAAAGGCTATGTCCTCTTTTCGGTAATGATCCGAAACAATCCGATACAAATAAGAAGGCGCATGGCCACCCCTGTACTCGATGGGTCAGTAACGTACTTCTGTTTGTATTACTTCCAACATCCACTACCCCCGCAGCGAACAAAACGTTGGTGCGAAAGGGAGCTAAGGCAAGTCGTCGAATTGGGGAATAAATAATGCCATGGAATGCAAACTTACAGATTCGTAATGTATAGATCGACTAGCTCAGCCGGCACATAGTCATAGAGGGGATTCTCAACGTCAATCTTTTCCAGGTCTCCAGTTTCATACGGCAGCACCGCGCTCGCATCGCCATACTCGATCAGCGATTCGTAGTCGAAGGGGTAGACGGGGCTGAGTTTATATATTCCGCTAACGACAATGACGGGGATTTGATGTACTTTGGCTGCATTCGCAATCACTCTTGTTCCAGCTGCTGCCACTAGTCCTCCGTTTGCCAGCACCGAGTGCGTGCCAAGGATGACTTTGTTGACCCGTGACATTAGTGCAAAGACTGCCGAGTCAGGGATTAGAATCACCGTCACTCCCAGTTCGGTGAGTGACTTCTGAAACGATTCGGCACTTAAACTCTCCTCGTCTCCACTTCCTACAGGTCGCCGCCCGGCTACAACAGCATGTGTGTCGCGGTGATTGTTGGGATAGGACTCAGCATGAATCACAGTGAATTTTCGCTTCGCTGCAGCTTTCGCTAGGAACCTATGCACCGTCATCGACGAGGTGTAGGTGAGTATGACCTCGTCTGAATGGATGTGTTCCAGGGCGTAGCTGGCAATTTGATCTTCCACTTGGCTTAATTCGTCGACAATCTCGCCAATGCCGTCGATTACTTCTGCTTTGAAATCTTTCGAGGTGTACTGCCCTCGTATGCGTCCGGACGGCGATGCATTGACTGGGGATCCAGCTTGCGGTGACCCCACTACTTGAGGATGTGAAAGTAGCCTAAACATCGATATTACTGGGGGTGCTGTGGTTGCAGTTGTAAATGAGGCATGCGGAGCTAGTGGCATCGGTGGACGTGACGAGGATCGTTCTGTTCCCCGCTCCGAGTCAGCATCTGTGCCTTCACAGCGACTTAATGGGCTTGCGCCATGTGTAGCACCATGTGCGCCAAGTGTAGAAATCCCCGATGAGTGTGTAGTAAGTTGGCTATCAGCAGCAGGAGGAGTATGTGGCCTGGTTTCGGACCCCGCGTCACTGGATAGGTAAAATTCAGCCTCCCTCTCATCCTCCGCTTCTTCTCTAATCAGGCCCAAAACACGGCGCACGATATTCCCAACAACCATCTCCCTGGGCTGTGCCGCAATGAGCCGTCTTCCAACATTTTGTACACGGTCAATCAGCTTTTCTGGGTCTGTTCCTTTTGATGTTGAGACGACGCGGAGGAGGAGGTATGCCGTTGCGACGGCGCAGGAGTGTGAAGGGCGTATCTGGCGTCGTTTCAAAAGCCTAAATAAGACTAGTTAGCTAAAAAAAAAAAAAAAAAAAAAAAGATCTTTCCAAGAGTTCCTGCAGCCGTGCAGTGAAGAGACATACGATATCAAGTTTTCTGTCGCACTATCCACGTCACTCGTCTTGAGAACCTTGAGGAAGGACTGTAACCCCGGCGTTAGGGTTACTGTTGACGGAGGCATTTCTGATTATAGTTCTGGAGTGTTTAATCCTCCCAGGTGTATGATTAACTCTAGGTTACTTCGCAATGGCTTTTCGAATATGCAGCGGGAAAGGAGGATTCTCGCGATACGAGGATTTCCCGCGGTAGTCTCACTGGAGGGGCAATCACACCGTTGGTGCCTCAAGTAAAAGATACACGAGATAACAGAGAGAAAAAAAAAAAAAAAAAAGTCCAGAATGGTGCTAAGCTTGCGAATATATGCCGAAATAAGGAAATATATTGCGTGTTTGCCCGGTTGGAGCTTGCTTGGTTTGAAGCTTTTTAGTATTTTTTTGGCTGAATTGGACGGATGAATCACCGATACGCAGACTGTATGGGAAACGGTATTGATATTGTAATTTGCGGTATAATGATGTATTGTCAGGTATTGAGTCTTTGTCTTCAATCCTCACCTCAAACCAGGCTTAACCGGAATCGCCTTTTATCTTACAAGAATCTGGCTGTATCTTTTAAAATGGGCCCCCTTGCCATCAACTGTTCTTTGTCTAGATCACCTTGCATTAACAGCACGCGAGAGCCTGAAACGCCGCCCTTGGTTGAATGTTTTTATAGGAAGATTATATATACATCTATTATTCTGCCTCCGTTTACAGGCTAATCTCAAAGAGAAGCCCCTATCAAACCAGTCTGAGTAGGGGATATATCTGAAAAAGGAGCAAAGAATACCAGAGCCGCGCCGTTCCTCCCTGTCCCATATCAGCCCAGAACCAAGATTCCCAGATGAAGAAATGCGGACTTAGCTCATGATACACATGTCAGACCAATCCTTTAGGACTTTCCAAGCTGAATAACTTTTTGGTGGATTTGGCACTTCGTTCAGCGGCCGATTTTCGGCTTGGGGGTTTCCTCGATGTTGGTCTACTGCGAGGCACCGACCACATCCATCAGGAGGGATATGGAGCAAGCTCTGAGATGATGTGCCCGTTTTATGCATTGAAGATACAATCTGCTGGCAAGGCACGTGGTCGCATATGGTACTCCCCTCGCTATCGAAGTCTCTCAAGGCCCCGGCTTCACAATGACTTGGTGTCGGCCTCATTCTAGGACAGCCCGTTGTTACTCCCGGAGTTATTCCGTTACAGAATTTTGCCATTCGAATGTTTCCATGTCTGCATTTCCCGCTGGCAACGTCGGTTTCAAAACAGCAACCTTGGCTTGCCGTTTCCAACCAGCCCCGTAATATCACAGGGGAACAGAACCCCGCCAGCACTCTCACCTTCCGCATATCAACTCGGTTAAGTCGGCATTTGCAGGACTTGTTTCGAGGAGAAATAATGATACCGGAGGGATAGGTGTATCGAAATTCGACGTCAACACTACCCCAGTCGTAAAGGGGTGATTTCTCCCTGAAATAGACAGGGCGACCGTGCTCGAAAATTAGTTCGTGTGTTAATGCCGGTACTGATCCTGCGTGTGCCATACGGATGGATCCGTCCACTGCATAGACAAGAGATGAATGCCATGGCGTCATGATCATTCCGTCCTTTTGTGGGGTTATTGCTATGGATACTTTCGTTGACTCTGTGGATGGGTGAATCGATAATCTAATCGATTTATCAAACCTTCTCGCTATAGCGATTGCGAATGCTCGTCCACGGGTTATCATGTTTTTAGCCGTTGCTTCGTGGCGCTTTTTAATCTGTCGTTTTGAGACAGACGCATCATCAATACTGTTATCGTGGTCGAGATCTTTTTCGAGGAATTTTATGTACCCTCGGTAGGTCAGTGTTGTGTCAGGATCACTTGATATAAACGCAGAGACATCAAAATTTTCGGGAATATTTCTTTCGTGAAGCTGCGTCCGAAACCACGAAGCATCTTTCAAGTACTCTTCTTCTGATAATGGCTCTCCCATCTCGACCTCCCCAAGCAGATGCACAAGCCGAACAAAGTTTATATTACTGCATCCTGTGTCAACAGCAAGTTTTCGGAGGGCTTGGCCATAGGCCCACACCTCTTTATCGGAAATCCCCAGGAGGTCTAGTACTAATGTCAGCGGCGTTTTCATGATACTGTGGCAGGCTCAGGCTACTTACCATTGTACATCAATCCATCAGAAACAATGTCTATCCTCCCGCCTTTCGTATACTCGTTCTCGATCAGCTTGCAGAGTTCGTTTAGGTGTGCCAACGCAACCTCCTCGCCTTTATCTGGAAGGTGGCCGAGGACCTTAATTTTTTTATTAGGTGACTTGAATGGAAAAGCTGGAAGGACCATCGGTATGACCTCTCCTAGCTCTATGTATTCCCGAACGAGACTTGAGATTTTCGTTTTGGCTTCCCATGGTTCATGAGCGTGTTCTTTTGGGGCCATTCGATATGTTTCGAGGATAGAAACGATGGCATTGCTGACATCCTCGGATGTCTTTGGGCCAAAAGGGCACGGTTCCTGTGTCTTCCCGTCCGTACGAATTGCTGGGATGTCTTCAGGCCGACGTCGATTCTCAAACACGATATCTGTCCCATTCTCAAGGTAGACCATAATACTATGGTTTCCTTCCTTCACTGCTTGCTGAGTAGAGGGCATGTCCAAAACATGCAATAAATTCCCCCTACAAGCGTTTGATAGTTCATAATGGTCGAAGGTACAAGTCTTTCTGATCATAGCGACCAGATCCGTTTCCGCCGCCAGGCAGGTTCGAGTATTGCACGTATTATTGCTGATATCATCGCTAGACATTTTGACAAAGAAGAGGCCATTCAGTTTATAAATCAACTGGCTTGTGGATAGGTAATTTATTTGATGATGTCAAATTGAAGATTGTTTAAAGGATCAGGTTCTGTTCACACCACCTATCAATATATACTTGGATGCCGAATAATCTTTTCCATGTTGATATGGATGGGCTACGGGACGGGCTCTCAGCTAACTGCTGTCAACAGATAAGTCGGTCTACAGCCGCATGACTCGCTGAATGAGGAGCCCAGCTTCTGTGACTGCCATGCTAGCATGTGCAACTTTGGTAGCAAATTATGGCGAAAGGTTGCATAGCTCGCCTCAACTGGTCTATTTTACCTGGAAGTCACGGAAGCGCTCAGCGTTGTGGACTGTCAGCACCGTATTTTCTTACATGACGGACGGCAAGGCTGACCTACTTACATTTGAGGCTGCTATTGCTACATCGGGAAGGATGAAGTGTGATGAACTCCTGTCCCTTAGGCTACCAAGAAGTTCTCACTTGATTGGTCTACTGTTGTGATAGCAAAATTTGCTGTACGCCCCAGAGCTCCTCTTGACCACTACATTTGAAGAGATGAAATCCCCCATATTTCGGGAAGATGGACTCCCTTACAGCAAGCTTGACTATGTCTCTGGAGGAAGCTACTGACTTTTTGAGCCTTGAACTTTCGCCATCTGGCTCCATCGACCAAAGGACGAAATGAGCCCTGGCCTTAAAATACTATGCTGAGACTGTTTTGGGCATGCATTTCTAATCATTGAGATCTCGCAACCCCGACATCGATCTCACTGAAAAGATTCTCTATGAAGGCATCCACATCCCCCGTCCGAGACAAAAGCCTGCCATGTGCTGTCCTCATATAATTCCAGCTCAAATACGAGTCAAACGCCGACGATACCGGCCTTCAGGCTTCACGAAAGGCTTGCACGACAGGGAAAACAAACAATTCAATATATATCACATATATCATTGCGGCAGAATTGTTACATAAAATCCAGCAACCCGTTAGGTAAGTAAGCTCCTTCCCAGCTCACATGAGTTGTGCATTGTTCCTTTTCTGTAGAAATAAGTGCTTCCGCAAATTTTTGGGAATTACGTGCCATACGGGTTATTTTCATTGGCTCTGATTTCTACAGCTCGCATCCTTTTTCTTGCGCACAGAGTCCATATCCTAGTATCAGGGGTATTGCCACATCTGTTGGAATTGTTACCTTCTAGCCTCCGCAGTTTCGTCTCCAGCTTAGAAGGGAGAAAGATCGTTTTGGTTGGAATTAGAACATAAGATCACCAGTAATAGCTGATTCAGCATCCTAACCTTCCCCTGGCGAGGATAGGGCATGGATTTTGAGTCCCCAGCACTAGTGCATAAAAAGTTTGGTCTGAGAGATCCGGAGAAGATGTTTGGTCAAGTGGTTAAGATGTTTCCACAGTTTATTCATCCGCAACGGCTTCACCTTCACACCGCTCGTTCCGCAATATATATAATTGAATCACCAGAACCCTTGCGCCAAGGCAACCTTTTTTTGAGTTGGTGACGCCCGATTGAATGGGGAGTGAAGCCAGTCAGTAGCTGACGCTGAAAATTACCCCTTTTGTTCAAGCGTATTTTACACCCAGGTTTGTTCGTGCCAGTTAAAAAAAAAAAGGGGGGGTGCTGAAGTTTGCATATGCAAATGACGCAGTGCCAAAAAATATATTACCATGTTTTTCTCCGCAACTAGTAATATTTAGTGGAACATTATAGCTTTCTAGCCAACATGCGTCGTGAAGCCAGAATCTCATTTGGTCTTTTGACAACTGAGGTGCAAACAAGCTCAAAACTAGGCCCTACCTGAACCATGGAACGGAATGAACGGATTCCTATTTGGATTTAGCGCGGATCTGCGAGGAGCGTCTTGGCATTGGGGGATCCTATTTTTCATACTTCGAAGCTGATCCTCACTCCGGGATTCTGCACCGTTTCTGGAAGGAAGAAAAATTGACATAATTTGTATGTCTCAAAAGTGATATGAGTGCCGATGACCTGTTACACATCCTGGAACTTTTTACTCCAATCACTTTCGCGCACGCAGCACGTGAAGGATGATGCACAATCTTCAATATCCGATTCAACGCCAAACGGAAATGATATCAGGCCACCACGGTTATTTATAAGAAGGTAGAGGGAACCAGAAATTTAGGGTTGCACGCCGAAGAGAAAATAAGTAAACAAACGAACAGTTAAAAATTAAAAAATTAAAAACGCACATGTGCCATTGATGGGACACGCAAGAAACAAATATTAGGTCCCTGAATCAGAAATAATTCGTGACATTGGCAAATCTTTTGACATCATTTTGATTAATTGAGGTGCAAGACCATCAAACCTGTTTATAAGGTGTAAAAGCAGGATTCTGTGGTCCAAAGCTCTTTCCAGACTCGATCGATGTGGCCGATCCTGTTCTCTTACTCCAATTCGCAAAATGTTCTGGCAATAAGTGTAATATATAACATTGTAAGAATCAGCGCCTCATGGCTTCCCAACAAGAGCAACACGAGCCCGATGATAACCGCATTACTAGCACATTAGTTGGTATCATTTATTATTCATTCTTCTCCTCATTGGGGGATAGATGGTTGATTGCATATCTTGGCCAGAGCCTGCCAGGCTCCTTGCTCTAACCAGTAGGCCAAAGAGACCACAAACCGGCTGGCTCCCATCCTGAAAGTGCTGGCCCCTGCGCCCCCGGGGCCTACCGTTACATTGCACCATGAGGCCAGGGCAATAAGACAATGGTTGGCTATTCTGATAATGTTGCACCGTAAGTATATATGTGATCATGCAGGAGATGGGGGGGCGGCCTTCCCTAGACTGGGAAATTTGAGGGACAATTGTTTATTCCATAGCGAGCCTAAAAGAGGTAATAGAAGTAGAGTAGTTATGCCCGTGTAGCGTAAGATTTTAACTATCCCATAATAGAAAAAATAAAGGTATGCCAAGGCGCCTGGGAGATCGTATTTTGGGGTGGATTCCTACCTTTTAGCAATTATATATGTGATATATTCGCCCACTCAGCTTCCTTTTTTTATCGCGTTACACAAATGTGATCTTTGAGGCTGCATTGTTGCCGGCATGCTTTTCCCTGCACATTCGGTAGAGCGGGAAGTCTGGGTTCATAATTCCTGCCTTCCACATGAGTATCCTAGAGGACCACAACCGAGTGGTTTAAGAAAATTCATGATGTGACGCAAACGCACTTCCATTAACCGCCCATTCTCAACTTGAAGCAAGAATATCCGACGTCCTGTAGCTAATGATGGACTTCCCGTGATAATCCACCAAGAATGAAGCCTCTAGACTCACCTCCGCGGCCATTCCTGCCTGGGTATTTTTATATTAGCCCATTCCAGTGCTCTTACGCCACTGCTGCGATAGATGAAAAGGATTGATTTTGTTTTACTTCCCTCCTTCTAGATCAGAACACTGCGCATTCATCAACAAAAAGTTGAAACTGACAACTTTCTCGCGACATGGCTTTACTGGCGGGCATAGGCGCGACAGTGGCCCTAGTGACCATCTCTCTATGGTGGTATCTTCGCATGCCATCCCACATGCCCAAAAATATCCCCACAGTTCCATTCTACGTATCCAGCATTGCATATTTCATTGACCTCGGTCAAGATCAGATATATGACCGCTGGTTGCGCGAACCACTAGAAAAATATGGAGCAGTCAAGTTCTGGGTCTCGTCGCAATGGACTGTGCTTCTTGGAAAGCCAGAGTATATCAACGACCTCCTCAGGAAAGATCAGGTCTTTCCGAAGGCAGGAAATAATAACAGGATTCCCTTCAGCGTTCTTGGTACTTTCCTCGGCAACAACATCATTAGCGCCCAGGGGGAGACATGGAAGCTTTACACCTCGATCATGAAGGCTGGTATTCAAAGGCGGATCACAGACACCAGTAAGTTGCTGGGGAGGTCAAGGCAGTTGATCAGAGGACTCCTGGAGGCTCAGAAGGCTGCGGGCAAAAGTTCGGGCATCGAGATAGAGTCATTAGTGCAAATGTATACGATTTTTGTTGTGGGAGAACATTTCTTTCAAACGGATTTTGAAGTACGTCCAATTTTGGAATTCGTGGCATCGGAAAGGCTTGGATTCCCAAATATTCTAACAAAAGATGACAGAGCCTTGAATCGAATGAAGCGGTGAGGCTGGCAAAGTACCAGACAGCCATTAGGGCCAACGTTTTTTCTCCGCTGTATTTCAGTTTTCCCATCCTCGACAAATATCCCTATATATTTCGGAGTCGAAAGCGCGCGTTCCGAATCGTGAAAGAGTACGAGGACCTACTTTACGAAGTTGTTCGGAACCCTCGACCACGGACCGTTTCGCGGGACTCAAGTGCTTCAGGCGAACGACAGGTTATAGACGACCTCCGAGAAGCCCTCGTCTGCGGGAAAATCACGGAGACCCAGTTCCGTGCAAATATGAAAATAGTGTTCGTGGCAGGTCACGAAGACGTGCAGCATCTGCTCGACTCAGCCTTGTATGAAATGGGCACCAAAACGGTTGGTTCCCCAAATAGTCACGCCCCTTAATCACCTCCTAGGCTGGAAATGAAAAGCTGACAAGGAAACCATTGTAGGCCGTACAAGAAAAGCTTCGATTAGAAGTCTTGAATACAGGGGCCGTCGACCCAACACCGGAAATAGTTGACAGCTTGCCATACCTCGCTGCGATAGTATTCGAACTTCTGCGCCTTTACCCCCCACTTCAACAGCTCATCAACCGGAAAGCATGTCAAACAGCAGTTATAGGCGACGACATCGTCATATCACCAAACACACTCCTTGGTTGGACTGCACTTGGTGTGCACACCAGCAAAGCAGTGTGGGGCGACGATGCAAAACAGTTTGTCCCCGAGAGATGGGGAACCACGGTTGACACAATACGGGCCAAGTTCCGTAGGGAAAATGCCCGGGGTGCATACATTCCGTTTAACGCACATGCGCGGAAATGCCTTGGCCAGGGGTTTGCCTTATTGCAGATGAAGATTATGTTGTTCGAGTTGGTGAAAAGCGTGGAGTGGATATTGGATCCTAGGTCTAAAATGAAGCTTGCACGAGTAAGTCTTTTATTTTTATTTTTATTTTTATTTTTATTTTGGTAAATTTTAGCATGGCCGAGCAGCTTTACCATATCGGATGCAACTGACCATTATTTCGCCACAGGGTTTGTTGAAGCCAATTGGCTGCAAGTATATATTCAAAAATCGGCCGGGTATAGAAGCCAAAAGGAACTGAACTCCTTGTTCCCAGGCAGTAACTATAACCGTTCCGCGCTTTATTTCGGCACGGGTGGGCTGGGCAATTGGGATATAAGCAAATAAACGGGGCGGTGGCGGGGATGGGCGTTGGAGGGCACGGCGCAATGGAGACATGTCGGAGAGTCTCTCGTCTTACACAAACTTGTCATGTGTAATGGTTTGTCCGCAACCAAGAATGAAATGTCTGTATACTTCGGGAATATTCGACGGAGCTTCACTGTCAGCATTAGAAGTCTCACTTACATGCCACTTGTTTCGGTTTCCTCTGCTCCTCGCATCTCACAAGTGCTGATTCACACAAAATCAAGAGGCCTTTCAGATATCGAGACTCACTGACTGCTTATCGGGTTCACACACCTTAGCATATGTCCCCCACTCTGACTTGTAGGCAAACACCAGCTGAGCTTCACCCAGGAGATATGCCCGATCATAGGCATGGGTAGGACATAAAATAAAATAGAAATTACTAAGGACCAGAGCGAAAAATATGCTTCCTCTGAAGAAGAGCGAGAAATATATGGCGCAGAGGAGCGGCCCACTGGAGATCAACAACCACGGGTGTGTGCATATGTTCCATAAACGCCCCTCGTCCTACCTGCATGCGATTCCCATCACGCCCCTTTGTCAAACAGGAGCATAGTGACGCCCTTAAAAGAATATTCTTGACATGGTGACTTTGTCGTACAGGATGCAACGGTTCCATTTTCAAGTTTTGGGCTTTGGATCCATGTTCTCCCTGCAGCTTGAGTTTGGGTGCCTTTCTTTGACAATGCAATGTTGTCAAGTTAGAGTCCGCAAGAGATTTTGACTCTGTTAATTGGCTGGTAGTTGGTCTAACCACATATTCATTGTTGTGCCTCCACCGTGTAGTTTGCGTTCTTCCATTCCCTTGCTCTTTCGTTCCGTCCCCATCCTACCCTGTTTCTTCCCTTTCAATTCTTTAGAATCAACCATACAAGGCAAAACCTCTCCTTCCAACCATCTGTAAAATCCCATTGCACCTCCATTGGAAATGGCGATTTCCCTTCCAGCAGATGTCAATGAAGAAGGGGACATCTCTACGACGAAAGAGGGGATGGTAGACAGTCAACCAGAAACTCAACCGCCGTATTCAACGTTTTCCCCCGCCAGAAAAAAGTTCATTCTATCAATAGTTGTCGCAAAGGCCTTCATTGCTCCAGTTTCTGCGAGTATCTATATGCCTTTGCTTCCTGTCCTGGCAGAGGATTTGAACGTGTCTGCAACGTTGATAAACCTAACGGTTACGGTGTTTATGCTCACGTTCGCAGTGGCGGTTTGTACTCTCCCCTGTTCGCCAGTTTGCTATTCATCAGATTATCCCTCTCTCCCTAGCTTTAGAGATAGAGAAAAAAATTCCAAGGCAACTTGCATACTGGCTATGTCTAATTGTTAGGCTGTAGCCCTTATTTTTCGCGACCCTCTCAGACGCAAGAGGGCGAAAGCCAGTGTATGTGCTTGGCCTATTAATCGGCATTGGCGCAAACATTGCCCTAGCATCCGCACCTGCGCATTATGCCTCCTTCATGACATTGCGGGTTGCGCAGGCGTTCGGTGGTTCTGCGCTTTACAGCCTTGGAGCCGGTACAGTCGCAGATATTTTCGAACCGAAGCAGCGTGGTCGAGCCATCTCATATTACAGTCTTGGACCGCAGTTAGGACCAATTCTTGGTCCGGTAATAGGGGGTGCGATTGCACAGAGATCAACTTGGCGATGGACCTTCGGGTTTTTAGGTGAGTATGAAGGAATTTAATTCCTTTACCGCAGGCCAAGTGTTCCTAGAGCGTTGACAGTTTATCTATTCGGTCAGCTATTTTTGGCAGCTTTTGCCTCCTAGTTTCCCTATTCTTACTTCCGGAGACTCTTAGGTCAAGGGTTGGAAACGGTGCCATCTACGATGGAAAGGCTTGGATTCAGTGGCCATCGTTCAGCAAGAGGGTCGAGCTCAGGCCTGGAGAGACGGTCCCACGGCGACCAAGTAGACGCAACATACTCATATTCATGAAACATCCTATCATAATGCTCTCATGCATTAATGTCTCCATCCTTTTTGGGAGCTACTATTGTCTTTCAGTGACCTTCCCCACTGTCCTCCAGGAACGATATGGATTCAACTCTGCAGAAATTGGAGCGGCTTATCTCGCACCAGGTATATTGGATTGACCAAGAGCTTGGGTAGATCTCACTGACATGTCCTCTTCTCAATAGGGCTCAGTATGACATGCGGATCAGTTATTTGCGGACACTTAAGCGACTGGGCTCACCGGAGGTATCTTGAGAATACAAAGGACGAAGACGTAGCACCCGAACGAAGGCTCCACCTTCAATTTATAGGCACGGCCCTATTTCCGATCGGAGTTCTATTATATGGATGGCTGGGAAATTCCGGTATAGGTGTTCCAGGAGTAATCGTCTCAATGGCTATCTGTTCGTCCGTTTATATTATCCCTTCAGAAGACACCTGCGTTAGCTAATATGATCTAGGCGGGTTTGCATTCTCATGGACGCTTTCGACCAACACGACATATGTAACGCTCGTCCAGCCTGGACAGGCAGCTACTCTGGTCGCATTGACTTCACTCCTGCGCAATCCAGCCGCTGCAATCGGAGCAGCTGTGATTGATCCGCTCATCGGCGTAGAGGGTTTTGGTTGGTGCTTTACCGGACTTGCAATTGTTGACCTGTCAAGTACAGGAATTGCGCTTTTAAGCCTGGCAAAAGGACCCTCCTGGAGAAAAGGTTTCGAGAAAAAGCATGAGCATTCAATATCTCGATAGAGAACGCTATCAAAACCCAAAAGTCCTGGTGAATGGTAGTTAGATAAAAAGTAGGCCAACATATATCACATGAATATAAGGCTCCTTGGGTACAAACCGGGCAACAAGTGCTCCAGGAGTATCATTGGTAGTTTAAGACTTGTTCAAGGCTGCTACTCTATTGGCAGGGTGTCCTCCGTAGTTGTTCCGTGAGTAGAAGGGGACGAGCGGTAAGATAACAACCGGACCTTCTCGGTGTGGTGATTGTGAAGGGAATTGCACAGGAGACTCTTGTTGGGGGTCCCGGGTTGATCGGCCCTTCTACCAGCAGTGCGCTGGTGGTGACTGGGCTCTTTTGCCCCAGTAGCCTACAACTCAGGAGACCACATGATTGCTATCGAGCTGAATAAGGCGCTTTTATTTAAGTGTTGGTTGATAAGCCTGGGGGTATTGGCTACAGTAACTAGTTAACAGGAGAGGAGGAGAGGAGGAGCGTCGGTTGGGAGTTCTGTTGAGAGGCGTGGACCTGCATGAAAGGGATTCAATACCAGACGGAAATCCATGCATTGCTGCCTGTAGAATAAGGAGATATCTCTGCTCCGTTTTGGCTCCTAAACCCGAGCATTGTTATGGTTGGGATGCAGCTGGAGCGGGTTGTGTCTTAACGGCTGTTTGTTGGCGTGCGTTGTTCGGCCCAACAAATGAGACCGTCGTTGCGGCGGCTCTGCTTCCCCACCACCAACCTTCAACCTTCAACCACTTCGCTCATTCTCCTCCTCCAACATCAACAAACTACCAGCAACTGCGACTATTTACCACAACAACACGACAACGGCAACGACAGCGCTGACTTCAGCTTGGCTTCCTGTCCTCGTCTCTCTCCATTCTCTTGCCAGTGACACTCCGTCTCTTGTTCCTCCTTCTGCTTGGACATTAGCATCCCGTACAGTTAAAACACCGCACTGCCGCTAGGTGCACCCCGGCTGCTGTACTCGCCCAGCAGCACCCGGCAGCCAGTTGGCAGTGGCTGGGGCTGTCAGCAGCATCTGGCGCATTGAGGTAAGCTGAAACCCCTGGTCTGTTTTCAATTCATGATCATTTTTATTGTGCCTACGCTATGCTCCTTGTCCTGAACCCTCGTGGTACTAGTTGCTGATCTAGTTATGAGTAGACAACTGCGTCCAGATACGGTTGCATGGCCTGCAACGAACCATGAACTCGCTCAATATCCTCTCATCTCGAGTCATCAGACAGCCTACCACGTCCAATACCCGTCCCCGCTCCCGTTCACAAGGCCCTGTGTCCTCCGAAAGCCACCGAAGTGACCTAGCTGCGGGCAGATCGTACAGCGAGGGAAAGCTGCACCTTGCGGAGTCAGTTGACGCCCAGCTCCTAGGAGAGAGTCACCATGACGTCCAGGAAAACGAAGATTCCCTAGATCTACCAGACACGGTGGATGAGAAATCTCCTCTCCTACAGGGATTACAAACAAGCGGCATTCTCCCATCAACTAGTAAACTACAATTGATTGCTCAACGCCTCTTCGATGCCATTGCCGAAACATTAAAAGTTATATTGTCTGCGCTTGCCTCTCCAGGTATATACGTTGCGGGTGCTTTTCGGGGCGATGACGGACGTTACTCTATTTTAACGCCAGTAAGGCGGCTAGGGCAGCTCATCGGAGGCCCTAACAGAGGCACGACGGCATCACACGGCATTGGCGTCCCTGCGTCAGGACGCAATGTTTATCCTGCCACGGAGAAAACTTCCGGCCGGGGTGGGAGTAATGTACGGCGGCTAAGAAGCTCTACATCCCGAGAGTCAATATCTCTCAATACCTCAGAGTCGGAGCCTGACCGGTCTGGATTGAGGCACACCAATGGCGGGGGCCGAAGAACGAAATCAACTCGCGGTTCGTCATCAACCGACGAAGGAACCCCCAGACGATCAATACGTATAAAATTAAACACGGAAGGGAATTTGAAACGAAAGCAGCAGAAAGCGAAATCCGACGGATCGAGGCAAGATTCCGAAACTCGTGCGGCTGAAAGCTTGAAATCGCCAATGTCTCCATCTTCTCATAAGCTCACAAAATACCCTCATGCCCCGTCTCCACCACGACCGCTCATACCACCACGGCAACCATCATACACCTCACCTTCAAACCCCAGGTATGGACCATCGGCCCAAAAAACCCTGGTGCTCGACCTTGACGAAACCCTTATCCACTCTTTGGCGAAGGGTGGCCGAATGTCCAGCGGCCACATGGTAGAAGTAAAGTTGTCAGCTCCAGTGACGACTTCAACTCCTGGAGGGCCGACAACCACGATCGGACCTCAGCACCCTATCCTTTACTACGTCCATAAACGCCCGCATTGCGACGACTTTCTCCGGAAAGTATGCAAATGGTATAAACTGGTGGTTTTTACTGCTAGTGTTCAGGAATATGCAGACCCAGTCATCGACTGGCTCGAGCAGGAGCGAAAGTACTTTCATCGTAGATATTATCGGCAACATTGCACATTTCGGAATGGTGCATATATCAAGGACCTTAGCTCTGTAGAGCCGGACTTGAGCAAGGTAATGATTTTGGATAATAGTCCTATGAGCTATATTTTTCATGAAGGTATGTGTCAACGAAAATCATTCCAATCGCCCCCAAAGAGATTGAATGCTCCGTCTCCTATGTAAATTGCACATTTGCTAAAGAACCACTTGGTTCATACAGATAACGCCATTCCCATCGAAGGCTGGATCAACGACCCTACAGACAACGACCTCTTACATCTCATCCCAATCTTGGAGGCGCTGCAATACGTAACAGATGTCCGTGCCCTTCTTGCACTACGACGCGGAGAAGCAGAAGCATAATAGATATCCCACTTAGAACAAATGTATATACTGGCTAAGTTGTCTTTCGCGTCTTTAATTTATTATTCCTTTTTTAATTGTTATTTCTCCCCTCTTCTTTTCTCCCTTTCGATGTTATATGCTACGCCGTGCTTTTCTTGTCCCATTTCCCTCCTCTTTTCTTCCAATAGTTCCCATTAGCGTGGTGTTCTTCTCTGCCACTTTGAATTTTGCCAAGCTTTTCTTTGCACTTTTATTTTTTCTATTGCGATTTAATTCAATTTACAGGGTAAGAGTTGGACCGCTTGTTTTCTGCGCTCCCTTTTTCTTTTTGGCTCGTTATCCATTTTTCTACTTTAGTTACTTGGCTCCGCATCCGCATCACACGGACAACGATGGCGACCGTAAGAGAAAACAGGGAAGGACGTTTCATTCCAACATACCAAATAGCCGCATTTTTATTTTTTGTTCTCGTGCTTTTTCTATTAGTCTATCCCACGTGGCTCATCCCATCCGCCAGCTAGGCCTGTTCAAGATATATATATACTCATTTTATATCTGCTCTCTTTTAACTCCGGGTGCATCACTGTACAATACGAACATTTTAGCTTCCGTTTGCTGTCCGAACAATTTAACACTTTACTACATGCATGCCCGGCTCAGGATTTAACCTCTACCAAAGTTGGAATTGACTTTAATTACGTTCTCAGAAACAATTTCATTTTGCTGCTGCGTTGTGTTGGGAGGAGGCTATATACAGAAGGATATATTCTTATCATATAGATCATGAAGGGGTGGAATGGCCGAAAAACATCCGCTCTCTCATCTAACTCTTGTCCCAAGATAATTGTCCCAAAATATCCCCTTAGGTCTCCTCCGTCATCCAATACTGATCCTATGCTCTCTTCCACTTTGACGACCGAATCTCCTCCAACCAATCCGTAAACTTTATTTTCTCGTCTCCAAGGGTCATATAACCTTCCTTGATTCCCTTCCATCCTTCAACTGGGCTTTTAATATATCAATGCTTCGCCCCGCAGCACAACCGCCAGTGGTTATTGTCAGTTGAATCCTCATTAAGTGCCTGACGTTTTTGATAACACTCCTCGCACAGTTCGCGTTTGGCGCATATCATACACAGAGACGGGAACCTTATCCCAATACTCGATATTGTCATCCGCACACTCTCCGTTACATATATAGTCAGTACTGGGTGCGAAATCCTCGTCTTGGTGTTCTCCTATCTCAGATGCCGAGGAGCCGGCGCTGGAAGTTGCTGAGCCGCTGGCCCCAGATCCGGCATCTGAAGCCGCATTGCTTCCATCACTACCGTCTTCGCTGTCAGTGCTCCAGTCAGACTCCTCATCGCTAGACAAAACATGCTCCACCCGCGGGTCGATAATGTAGAACCGTGCAGAGAATGCAATTTGTGCCTCCCTTTCCAACCCGCCAACGGAAGCTAGAACCTTAGCAAGCAGGCATAAGCTGTTCTGATCATTCCAGCCCATATCATCCGTTAATGAGGATATGTACGTTTGAAACGTTTTAGAAAAGGTCAAACCCCTTTTCTACAAAATCATTGGAGGCTCGTTCATCAACCCCGCCACCGGTGACGATGATGATCTATCAAACCTTTCTGAAGCCCAGCTGGCCCTTGGTGATATTATTTACGAGGAGTTTCGGCGAGCAGAACCGTCGAGAAAAAGATGGCGTCCATGGATGAGCTGAAAAAGCTGCAAACACGCCGACTTAGGGCTGCGGTAGGTGACGGAGCCGTTTATGAAACATCTGGTTCCATAGTCTTAGCCAATATCCTTCGCAAAATGGGCCGCGCCCTCGAGTTCCAGGACTTATTGGAGAAAATCGCCCTTTATCGTCTGATAAAAACGACGCAAGTTCCCAGAGGATACCTGCGGATGACTTCGAGCGGTCTAGATATGTTATTATTTCTTCGTATGTCCTGATCAAAGAGTCTTCTTTTCCAGTTTTGGTTGCAGCCCGGCGAAACGTATCGTGCCTATTGTCATCATCCTCTGTGAGCCAAGCCATCCGCTCCCAAAAAGTTCACTGTTCAACGTTCTCCATAAGTTCCACGAATCTCGATTGTTCTCCAAGAATTTCTTTTATTTCGTTCAGAGAAACCCCATCCAGGATCTCGGAGGAGCAAATGATTCTCGCTTCCCCGTAAGATTTCACAGCCTCATCGAGTCTATCCATAGCACGCTCGCAGTCACCCTGGATTAGTAGCGCTTCTCGAATCAAAAGTCGAGCTTCCTCTTCTGTAGTGGGATCATCCACGGAAGAAGGTCTACTGGAAAGAGCTTCGCAGATCGTCTTATATGCTATGGCATTGTATTGGTTGGGATCGTTCCCGGCATTCCCACTGTTGGATTCGACGTCAGAGACCTCATCAGAGATATCGCCAGAGTCGTTGTCAGATTCGTCGCCTTCTTCGTCATCATATAATTTTGCATATACCTGCACGAGAACAACTAATGTGCGAAAACGATCTGCCTCCGAGATAGATATTCCCAATGCAGCACATGCGACAATTCCCGCATCATAGTGCCCATAGTCTTTCAAAATGAGTCCAATGGCTCGATATGCCTTTTCATCTTTTGGAATATCCGAAAACACATCCGCAAACATTTTGATATTTTCGCGTCTGTTTTATGTTTTGCTGAAATAGGTGCGCAGAGATCCGTCTAGAAGTAAATATTGTCAGTTAGAGGCGACGCTGCTGAGTTTGAAGGTTTCAAGACGCTTATCATCAGGAGCGCACCCGATGCGAAACGAAAGGATTCACTTTCAGCATGCATCTGCTGGAACCAATTCGAGATATGGCCCCGTGCTAGCGGAACCATGATCTTCAGCGGAGATTTGGCAGCGACTCAAAAACCTATTCTAGCGCTTAACTATCTTCCCAAAAATCTCACGGTAGACTAGCCCTAATTCGAGCTCTTTTGCGGCATTATTGTGATCGTTCAGGACGAGAGACAGAGATTCAATAACTCGCAGGAGATCTAGCTCCGTTGCAGAAACAGGATCAAGCTCCAAAAAGTGATCAGCCCAAAAATTAATGGCATAATCTTTTAACTCTTTTCCCCCGGCCTCGTATGCTGAATTGTAGCGGTCACATATCACATCGACAGACGTCGCAAACATTGTAAGATGAGCAGAAGAAGGCTTTCGTAAACCACTTTCGCCCACATCGCCAGAGCGAAAGTAGCCCCTTAAAGATCTATCCAGAAATTGTAATGTTGCAGCGTTGTCGTCGGCTATCATGTTCGAGGCAATAGAGCCGTCATCAAGGAAATTTTTCATTATCATCACTCTCCTTGTCTCGTTTTTCTTTGATCGTGTAATTCTCAAATTGCTAAAAGGTCAGTAGGTCAGGCTTTTTCTTTCGTCTTTTTCCTTTTCTGTTCTAACCGGCTTCGTACGAACTAAGAGTTGGGTGATTGAGATACCATACACACCTTGATGATTTCCCTTCAACCTCTTTTATAACACTCTATGATCGGTCCTGGTCCAAAAGAGTAGCCAGTCCCTCCGCCTCCCCAACAGTCAATAGACATTTTGCAAACGCCAGCCACAATAACAACTGCTTGAATATTGCAGGTGTTCGGAGGTTCTGCGCTGCTGAGCCTCAGTCAACAGAATGTTATAAGCAGATTGGAGACTATCTGGAAAGCTCGTTTCGAGGTCCTTCAACACCATTCCTTCCCTACCAATAGAATTGTATCGCCGCAGCATATGGTCGACATATAGCATTGCTAACGTAGAATTAGCGACGTAATCATAGACATACTTAGGAAAATATGGAACAAAAGGGCAATAGGGAAAGCTTACAATCAGATTTTTCCAGTAATTTGGAGAGTATTTTCTTTTTCGTTCGCCTGCCAAATGCATATAGGTTTTGGAAGCGTCTCAATCTGCCTTCAATCAGAAGAGTCATGTCCCTCCGCAGTTTCTACTTGGTAGCGACAACTTTGAGTGATTCGAGAAAGGTAGGGGAGGACTGTATACCAACACGGCTTGTGAGAAGCACGTGTATGCTCAGACTCTGTTTTCGTATTCGTGCTAATAATTCAAGAAATTTCGATCTGTCGTCGGCGGTTATCTGATCCAGTCCGTCAATGATTAAGAAAAGTCGATATGTAGACCCGCTTCCGAATTTGGATTGGAAGAAGCCGCTCCCATAAGTCGGTCCAGTCATCAGTGTCAACCCCTCCATCCTTTCCGGCTTCTGACGATGCTTGCTCACAATAGCCGCTATTTCCTCCTGCGATTTGGATAATCATGCTAGAAAACGCATTTGATACGGACATAAATTCGGCTTGATCATCCTGGTAGTCGAAAGCGGCAATAGAGGTCTTCGGCTCGGAGGCAAATGCTTCCTCTAATTCTTTGGACAATAAAAATGCAGCGGAGGTTTTTCCAAGGCGAGTGTCACCGGAGATCCAGAGGTATGGATTAGTGGTTCCTTCACGCCATACCTGGTAAGCTTCTTCATCCAAAACCCATCTAGCTGGTCCCGTTACAGAAGAATAAGAGCCTGCCAGGCGGAGTCAATGTTGTTCTCGAAGTAAAGTTTCACGGAATTAAACGTGGCGTGCTTTCGTGTTGCCGCATCTGCAGTTTTCCCCGAATCATGCAATTGAGTCCTCCTTGCTTCCTTCTGCTGATTTTTTAGCAATTTTTTAAAATTTGGCCGACATATCGTGGAACTCCTCTCGTTGGGCAAGGATAGAGACTTCGATCCTTTCAGTCCTAGAGTCGATTCTTTCGGTTTGGGTAACAATGGTGTTTGTGTCCTGCTTCAGATCTTGCGTAGTAGTGAGGATGACCGTGAGTGACGCAGATTCAAGCTGCGCGAGTGACTCCTTCATCGTAGATTTGGCCGATTGCAGATCCTCATCGTTTCCCACATCCCTGAAAGCTTTGGCCCATTTTCCCTATATAATAAGTACTAAAAACGCCGAAGGGCAGGTGGACAATGTGCTTACTCCATCGCCCTTTCTTTATGTATGTGGTTGCAATACCACACACGCTCAACAAAGCTAAGAAGACAAGCATAACATGAGACCTGTATGCGGGAATTGAAGGCAATTTCCCCTCGATGATTGATAAATGCTCTAGAAACGCCCTCATCGAATCGAAAAGGTCGACTAGTTGATTACAATCTGAAGAAACGTCTTTGGTCACCTACACACTCCGAAGGGTGAGGGACATGAATTTTCCATACAACAATGCATTTATAACCACAAGCAAAGCGATTCAAATCAGCACGGAGGTCATGAATACCTGAAGAAAGTGAAACATAGCAGAAGAGATAGCGACAGTGGGAAGACAAGCCTTCAGATAGATGAGGTCACTTTCGTTAGAAAAATATTGTGTTAAGTAGAAGAAAGTTTTCTGTTGGTAGTCTCTTCGAGACAAATAAAATAGGTGCTCACTAAAGCAGGCTATCTACGAGGAGTCTGAGCGATCCTAGATAATTCACATTTCACCCTGTAGAGGATCAAAGCCTGTCGATCAGTTCGCCATCATGTCGGAATCTATTAAAGGTGGTTTGTTGCAGCTCAGCATCTTTGAGGATATACTCGACAGAAGTAAAGCGAGGCACCTTCTGAAGATCTTCGCCTGTGCTCTTATGATACCTAGCCAACGCCTGCTGCCATAGTAGCAAAACGTCTGAAGGAAGGTCATCAGCGGTTTCCGTCAGATCCATTGGTGTGACGGATATTACTGCCATTTCTATAGCTAGCTTTGAACTCTTTTCTTGGGATACAACCCATCCAAGGTCGGCCCAGTAAGTATGGAATCGTAAAGGGTATAATCAAAGAGATAAAGACGTTCGACTTTCGTCAGATGGGTATGGGTCGAGGATTCGATTGAGCTCCGAGAAAATATCATCACCTTCAACCCCGCAGGCTAGAACCTTATTCAGCCGCATGGTGGGGGACGATTTGGCGTTAGCAAGCCAAAGAGCGTTGGTTGGAGAGCAGTTTATTGGCAGCATTTCATTCGGGGGCTCTTTTCCCTCTCCTTTCTAGCAGACATTGTTTAGCTGAATGGGATTTTTGAAACCTTTAATCTCAAATTTTCTCGACGTGGACCCAATCCCCAATCCGGCAACTACTGCCTATGATTTTTCTCAGTTAGATTCCAATAACTGATTCATTTCAGAGCCAGCTGCAATTTGCGTCCAATGCCGATTGTGCGACTAAATGGTTGCTGCGTATCATTATCATTCATGCATGACGTTGGCGAGGAAGAGCCGCAGTCCCCTAAGAATGAATGCACAAGAAGTTTTTCCGAACCGGGATTCGTTTTATTGGCCCTCATCAGGACTAGGACGGCTAGCATTGGACCAGAAAGGTTGACTTCATATCAGAACTGATCATCGAGAACTCCGTTTTTCAAACGGTAAGCATGGGCCCGAAATTATGGCCTGGGTTATCTGGCCTCGCCCTGAGATTGCCAGTGGAGTGGGATAGGCAAACGCGACGGATATTTAACACATATGACGTTTCCTGATCACCATGACTGCAGGAAACAGGAGACCCCAGGCGCTAATTCTCAGATCAATTTCATACAATCAAAGAAATCCCAAAGGATTGGTTATGGCGTGTGTTTATTGGAACCTCTGATGTATGGCGTACACAGTTCACAGCATACATAACAAAGGATTGAGCAGATTCGAGAGCTGTTGAAGGGCTTTAATTCCAAGCCCCTGCCCAAATTGGCGGCGTTGGCTGGAGTATTTTTATGCGAAGCTTTTGCCCGTGAGGGCGTGGCTTAAAAGGAAGAGAAGTCCTTTGGTGTTCTTTCTTCTTCTACCGTCTTTACGTCGACCTGGTTTTGGTGATTCCTACAAATTGACGACATCCCCAACTGACCACTGGTGCTGTTGCTGGTCATATACATAAACACCGCCGGCTCTATTTCTTCTCTCTCGACGTTTGAAATGCAGTTCCCCATTGCTGTGTTTGCAGCGGTGGCCGCACTCGTTCGGCCTGTTTTAAGCCAATACTTCCCTCCGCCCCCTAAGGATGTCCGCACCGTCCCGCTTAGCAACGGGGTGTCAATATCATATAAACAGGTACGACCGCCTCTTATCTTTACCATTGCTCGCAGCCGGCATTCCAAATTACGTTGTGGCTGATATTAAACTAGACGAGTATCTGTGAAACCACTCCAGGCGTCAGGGCGTACGCTGGATATGTTCACCTACCTCCTGGGACTCTCGAAGACGTAGAGGTTTACCAGAACTACTCTATCAATACTTTCTTCTGGTTTTTTGAGGCTCGTGAAGATCCCATAAATGCTTCATTAGCCACATTTTTTAACGGTGGCCCCGGAGCGTCTAGCATGTAAAAGACAATATAAAGTCCATTCTATCAATTCTACTATAAGAAATTCTTAACTCTTGTGATCTAGGTTTGGACTATTCCAGGAAAATGGGCCTTGCACTGTTAATCATGATTCCAATTCAACAACTCTCAACCCATGGTCCTGGAATCGAAACGTTAATATGCTATATATCGATCAACCTGTTCAGACCGGTCACAGTTACGACGCGCTCGTGAATGTGACGGCGGAATTTGTTACGGGTGATATCACGATCAAAGACTTTTCGAACAACAGTGTGCCATCTCAAAACAACACATTCTGGGTGGGGACTTATCCGAGCCAGAATCCTCAGAACACCGTCAACAATACTTTGAACGCTGCCCGTTCCTTCTGGCACTTTGCCCAAGTTTGGTTTCAAGAATTTCCCGAATATAAGCCAAAAGATGACAAAATCAGCATTTGGACAGAGTCATATGGCGGCAAATTTGGTCCAAGCTTTGCTCGATTCTTACTGGAACAAAACCAGAGAATCAGGAATGGTACCATCGCCAACAAAGATGGCAAGGTGGTCCTTCATATTGACACTGTTGGGATTGTCAGTGGCTGCATTGACATTTTTTCCCAAATTTTCACGTATCCTGAATTCGCGCGCAACAACACCTATGGGATTGAAGCCGTCAATAGTTCTGCATACGATGCCATGCTCGACGCTTACCTCAAGCCCGGCGGATGTATGGAGCAATCGCAAAACTGCCGCAGGCTGACACATGAAGGCGACCTAAATCATCATGGCAACAACGCCACGGTGAACGAGGCTTGCCGCCAGGCGTCCGAAGCCTGCCTCAAGGTTGAAGTACCGTACATGGATGGCAGTGGCTTGGGATTTTATGATATTGCGCACCCTAAAGCTGATCCTTTCCCGCCTCCATTTTTCCAAGGGTATCTCAACAGACCACATGTACAAGCTGCCCTCGGCGTTCCTCTCAACTATACGAGCGGTTCTATGGCCGTATTCACCGGGTTCAATACAACTGGAGATTACGTCAGTCCTGGTGCTCATGGATATACAAATGACATAGGATATCTGTTAGACTCAGGAGTTAAAGTGGCACTGATATATGGGGATAGAGATTTCTCCTGTAACTGGGTGGGAGGAGAGAACACTAGCCTTTCTGTGAACTACGGGGATGCTTCTCGATTTAGGGCCGCTGGTTATGCTGATATCAAAACAAACTCTTCCTATATCGGCGGGCAAGTCCGTCAGTACGGCAATTTCTCTTTCAGCAGGGTATACCAGGCTGGACATATGGTTCCTGCATATCAACCCGAAACGGCATTTGAAATTTTCCGCCGCACTATGTTCAACATGGATATTGCTACCGGCAACGTTAACACCGCGATCGATAGAGCTTATTCTACCAAAGGGTCACCCACAACTTTCCAGATAAAGCATAAGCCCCCCACCAAGCCGAAACCTACATGTTACATCCTTGACTATTTCACCTGCACAGAGGAGCAGGTGGCTATCCTCGAAAATGGCTCCGGTCTCATCCTGGATTACATCCTCGTTGATGAAAATACGAAACATTTATTCCCCGGTGTCGAATTCCCCACGCCGACATCCAACGGAAAAACACCCACTAGCACAGCGAAGAAGGCCGGTGCTACTCGAACCAAGCTTGGCGATAGAGGCCTAGCTATTCCTATGCTTCTTCTAGCACTTTTGCTCCTATAAGTAAATAAGGAATTAATGGGAGGCGCTCCTCATACCTCAGAGTGGAATATACATAGCGTACGCGATGGAAGCTAGTTGTTTTGGATGGTTCCCCAAATTAATGCATTAATATTCCACCTCGAAACATTCTACTAGTTCACATCCAGGGATAACTAACAATTCAAATTATTTAAATTCTACACGTGATCAGTTCTGGCTAGCCCCTGACCAAAGCTTCCCCTGATCAAAACTTGTGACGACGACAGCCAGGTAGGCAGCCAGAAGCCAGAAGTTGACCTTTGCACCACCTGCGGTTACCCAGTATTATTAACTGAGATTACCACTGTGAATTGGGACTGGGAGGGTATTCCCATCTCCCGTTTTCTTGACTCCTGATCACTCACTGCTAATGTGAATTGCCTTAGGATATCTCCCCGGTTTCACTATCGCTTTTGAACTCTACCTTCAAATACCGCATCCCTGCTCTGCTACTGCCGTAGGAGTTTCCTCTGTCCTGTTATTATATATGGGGTCTCAGAGCTACTCTTCTTATCCGGGGGATACCCCTACCCGTGCGTATGGCACGTCACCTACTATCGAAAGAGCATCCCATTCTATAAGTCCTATTAGACCGTTACCAGCGGGCCATTATTATGGGTATCAAAAGGTGAAAAATCTGTCTGTCGTCATCGCTTCTTTACTAACATAAATTTATTGGATTAGGTTTCTCAAAATCACTTTAACGAACACTCCTCCTCGAGCGGAGTAGGAATGCACAAATGCAGATGGCCCTTTATACGGCTGGGGCCAGTTAAACGAGCCTCCACTGATGGGAGTGAATCTATATTAAGGAGATGTATGGTGATATGCCCGAGCGCAAATTTCCAGGCCAGAAAGAACACTACTTCGTATTCATTTGCCTGATCAGAAGGATCGTCTACAAATCTTTGCATTTACCAAGCTGGTATGCGCTTGCAAAGCAACCTAGTTTTGATACATTCTACTCTATCTTCCCAGAGTTGAGCCACTCCAACACCATGAGACGCTCATACAGCATGACAAAACTTTCAAATTCGCTTTCCAAAGCACCGGGATTGGTGTTGTCCTCCGTCTTAAGAGATATGCACTGCTTCCCAAAGGAGTGAACCAGGCGACATAAAAGCCCCTGAGCAACGCAACATTCTGTACATGGGTGGCTTCAGTTTTACTTAATACTGAGAAACACAATCCTCCAAGACAACGAAGACGCAAGCCAATAAGTCTAGTCTATGATGGAGAAAATCCTTACCTGTGACAACTTCGATGCCAATGCTAGAAATGCCATGCATCGCGCCATGAAACGCCGCAACACCTACATCAAAGAACAGGAGAGTGGAGACTGCCTATTCAAGGGCAGCAACTATGGAAACCTTAACATGCTAATCAAGTTTCCTATCCGCAAGTTTGTGTGTTATATCAATTGCTATACTGTAATGATCTAACAGTGTGTGATGAACTAACAAGCTTGCATCCTCAAGTCTTATTGCTCTAATAAAATGGCCTAAGGGGGCATTAACCTCTTATTTATGACACCTCTATTCAAATATGTCCATAAAATTTGTGGGAAGCTACCTCCTGCCTCCATTGACAATTGCTCAATCTTAATGAAGGCAGAAGGCTGGTTTACTATACTACTATTTAATATTATACTGGCCGGCGGAGCACTGTTTACTATAGCAGTGTGTGGCTCCCCAATGATGGATGAGACTGGCCCTTAAGCTGCTCTATAGGTCCCATTTTGACAGCAAGAGCAGCCAACCCTTCTAAGTTCAACTTGATGTTTTCAAGAACCAGAACGGGGAATACAGGCTCTTGCACTCACAAAGGATGGCGCTTTCCATCTGCCCTGTCATGGGCTGTTACTTTGCTATTTGTTGTTTTGATTCTGTTTTCTTTCCCTCTTCTTTCCCAAGACAGTACTGGAAACAAAAGGGCATCATAACAAGCCTAACCATCACTCTTGACAACAACGTACAACAAAGATTTTTTGACACTTTGTCAATTGATGGTTGATCTGGAGAGCAATCGGAGCGCCGGCGGCAGTGGTGGCCGCTGGAGTGGGCGCGGTGGGGTTTGTGGTGAGCTTGCTGGTTTGTCTGCCGATGCACATCCAGCAGTTTATCTGGACCCGGGACGACAGGAAGAACCGTAAGTCGGATACTCAGATGGCATGGGCGCCCGATGGGGGTTCAGTGGCAGCAGGGTCAGGCGAGCGGACAGCGTTTCTTTCCTTTTGTCTTAATTTCTTATCGTGCGTTTTATTATCGCATTTTATTCTTGCATCTTTATTTTTGTATTGTTATCACCAGCGAGGTTCACACTTCTACGCAGTGCTGGTGACCAGTATCCAATTCCAGCTTATGACGGATTGGAGAAGCCAAGATGAACTCGAATGCAATCTGCGGACATGTATTACGTTGTGTAAATAGATGATTGAAAGCAAAGGCAAGATTGGTGTATATTTTTAAGTAGGAGCTATACTACAGACTAGTATGCAGTACTTCGTAGTAACGGACATTTTCCTGCTGACACTATGTATACACGCCTGGAGAAATACTAATAATATTAGGTCGGGTAGGCTGGTTTCTGATTTGGTTCCTCAATGACTTCGAATCGCAGTTGAACGCGTGCCTAACCCGCCGCCCCTTATGAAACCATGAAACCATTGCCTCCAGCGGCTCCGGGGAAGAGTAACGCTCGTAAACAGGTTACCGAAGTCTGGTGTCCGCAAGTTTTCGTGTTGCAGGAGCTGTAGCTGCTGCAGAGGCTTTCGGGAGTTGAGTGGATTCTTGCTCTGCCAATCGCGAACAGCTTCGCAGTGAGTTTCTAAGAGCGAGTCTTTCAAGGCGAATGTATGTGCAAGCCACTTTCGATCTTTTGGAGAGGACAGCTTTCCAAAGTATCGACTCACAAATAAAAAAGCTCTCGGATTTCTACTATTAAAGCATACCTTTGTTTTGCACCTCTTGCATTTGTGCCAGCAGAAATCGCCTCTAAAAAAAAGATCTATAACATCGTCATCCCCCATGGTCATATGTGGGCAGAATGGAATATTAAGGCTCCTGCAAAATTCGGCAAAATGGCAACGGCTGCTCGAAGATAGTTGGGAGCTGCTGCCGATGTGAAAGCCAGTAAAAATGCACCGGCGACGATGATAAAAATATATGCAACCTTCCGGAGCAACCAAGATGCCCTGATCATTGCAGTCATGAACTTCGGTAATTCTTCCGCGGACTTTTACCTGCTCACGATATGCCTTCTGAAGCTCAGCAAAACTTAGCTCTCGGAAAAGGCCGATTCGGAAACATTTCATGGTTGCTAAACAATAGCGTGCGTGGGCTTTCTTTGCCAATTCTTCGTTGGAAAATGCTGTATAATAGCGATGCCTTCTCAGGCATCCTCTACAACAATATCCTTTGACAACTCCATCATATTCCAGGTGACATAGCGCTTCAAAGCGGTCCGTTTGGTCCGCGCATCGTTGCGTGTGATTGAAGACACTGGACTGATAGAATTTTGAGCAGGTAAACCTGAGTGTGAGACCTGATGCCAGAGGCAGGTAATCGTTGATGGTGGCCAGAAGCTCTGGGGGGAGATTATAGAGGCGGCTATTATTTGCGTTATGAGCTGCGGCTTCAACAGAATGGCGACTCCTGTTTTCATGAAGATCATCGCTTCTGGTCAGCTGGAGGACCTTGCGGAATATATTGCGACCCATATCTATATCGATTGGTCAGTATTTAAAGAAATAGAAGGCCTTGTTTCGGAGAGATACCTGTCTGGTGAATAAGGAGCACGATGCAAAATTGGATACGGTGGAGGGGGGTAGTTGTTGGAGACAGCGGGTTTAGAGGAGGAGACATATGATATTTGTTTTAGTGTTGGCTTCGGACGTCTTACAGAATAGGCTGTCGTTGACGTTGATTTCAAAAATGTATGACATCAATACTCTACATACAGCCGAGACAGCCGCCTGCAACGGCCAGAATGGAAACATTTTGGAAAAGCCCTATTTGAACTCAGCTGCGACAGGCATGAAGTATTTCACTTACCAGATCACACCAGTAGCTGGTTTACATAGGGGGCTTGTTATAAGCAGGAGGTGAAGGGAACAGTGCTCCTACGGATACCCAACCAATCAAGGTAAATATGAAGTATGGATTTCTAACATTTTTACAGCAGCTCTGGAGATTTCAGCACTTCCACAGCCCAACAAATATCTGTTATTAGGACTCAGTACAGTCGTAGTATAGATATACGTTATACATGTTGGATAGACAAGACTCCTTTCGCTTGGTCGAGAGGACACCGGATAAAAGTTATTCCAGCCACGCCATGATCACCTAATGTTGATTTTCCGGAACAAAGAAATGCCGGTGATGAAAACAGCTCCCCCAAGTCTAACTTGAACAGGAAAGATTTCCCATAAGGTTTTGGTAGTTAAATCAACTGAACCTCCCGCTCTATTCTCCATACGGAGTACGGAGTACATAGTAGACAGATGCGCCAGACCGGTATAAGATAGTCGGAGACCAAGTTTGTTTGACAGCCGATGCCCAAGGGAAACGATCGGAACGGACAAGGAAGAGCTTCATCGGCGTTGAGCTGGCTAGTCAGTCCCCAAGGCCCACCCAAACTCTTCGGGTACATAGTTAAACCTGACCTCATCGCTCGCGCAAACAAAGAGCTCTCTCCCCCAAAGCGATCCGGAGACAGCTCAGCTGTCAAACAGCTTTGCGAGCCGCTTGACGTGTCTCTCACTATAAACTTACCTAAACCTACCGAATCTATCCCTTTACCATTGTCTCACACCCACACATTCACACCATCATCAACCTTCGGCGCCCGCCCCATTTGAGACCATCGCTACTCGCTCTCATTTTATTGACATTTGTTTTATGATTATTATGAGTGCTGTCCGCTGCGCCAGTAACCGACTTGCCCCCCGCGCTTGTCTTCATCGCCATTTCATCCTGCCCGAGTCCACTGCTCGTCGGACTAGCCGAAGCTGTGGAAGCTGAACAGGAGAATTGAGGCAAGGGGAAAACAAAAGGAGAAATAAAGTAATAGCCTCCGGCCTGAGTGGGAAATTACCCCAAGCGGGCGGGAGATAACGTGCGGATCATTGAGGATAGGGTAAGGGACGGATAGTAAAGTTGTTGATCGTGACATCCGTCGTCGCGATGGCGGAGTTTATTAGGGATGTTCTCGTTGATGGTTTGCGTATGTTCATATCCCTCAGTTTTTTTCTTTGTTCTTTATTTTATTCTTGCGCTTTGGCGAGTTGGCGAGTTGGCGTACATCCGCAGTGGTTACGTGGATACTGGTTGCTAACTGACTTTTGCATATGTAGGGAAGAGAGCGGAGGATGATACAGACCCTGACGGTTCGTTATACATAACACCTCCCTCCCGATCTCCTGTGTTTCTTGCTCTCACTTTGCAATACCTATTCTCGCCCTTTCTTCTCCCCTCCCCTCCAAATTCTCTCACGGACACACATTTATTTGGTGGATAATGATATACACATTTTTCGAGCATTTAATTGGCTGCCTTTCTAACATTTGGTATTCAAACTGTGTGTAGAGTCCCCGGAAGCCGGCGAGAAAGAGCTATTCACATCATGGGCTCTTTTTATTCTGATCATGCTCCTGATAACGGCCCTTTTTACGAGCTATATCCTGCAACAGAGGAAAGTTCAGGCAGTACACGAGACCGTTATTTCGATTTTTGCTGGTAAGTTTGTGTTTTGTTTGGTATTGTTTTGGCTCATGGCCACTGTATTTATCAAGTGCTGTATATACTATATGTACTAACTGCTGGCTTCACGGTATTAGGAATGGTGGTCGGCTTGATCATTCGATTAAGCCCAGGAACCTTGATACAATCTTCTGTTTCGTTCGATTATCAATTCTTTTTCAACCTCCTCCTTCCTCCAATTATTCTGGCGTCGGGCTATGAATTACATCAGGTAGGTTTTGACTAAAGGTCAACTACATGAAAGGAAATGAAACGTTTTGCTAATTACAAAGAACAGGCAAATTTCTTCCGAAATATAGGAACGATCCTCACATTTGCATTCGCGGGCACATTTATTTCCGCGCTGGTGCTGGGTCTTATCTTATACTTGTGGTCTCTGATACCCCTGGACGGATTATCGATATCCTTTGTCGAAGCATTCTCCGTCGGAGCTACACTTTCTGCAACGGATCCCGTTACCATTCTCGCCATCTTCAACGTCTATAAGGTGGAACCTAAGCTTTATACTGTAATATTCGGGGAGTCGATTTTAAACGATGCGATTGCTATTGTGCTTTTTGAAACGGCACAGAGATATAGGCCAGGTCGTGCGGCGGGATCCCTGACGTTGATCAGCCTATTTGAGGCTGTTGGTGTATTCTTGCTTGTGTTTTTTGGAAGCTTGGTGATTGGAGTGGCAGTTGGGATGTTAACTGCCTTGGGCTTGAAGTACACCCGTGTGCGGAGAGAACCAAAGATCGAGAGTTGTCTCATCGTTTTGATTGCTTATGCCAGTTACTTCTTCTCAACAGGAGTTCACTTGTCCGGTATGTTCGGTGCTTCTTTTGGTTCTTTTCTCCCCTTCCCCCCCTTTTTTCTTTTTTTTTTTTTTTAAAAAAAAAAAAAAAAAAAAAAAAAAAAAAAAAAAAAGCTGACCGCAATATTCTGATAGGAATCGTGTCGTTGCTGTTCTGCGGTATCACATTGAAACACTATGCGTACTACAACATGTCCCGTAGGACCCAACTCACCACGAAATATCTCTTCCAAGTCCTGGCACAGCTGTCGGAAAATTTCATTTTTATTTACCTCGGCCTAGACTTGTTCACAGAGCCTAATCTGCAATTCAAACCGCTTTTCATCATGATTGCGGTCGTTGGTATTTGTGTTGCAAGATACATGTCGGTCTTCCCCCTCTCGAAGGCTATCAACTGGTTTATTAGATATAGAGCTAGGCGCCGTGGGAGGGAGGTTGCCGACGAACTTCCCGTTGCCTATCAAGGCATGCTTTTCTGGGCAGGGCTTCGCGGTGCAGTGGGGGTTGCGCTCGCGGCCGGCCTTGAGGGACCTAATGCTCCAGCGCTTCGAGCAACAGTTCTCGTCGTCGTCGTCCTAACAGTTATAATCTTTGGCGGAACAACAGCACGCATGCTTGAAATTCTCGAAATCCGCACCGGTGTCGTCGAGGAGATCGATTCCGATGATGAATTCGACATTGAAATCACTACTGGAGGAACATACTATAAACACGACGGAACTGGCGTGGGCCACATCCCACGACGCAACGGCTACACCGTGCCGCTAGACACCATGAACCTAGACCGCGAAGACGTCGCGGAAGGCTACTCGAGCGGTAACAACGGCAGCATCGCACCACGGCGGACTCACTCGTCTATAGCCGCCAGGAAACAAGCAGTCTACGGTCAAAGCCGCAGCGAGCTGTCCCGTGACCACGCATCTACCCAGAATCTACTTGCAAACCATAACGGGAATAAAAATGGAAGTGCCAGCGGTAGCAGCGCCGATGATGGAGACGTGAGCAGAAACTCTCCTTTCCCAAACCGTCCCAGGCCGCGTGTCCGCAACGGTGGCACACAGGAGAACGACGCGGATATCGATGATTTCGAGCTAGACCTTGACACGTTCTCGGACGATGATCTTCCCCCCGCTGCCCCGTCGCGTAGCGGCAGGGCACAGCCAGGAGGGGCGGTGTCTTCAAGCAGCACGCCGACAGTGACATCTGCCCAGCAACGCGTCTCCCCTGCACGTGCTGCTCCTCTGGGTGCCGGTGCGGGGTTCCCTGGAGGAGGAGAGGGAATAGGAACGTCTGGCATACTGGCAGAGGCATCGCGGGGTGCGGCAGGATCTTCTTCCTCCCCGAGGCCGGGTGCTACAGACGTGATCCGGGACTTGTTTTCAGGTGGTGCGAATGTCGATCATGCGGCTTGGTTCAGGCAGCTTGATGAGGATTACATTAAGCCGAAGCTGTTGCTTGATCCAGGGTCGGGACACCATCATCGAAATCACAAGGGGCCTGGGGCTGTATAGAATTCTCTCTCTCTCTCTCTCTCTCTCTTTTTTTTTTTTTTTTTTTTTTTTTTTTTTTTTTTTAATTGTCATTGCTTCTTGGTTTTGTATGTGCAATACATATATATATCTGCATCTCTTCGGTTTTACCGAGCCATATGGGGTTTCTCTAGTGTGATCTTAGTTTATGTGATTTTCATGGGCAGTGAATAACGTAACTATCTGTACAATCTTCTGTGTTTTGCTTCTCTATTAGATCATCCTGTCCTGTCTCTTCTTTCCATATTCAATCTGTCTGGATCCTTAGAACTGTCCGATCATACAATTTGAATTGGGCTTAGACACTCTTCTTCTATCCTCTGATTCATGTCAACAGAGCGTTTATCTCACTTCTTCTTTTCTGCTATGAAACTTGAAAATGATTTTCATATTCGGAATCTACACACTTGCCACATAGACAGTTTCTCCCTCTCTCCTTGCATATTTATTTGATTTTATTTGATTGTGAGATTGCTCACACAAATTTTATACAGAGCATATAGTCAATATTCTTCATTTAAGCAGTGACATTAATAAAATTCATAACATTTAGAATAAATTGAAGACAATCTCCTCGCGCTCCTCACATCGTTTCAGTCAGTTTCCGCAAGTCATGTAGTGTACTACATTTTGTATAAATCTTTATTGTCTCGACCCAAGCCCACTCCATTGGTACCCGCAACAGATAAATACAGCCATGCCTCCAGCAAGTTCCCGTTTTAATCCTCTGGCATCTTGAGCACGTAGCGACCAGCGATTTTTCCTTGTTCTGTAGAGGAGGGTTTAATATATTAGCATTTCGCGGCGTCAATGTCTTTTTTCTTTCGCTTCATCTCCAACCACCACCACCACCCCTCCATTTCGGCATACGCAGGAAAGAAACACCTCTACAATGGTATTTTCAAAAGAAGCACGACGGTTAACCAAAATACAAACCAAAAAGAAAAAAAGACTTACCCATTAACGAAAAGACAGTCGACAACTCCGACAACGGCACCACTTTATACGGAACATTGATTAAGCCTCTGGTGAAGAAATCAACTGCCTCCTTCGCATCAAGCCGGTTGCCCACATAACTACCCTTGATCTTAATCATGCGCACTACTGTATCGAAGACAGGTGCCTTGAGCTGCGCATGTGCCGGTAGGCCAATGGCGACAATGGTGCCGTTTGACCGCACATACGCTGCCGCTTGCTGGAAGGGTAATTCCTCCGTAGCGAGGAGGAGCACGGCGTGCGGGCCTAGCCCATCCGGTGAGGCAGCTTTCACATCCGCGACGAGGTCTTTGGTTTTGGTGAAATCAACGTATGCCTGCAATCAAAAGAAGTATGATAGATGGTTGTTAGTTTTTAATCGCCCCGTTTTCCGAATGGTATCTAGGAGTGGGGAAAAGGAAGGGGAGGGGGGGAAGTAGAGAAATGAAATAAATAGTTTTTACCCACCCTCGCCCCAAGCTTCGCGCACAACTCCTTCTTCTCATCTCCTGCATCAATTGCAATAACCTGCAGCCCCATCGCCTTCGCATACTGCTGCGCCAGCGACCCCAAACCGCCTCCAGCCCCGACAATTGCCACGGCCTGTCCTGGCAAGGCTTCGCTCTCTTTTAGTCCCTTATAAACAGTGATACCCGCACACAAGATCGGCGCCACTTCATCCAGCCTCACCCCCTTGGGGATTGGGGTGACATGCGCCGACTTCGCAAGACAGTACTGCTGGAATGTCCCATCAACCGTATAGCCTGAAAGGATCGCATCTGCACACAACGGCTCATTCGCACCCTCACAAAAGTCGCAGGAGAGGCATGATCCATTGAGCCACTTGACGCCGACGTGCTCACCGATCTCTATACCAGTGACGAGCTCTCCGCGCGCCACGACGACGCCGGCACCTTCATGTCCGCCCACCAGCGGCATCTTCACGGGCAAGGGCCAGTCGCCCATCATCGCGTGCAGATCCGTGTGGCACACACCGGAGTATTTTATGTTCACGAGGACTTCATCGTGGCCTGGTTTTGGGACGGGGATTTTTCGGTATTCTAACGGTCCGCCGACTTTATCGGCGACTTGGGCCCATTGGGTTGTAGGGATAGTCGGCTTTGACATGGTTTCCTAGGTCGGGTTTGTTTTCGGTTCTTTTCGCGGTTAAGGCTTTTGTAAGGATAGGTAGGTATGGGCTCTATCTGATCGAGTGAGCGAATGAACCGGAGAAATTGGAAGTAAATGTGTACACACCTTTATATAAGTAGGCAATATCAACTAAAGGGGGATGTTAGGAAAGGTCTATGTGGAGCTTGTCAAAACGAATTGGTCTTGCAAGTTCACTAATGGAAGCTGAGCGTCAGGGAATCTCCAGACCTTATATGTCTGTCTCCGGTTAAGATATATAGTATGTCATCGACAAACTTGGGACGGCTTTCCATATTCGCCTCCCTATTCATGCGTACTTTGGATCAACAGTGTTGTTTTTTACTCTTGTACATCACGCGCTCAAATTGTGGCAAATGTTCCTGGCTTCACTTCCTTCGTTATGGCTATAACCCCTCTCCTATTTTATTCTTAATATTGTTAAACCGTATCTTATACATACTCCATTGATGAATTGATGGATATGGATATGGTTATCCCGGATCCACAAAGATAAATATGTCTAGTGTGGGGTGGAGTTACATCAGACAGACCCACGGAGGAGGACTAGATCTGGTTTCTATGTTTCATGACTTGCTCAAATTTTGCCTGGTCGCATCAAACTGATGTGATGACGGAAAGCCTGAAAGTCTACCTACCACCCGTGGACGCCACGGGCATTTGATTGCGGGGGTTTGAGGTAGTCAAAATAAGGCGCTTATGCATTAGTTACCTAGTTAGGTAACTAATTTTCTGTTAATCGTGGTGCGCCGGATTTTTGGATCTATAATATTAATTGATTTATATGTACATTTATATCGCTCTCTCAAATCTTGAGGAACTTCTTTTGGGTCCTTTCTGGGCCGTAGCAAGATAGATTTCACAAAAAATCTCAGGTTTCTCAACCAAGCAAGATTCATGCACTACTCAGGTTGCAATCCCTACAAAATAATAGAATAAGAACTATCCCGTCCATCAAGCAGCGGTGATTCCATCCTCAGTCACTCCCTTGGTGTGCGGCGTAGCCTGACAGAATAAGCGTAAAGGCGTGAACTCGGTGGTCGGATCATCGCATCCTCTGCGGCCCCAAAGTCTGAAATAGCGATAACTATATTAGGGTGAGACCGTAATGGAAATGTACTATGTAGCATGCCAGTAGATCCATCGAAACACAACAACGCGCGTGCGCAGAACTGTGCTTTTGGGATGGGAAGTGGGGAGTCATGCAGTTGATATTATATCAGATCAATCGAGTAACTTTCTAGACATGGTGTGTATCCTATATTCTCAAATAACGGCGCCGCCAGTCGACGGAGGGTGGATTTTTTACAGCGGATAACTATCGATATACATCCCCCCCGCTGGCAAAATTGCCCATGAGAAACAGTTATCGTGGCGCGATCCTATTTCCCACATCACAGTTAATAAAAGGAGCAATATAAGATGTGGGTTGCTTTGACCTTTTGGAGTCTCGTCCGTGAACGCCTGATTTCCCCACATGCATTCAGAGCCCGCACAACATCAAAGCTAGTAATAGGACCAATGTTTTCATTCTCTCCTTGCGATTCATAGCTTCGTTAATCTCACGGGGAATTGTGCTGAAAAGATGCTGGGGGGAGGAGAGGGGGGAGGCCTTTCTCCTCAAGCCATACGCATTAGATCCGTCGCGTGTCGAACGGGACATTCTCCCAGGCGATGCACATCATCTCCGGAAAATGGGACACGAGAGTGTAGGAAAGTGGTTTGTGTTTGGCTCACTGGTCTTGTGCAGCGTCCAGTGGCGTCCAGAGGCAGTTGATCCTTCGATATCTTCCATCTTCCCACCCATGGGATCAGCTTCCCATTACAGGGAACGGATTACTGGAATACATAGATATATGCTGGAAGGCGGTTACTATGCACACGAATAATAAATATATATAACGCCGTCTCTAGGGATCGCATAGGGGACATCGTTCATTATTCACTTACAGCGTATACGAAGATAGCCCCATCAGCAATTTATCACATACTAGCAGACCCTAATATGTTTGTTCACCCTCCACAAGACGTTTCCTGTAGCTAGCTCAGTCGATTGCGTTTGATTGAATACCCTGCTGATCTTATTTCAGGAATCAAATTGCCGTATTGATCGTAGTTCCGAATGAACTTGAGACGAAATAAAACGAAAAAGCCAAATACCTCATACCTAGGGAACACCTCGGGAACAGTTTACTCCTCCCTCCGTCTGATGGATATCCTCGCCATATGGTCTGAGTTTAATGACAGGCCATTAGGTAGGATCCTTGGCTCATAGCCCTCTGCCAATTTAATATCATACTTCAAGAGAATATGACACAGAGCAATCTTGACCTCATTGGCCGCGAAGAACCGACCAGGACAGGCGTGCTTCCCAAACCCGAATCCCAGGTGTTCTGGAGAGGGTGACACTAGCTGGGCGGACGTCTCATTGCCAGGCGTTTCACGGAGTTTCAGGAATCGGTATGGGTCATATGTGGTTGGGTTTGGGTAAATGTTTGGATCCCACATTTTGTCACATGCGACCACGATAAGTTCCCCCTTTGGCAGGAATGTTTTATCAGACAGGACCGTATCTTCTTCGGCAAGGCGTCTCATTGTGGCTGGGAAGGAAAGGGGTGGTTAGATATTTCGTAATATGGAAAAGGGGTGGGGAAAGTAAAGAATTCCAAATGTTCTCACCAACTGCAATCGGCTTCAGTCGCTGAGTCTCCTTCAATACGCTGTCCATCAGCTTCAGTTTGAAAAGTGTGGACTTCTTCCACCCCTCTGTCTCCATCACGGTTACAATTTCATCACGGACTTCTTGAATAAGTTCATCGCGCCCACAGAGATCAAGGAGCGTTTGCGTGATGAGGTCTGATGTAGTATGGATTGAAGCGTGGGAGAATGACAACTGTGCTATAACGGGATCATAATAACGACCCTTAGCAGATTCCTCCAGCCACTCCATCGCATCGACATAACGCTCTGGCATTTTACCGGCCCGAATGGCCTCCTCCTTGGCCATGCGTCTCTCGTCCAGCACTGGCTGTATAATAGTCCTTGCTTCCTCAATTTCCTGTCGGAGTTTACGGCACGAGGGTATGAAGTTGGAAACCAGCGAACGTACTGTCGCGGGCCATAGGCGGAGAGCCAGCGCAGCTATATACGAATCAATAGTGTAGGCAATTGTGATTCGGATCCAGTCGGGGTTGCGGCATATTCTTTTGCCAAGGAAGACCCTGGACGACATCTGGGCAACCAATTTGAGGACATTTTGCTTGAGCGCGATATCATGCCAGTCTGGGTCCCGTGGATTAGTTGGGAATGTCATGTCGGAATAGAAGGCGTGGTACTACCAACCACGATTATTTGTCCAATCTCTCTCAAGGACGATACCAATCTCATCGGATATAGGTTCAATGACATTTCCTAGCCAAATTAGGAACTCTCCCATCAAGTCTAAAAGGGGGAGAAGGGAAACAAAAAAAGTCCAAAGTACTCACCAAGATGATGCGTTAGCTTCATCCTGACGGCATCTTGAAAAATCTCATCAACTCTTGTTCCTTGCTTGAAAGTGTCAAATCCTGGGATGTCGGCGTGAAACTCCTTCGCGATGGCTGCCCCAAAATTCAGCGAAGGATGGCTGCGAATCTCATCAGCATAGTTGGCTGAGAGCACGGTTTTAGGGCCATTCTCTGTCATAAGACGAAAAGCACTGGCCTAGATCAATTTGTTCAAAATTTGAGTAAATATTCAATCCTGTATCTCTGCGTAACCATCATTTCGCCCCCTGGACGAGCAGCCTACCTTCCTAAGGCCCTCCTCGATCAAGGAGCGAGCATCCTTCAAAAATCGCCTCCCAGCATGGATTTGCCTGAGTTCGAAGGGTTTCTTTCCATTGATTAACGGTAAGCGAGGCGCCTTGAGCGAAGCTAATAGGAAAATTAAGGTCGGTAGCAGAATAAAGAGACCAGCTAAGCCCAGAGGGTTCAGTATAGACGAGTATAACTCGGTATCAAGCAGCATTTTGGTTTCGGAAAGCCCTTGTTGTTCTCATATGCTGCGAATAAGTTCGCAAAAAATCCAGCGTATAGAAGGTAACTAACTACCTGAGCCGTCAAGATGAAGCCAGGCTATTGGTAAAAGTGACAGTCAAAGTGGAAGACATCTGGCCCAAGGCTGTTGTTAAACAGGCCAACTCGCTCCAGGGTAAACGGGTAAGACTGCGCGCACCCTTGCTACCAACGCACAGTTAATTGGCTGGGATGCTGCACCCGCTCAGCCCTCTGTAAAGGCTTCCACCAGCCAACTGCTATGTCCGTCGATCGTGAAAAATCTCGTGAACAAAAAGAGCCGTGAAGCGGCGGAGAAAGTGGTTTTCCTTGTCTCCACCGTTTTCTCCACGGCCTCGTCCTCCCAGGCTCGCTCTCACAGCCAAGCGCCAAACATCGATCTTCACAGCTCGCTCTGCCTTGCTGTTGCGGATGGTTGCGGGGCAGCCCAAATAGGTGTCATCGGTACCCTAGCTTGGTGCGTTGGGGAGTTAGGGGGGGGGGCATCGGCTCCATCAAAACCTGATGCTTGTCTGGGGCTAAGCGAAGACACCAATATCTCATGATGGCCAATCGGAAGGGCGCTTACGGGCGTGCTAAAGCTCCTCCACTCGGCACTTCAAGGCTTATGCTTTGAATGCAGACTCAAGTTTCGGCACTTCGATTAAGCATAAACTTAGATGTGTCGCCCCATTCCATTGCACCCGTTTCTACTCTCTTGACGTTGGCGGGGATGATCAGCAACGATGGAGTTCGGGATTATTCACAGCATTGATTGACATATTGGAATAGTTACTTCAAAAGCACGGTCCTTGAAGCAAGCAAGGAGCTATACATCCATCCATCCACCTTCGCTGTTCGGTGAATAGTGGATCAGACCTTGCTATATCTCCCAATAAGTTCTTGAAACCAGCTACGTCACCGCCGGCGCCTAAAGGCATCAGAATACTTGCACGACCCGAGATTGCCATCCTCATCGGATATCTCCCTTGCACAGCCACTGGGTTAAGCTCAAAAGTGGCGCTCGGTGAAGGGTCCAGCTAGCATGGATGATGAGAGATGTCCATATACCACCGAAAGAGACGCCTACCCTTATTTTCTTGGGAACTCCATATGTCTAGGACCTCCCACGGAACGGCATATCTTTACAGAAATGACGCGCCTTGGAACGACGATGACCTAACACCGAACAGGAGACGAGATGCTGGAAATCACAGAAGCTGAAAGCCGAAAAGATTGCCTGACCGGCAAGCGGTCAAAAAGCACCGTCGGTTTTGCGAAAAATGTCGGCATATCTGTGAGCTTCTGCCTCTCTACGTGTATTTGCCTAGCTAGGACTGCCGTTTACAATTCACAGCCGCACCTCTTCTCTCGGAACCGAGAACTCCCAGACCTGAAATCGAGACGAAAAGTCTGCACAGTGGAGTCTTGGTGATGCTGGCCAAACAAGCCCGAGCCGAACTGATAAAGCCAATCACCCCATCATTGGGGCTTGCCAGACAAAATCACTTCCTAGATAAAAAGTAAACCTTTACCCGCCGAATCGCGAAGTGGCTTAATAGAATGGGCTGCGCAGAATGGCTCCTTGAGGACTCGCAAAAACATTCCCGCTTTGAAACGCGACAGAGATCCAGCCCAAATATACGGAGCTGGTGACGATCTCGATCCCACTCCGTCCAGCTTTCAGCACCTATGTCCTCTGCATGCAACTGGCTGAACGCTCTTACGATGGGATATGGGCGCAGGGGTTAGCAGGATGAGTCTGAATTCTTTCATTCTGCGTCATGCTGCCATTTCCTTTTTTGGGTCGATGCTATACTCACTCGCCAACCCGAACATGTTATCGAGGCGCATTCACATCTGTTAAATATACTACGGAAGCGAAACCTTTCCGTGGCGCCGATGGACTTGGTCATTATCGCTTAATATTGCTTCTACATGCGTAGAACTGAGGGACCTGCAGAGCGCAATGGGATTGCGCCCCGTTCGCTGGTGTAATTCCTCATTGATAGCTGAATGGTGGAGACATATCCGCCCTTTCACGAAATATGGATATTTTGTTGAACAGCTTTATCCCAACAAATCACTCCCGGTTGCGTCCTCTGTCAAGTTTTTATCAAGGGGCCAGAATTCACACTCAGCCACTTGGTCCCCCTTCCGCCCCCAACATCCATCCACACATCGGGGTAGCACATGGGCTAAAATTGAATCGCAAGTTACAACATCGCTGTTGTTGGTTCAATGCGAGACAATTGTTCCTTGCCGTGAAATAATATGATCAACACATCGCCATGAGACCAGCCGTGTGAATGTGAGTATAGAGGACCTCTGGCGGGTGACGTGAAGCTTATCCAGCTTAAGAATCAGAGTGTGATTCACGATACCAGGCGCTGCGCACCCCAGGGAAGCGAGGGAGAGCTGGCTGGGGCCTGCTACTACTTTGAGCTGTTTCTCTAAATAGCCCGAGAACACATGGGGGGGCAGAGAAACAGGCTCAAGGAGGCTTGGACGTGCTTTCTGCAAAGATGGAGACTGTGGCTTGAGAAGTGGGGGGGGGGGAGGGGTGGTGGTGGTAAAAAATCTCCCCGGAAGGCCATGGCATGGACCCAATCCAATTGCCCTACGAATAGGGCAAAGCAACATATCTACCTGGCAATGTGTCAATGATCAATATACCAGATTGGTTATTCTGGTACCATGCTCCCTCTTATCGTCATCACCCAAGGCAGCTTCTCATAAGTAACCCCAGAAACAATCAAACTATGAAAACAGGGGAATATTTTATGAATAAAATTGAACGCAAACCAAATCCACGCCTGCCCTAGACGCCCGTGGTTTTTTGACCCGCAAGGTGAAGTTCATAGCAAGTTTGATTGGGCAGTTTGGTGATGTGGCGAGTAGATTGACGGGGGAACTAAGAAGAACTGATAATATTTGAAGACACAGAAGATTGAGCAGTAATTCTGAAAACTGACAATATAACAAGATACTTTAGTATTCAGCCTCTTACTAGTAATATTATATGTAACACTGTGAAGCTTGAGCTCTTCTGAATTGCACTCGGCACAACACTATTCTCTTTTTAAAGGGCGCACGCACATCATGCTGTATGTTAATTTCCATAAGTCTCCTACCGGCTTTCATGGCATCTAGATTCTTGAGAATATGTAAGATTCTGCTTTCATAATGAAGTGACATAAACTAGATATTCAGCAGCTCTGATTTGATACTTGTCAGAGAAGTGGCAACATCATCACAGAGACCGTGTGATCGCACGAGATAATATGCTTGATCTTCAGATCAACTAGAGCACATTCAATAACAGATGATGAGCTGATGTCATGATACTGAATCATGTTAGCAATATTGCAAGACACCTCCTGGTTGAAGACTCAAAATAGCAGTTTCCAGACAACGCTAATCAAATAGTCAATTCACAGGATCTCTGAGTGCTGCCCTGATGTAAGTTTTGAGAAAAAGTGACGGATAAATATTTCTCAGCCGTCTTTGACACTCCACTGGCGGTTCTTCGCCAATGCAAAAGTTGGTAGGTATCTGAATAAAGATGAGAGAAAAAAATTGTCAGTTCATCAGCCCGCTCTCAGAGAGAGATAAATAACCAGAATAATATTTAAGATATGTATAAGGTGCTAGAAAATGAAGAAGTGGAATGAAGAGAAAATACGCTGTGGTAGCATGTCCCTATCTCCACAAGGAACTGTAACGTACCTGGCCCTGGGCTTGAAGTCATACTTGGCAGTATTCAGGAAAGCTGTATGGGTATGGCTTCAAAATATAACACTTCATTTCTCAGTTATGCCGGATGGAGCTCGTTATTTGGATGGATAAGAAGAAAAATATAGGGACCGTGGGCAGCAAAAAAAAAAAAAAAAAAAAAAAAAAAAAAAAAAAAAAAAAAAAAAACTCCTCGTCGATAACATTGTCTAAGGTAAAATTCATGCGAGAACGCAAACTTGGGAAGTAGCGATATATGTTTGACCATATTGCAGAAGTTCTGAGACGCTCTGCTTCACTAGAAAAGCTACCCAGGAAGAACGGGATAATGTGGGCGCTTTGAATTGGAGAAAACAACGAATCAGGGGATGGGATGGATGGGCATCCACGTCGTGAGCTTTCGATATCACACACATTTGGCCATCCCTTGAAAGACACTGGTTCCGTAGACGTTTCTGTTCGATCCGCGAGATAGACTTGAAAACCCATAGAGTTGAGTTCTTCCATCGAGCCCTCCACGCCAAAACAAGGGGAAGGAGTAATAGCAGGGAGAGTTTTAGCACCGTTAACTTACCTTTATGGGGCGTAAAAGACCAGTGTCGAGGCTCGAAACAAGTTGGTGTAGACTGGCATCTGTCACACAATGCACCACATCCTCGGAGGAGAGCTGATATTTCCCGTCCTCAGGGAGAAATTTGAAGAACCTCTCGAGTCATTTGGATTGAGCGGCGTATATCTCTCTAATCTACGGAGTAGTCTTGGACAAAAGTCGATAGGTCCGAAGGTGTCTCGCTGAAGGCAAAGCCTCCGAGCAAAAAAGCAGGAGTAAGTACTGAAGTTGGTTCAGAGGAATATCATAGATGAGAAACTCAAAAAACCCAAACAGAAGTAGAAATACCATTCCTCTGAAGTGTTGTTGTTAAAGAATGAAGGATGAAAGTGAAGCTGTGAACAAAGTTATTATGGCTAGTTAACTTAGAGCAAGCATGATGTGTTAAATTCAGACTAGAGTCATCATCACAACAAAACTTGTTAGATCCTACTGACTGTGAGAGAGTGTTTAACTTATAACTATTTATGAGCTCACCATATAAAGATACCTATTAAAAAAATATATATATATCTTCAACACAGGACATTACGCAGTAATGAAATTTTAAGTTTAGTTGTGTAGTAGAAACAAATTATTATTTCATAACTATTTTAAGTAACTTAGTAAGTAACTTAAATCTACTAGTAAAAGGGTTTAGGATTTTAAATTCTTTGATAGGCTACTCTACTACTACTATTGTTCTGCTCATAAAATTTGCATTGACAGGTACCTTTTATATGGGATAATCATACAAAAGGTACCTCTTTTGGAGAAGTTGTATTGTGCCTTGTACGGGGCTGTACGGGTAAGCCGGATACCATACCTGTAACCAACCTTCGTAGCCGCGGGCGCCGGCGCCAGTTCCAGGCCCTGTATCGGCGGCTGTCCGTACGGGCCAATACCGGCGAGCCCGCAAACAGCCGGAGCCTGACACATCGCCCAGAACAGACTTTTTGGTCTCTTTTTGGTCTTTTTGTGGTCTTTTTGGTGGTCTTTTCCCACCCGCCGCCGCCCGCCGCAAGAAAGTCGGTGGGTGCAGCATCAGGGGATTGATTTGCTTCCACCCGCCGCCCGCCGCCCGCCAGCACCAGCACCAGCACCAGCACCAGCACCACCAGCAGTAACTACCAGCAACCACCAAACAAACCACAATAATGAAGGCGCCGCCCTCGCCATCCACCACCACCACCACCACCACCACCACCACCACCAACATCACCAACATCACCAACATCATCCTCCATCCTCTTCACTCTCGCCATCCCCATCCATCATCATCATCATCATCATCATCATCATCACCTCCTCCACCTCCAACCTCCACACCGTCTACCGTATACCACTTCCTTGCCACCAATCATCGCCTCTGTCTGTAACCTTGCTGCTGCTCCATGCGAATCCACTAACTCTCGTCCCTTGGTCTCGTCCTTTTGAACGGCCAGAACAAGAAGAACTCGCTTCTTTCGCCAGCTTCAGGTAGAAAGAATTGTCTCTTCCATCCTACTCTTCTTCCCTTCCACCATTTTCCCCATCCCCAAATTCTCTCTCTGCCTTCAATTTAACCAATACCAACCCGCGATACAAAAAAAAAAAAAAAAGAAAAAAGAAAAAAAGAAAAAGAAAAGAAAAAAGGTTTTTTTTTTCCCTCCCTCTAGTTTGGCTTTGGCTAACAAGTCCTTACCAACAGCCCCCATCTTGCACGGATTCTTGGGTCAAGCTATTCATTCCTTCTCCGTCCTACGCCTAAACTCCATGGCTATCTCATCTATTCCTTAATCCTAAATCCCCCACCCATTTTCTTCGTCAATAGAAAAATAATTACCTCACTGCCGTTCCATCCCATCTCTCAACCCGCATCTGATCCATACCTCCCGCTCGCTCTTATATAACGCGTGCTTTCGCCACAAAAAAGAAGCTTGCTCGTGATGGCAGGAGGGCCGCCCTACACAGTTCACTCTCCTACCCAGCAACCTCGCTACGCAAACTACTCTCCCTCTTCTTCGAGAGACAGGTCCTCCTATCCCAACAATGACCCCTACCAACCCCCTCCTCATACACCCCCCGCGTACCCCCCATCCTCCATGGCCCGGAGCCCGCACTTTGCCCACCCCCCTTCTCCAAGGATGAATACCACTCTCCCGCCCTTAAACGGGTCTGTGTCCCATCCCGACACCTCCCCGTCATATCACGCCCACTCTACATCCGCGACCCCTCAGTTCCCCCTACATCGTCCGTACGGGAACTCCCACATGGCCTCGTCGGCCCACTCTCCGCCTCCAAGCCTCTATAGCCAACAGGCTTCCTCCTCCTCCTCCCACCCTCACCCTCACCCGCATGGGGGCACGGAATCAATGACGCGATCGCCAAAGCGTGAACACGAGCCTATTCATGATATGAGGCCGAATAACATGGGATATTCGTCCCAGTCGCCTATGATGCGGGATACTAGGCCCGCTTCCCCGAAGGAATCCGTATGTTCCGATATCTAATCCCCGTTTTTCTTTTTATATGATATATATCTGTTATTGTTATTACGATGGGATTACTAACTTGTCCATTGAGTAGAAACCAGCTAGGACGGACCCCATGTCATTTGCAAGCATCCTTTCAGGTCCAACTGAGGAACGGCCCCCGCGGAAGAGTACTCCCCCACCCCAGGTCAGCAAGGTGAATGAACGCCCAGCAGTCGCCCCAGCCCCCAAAGTCGAAAAGCCCAAGCAGTCCGGTTCGGAAAGACGGCGACACCCGGTTCACTTGGAACCTTCCTACAACGATATTTCAACCCGCCCATCCACCAACGGCGTATCCGCAACAAAATCCGCCGCCCCCACAAATTCAAGGTCGAAGAAGTCCATAGCTGAGCGCGAGAGCGATAAGATCGCTAAAGCGATAGACCGGATCGATTCCATGGACAAGAGTGAGCTGGACGCTCCCGGATTTGAACATGAGTGGGCGCGTTACATCCGCAAAGGAAAGAAACGTGCTCGTGAAGTGGAGGCCGTCGAAGCACGGAAACGTAGGGTATGTTACGTCCCATTTCTCAAACTGGGATCTCATCTTGTATTTTTCTCCGTTTTAAACTAACAATTTTTTTTTATATAGCGACGTCAAACCGAATTCCTGGAGACCCTAGCCAAAGTTTTCGAGAAACAAGTACTAAATGGGGCTGAACGGTTTAACCGCCATCATGAGGCCGCTGTTCAATCCGAAGTGCAACAGAAAGAGCTCCAGGATGAAAAGGAGCGGAAGAAGGACATGCAAAGAAAACGGCGTCGCGAGAACACTGTCCGCCTTGAGATGCAGAAGATGGACGAAGCTCGCCAGAAAGCCAACAAAGCGGAAGATGCTGCGGAGAAAGAGCGCCTAATGCGCGAGGTTGAAAAATCTCGCAAGAAAATCAAGAGTACGAAACGTGCCTTGGAGCGAGGCAACGAACCTGAGGAAATCAGTGAAGTGACCCCGATGGCTCCAAACCTCGAAGGCGGCACGACGAGCACTTTCCATGTCGCTTCGAAATCCCCCCCGCCAAAGAGGAAACCTGGAAAGTCCGGATCTTCCGCTCGGCTGAAAAAATCGAAGGAAAAGAAGCAAGCCGAAAAGGATGCTGCTGAAGCTGCCTATGCTGCCATGGAGAAAGATGACGAACTCGTTCCTCTTGCCCCCAAGGAGGATCCGAAGAAGGAAGCGTTGAAGAAAGAAGGCAAAGGTGCCCGCTCCAAGGAAACGACTCCGGCACCGCCCACGACGCCATTCGAGTCCAAAGCTTATAACGGGCTATATGAGTCAATCTGGAGAGAGATTGCTCGAAAAGATGTACCCAAAGTTTATCGTATCAAGGTTACTTCGTTGAGCACTCGCCAGGAGAATCTCCGTAAGACGGCCCAGCTGGCTAGCAAACAGGCTCGCAAATGGCAAGAACGTACCAACAAGAGTATGAAGGACACTCAAGCTCGGGCGAAGAGAACTATGCGGGAGATGATGTCATTTTGGAAACGGAATGAGCGTGAGGAGCGTGATCTGCGTCGCATGGCTGAGAGACAAGAGCTGGAACTGGCCAAGAAGGCAGAAGCTGATCGCGAGGCTATCCGCCAAAAACGAAAGCTGAACTTCTTGATTTCCCAGACCGAGCTATATTCTCATTTCATAGGCCGAAAGATCAAAACAAGTCAAGCGGAGCACACAGATGACATCGCTGGTGCCGATGCTACTGCTGCTGCTATAACCCCTAAAATTGATATCCCTCTTCCTGGAAACGATATGAATGCGGCACCAAAAGTCACCAGTTTCGAAGACCTCGATTTCGATGCAGAGGATGAAACTGTATTGCAACAAGCAGCGATGGCTAATGCTCAGAACGCCATCCAACAGGCCCAAGACCGGGCTCGGGCTTTCAACAACGAAGAAAACAAGATGGCTGCCTTCGATGAAGGGGAAATGAACTTCCAGAACCCTACAAGTCTTGGTGATGTTGAAGTTTCCCAGCCCAAGATGCTTACTGCCCAACTGAAGGAATATCAGTTAAAGGGTTTGAACTGGCTCTTCAATCTCTACGAGCAGGGCATCAACGGTATTCTTGCAGATGAGATGGGTCTAGGTAAAACTGTGCAATCCATCTCAGTCATGGCTTATCTTGCCGAAGTACATAATATCTGGGGCCCGTTCCTCGTTATCGCTCCCGCCTCGACGCTTCATAACTGGCAGCAGGAAATTTCACGATTCGTCCCCAACATCAAAGTCCTACCGTATTGGGGTTCCGCCAAGGATCGAAAAGTTCTACGAAAATTTTGGGATCGCAAACATATTACATACACAAAAGAGTCTGAGTTTCACGTTTTGGTAACATCCTACCAGTTGGTTGTGCTGGATGCGCAATATTTCCAAAAGGTGAAATGGCAGTATATGATTCTCGACGAAGCCCAGGCTATCAAATCTTCGCAGAGTTCGCGGTGGAAAAACCTTCTTGGTTTCCACTGCCGCAACCGGCTTCTGCTCACTGGTACTCCTATACAGAATAACATGCAGGAATTGTGGGCTTTGCTCCATTTCATTATGCCGACACTTTTTGATTCTCACGACGAGTTTAGCGAGTGGTTTTCCAAGGACATTGAGAGCCATGCCCAGAGTAATACGAAATTGAACGAGGATCAGTTGAAGCGATTGCACATGATTCTAAAGCCGTTTATGCTCCGTCGTATTAAGAAGCACGTCCAAAAGGAACTTGGCGATAAGGTGGAAAAGGATGTTTTCTGTGACCTTACTTACCGCCAACGCGCATATTACACTAACCTTCGGAATCGTGTCAGCATTATGGACCTTATCGAGAAGGCTGCTATTGGAGATGATTCGGATAGCACAACATTGATGAACTTGGTTATGCAATTCCGGAAGGTCTGTAACCACCCGGATCTATTTGAGCGGGCCGAGACCACTTCCCCATTCTCTGCAGCCTATTTCGCGGAAACTGCATCTTTCCTACGAGAAGGACCGTTTGTCGATGTTGCATATTCAACTCGAAACACTATTGAATATGATCTACCCCGCCTACTTTGTAGTTCACATGGACGCCTCGATGTTGCTGGACCAGGAAATGACAGGGCTGGATTCACTGGCAAATACCTCTCTCACATGATCAATATCTGGACACCGGAAAATATCAGGGAAAGCTTGAAACAAGACCAGGCATTTTCTTGGCTGCGATTTGCTGACACTTCCGTTGGCGAGGCTTGTGAACTTTCCCGCAAGGGAGTGTTTGAGCGTGCAATCAAACGTCGTGGATATTCAAACCGTCTTTCCCGCTTCATGGTCGCTTATGATGATGTGGAAGATGACGCTTCCTCAGCGGTGCCGGCTCATAGCCTGTTTAACATCGTGGAGCGGAGTGATCGTCGGGCGTTGGCGGAAATTACTCGGGAAGGTCGTATGAATGAGTTGCTGAATATTTCCAGCAATACATTTGAGAATGAAGGGTTGGATCAAATCGAGCCGTGTGGTAAGCCTGGAGCGTCAGCGCCGCCAATCACCATCTCGTGCTCTAACCAGTTCGCCAACTTCGAAATCCGAGACACCTTGTTCAACAGTTCCGTGAAGCACGCCCTATTTGGAACAACGACACGGGCCATGGATGCTGAGATTCTGGAGAAGAAGCTGGATCCAGCTCAATTCAGGCTCACACCAATGCTTCCCCAACCGTTATCAGCTAAGGGGCGGTATACCAATATCTCGGTGCCGTCAATGAGGCGGTTTGTGACAGATTCTGGTAAACTAGCTAAACTGGACGAACTCCTTCACGAACTCAAAGCTGGTGGCCACCGTGTCCTTCTCTACTTCCAAATGACCCGCATGATAGACCTGATGGAAGAATACCTAACCTACCGCAACTACAAATACTGCCGACTAGACGGCAGCACCAAGCTCGAAGACCGCCGCGACACAGTCCTGGACTTCCAACAACGGCCCGAAATATTCGTATTCCTCCTCTCCACCCGCGCGGGCGGTCTGGGCATCAACCTCACAGCCGCCGACACCGTCATCTTCTACGACTCCGACTGGAACCCGACCATCGACTCGCAGGCGATGGACCGAGCCCACCGGCTCGGCCAAACCAAGCAAGTCACTGTCTACCGCCTCATCACCCGCGGGACCATCGAAGAGCGCATCCGCAAGCGCGCGCTGCAGAAGGAAGAAGTGCAGCGTGTGGTCATCTCTGGCGGCTCCGGTGCGGGTGTTGACTTTAACACGCGGAGCCGCGAGAATCGCACGAAGGATATTGCCATGTGGCTTGCGGATGATAACCAGGCGGAGATGATTGAACAGCTGGAGAAGGAGGCAATGGATAAAGCGGAGGAGATGGGGACGACGGGGAAGAAGGGCGGTGGAAGAAAAGGTGCTGCTGCCGCTGCCGCTGGTGGGAAGAGGAAGAGGGATGTCACATTGGATGATATGTATCATGAAGGTATGTCATTGGGAAAAAAAAATACATCCTACACTACAAAGGCGTAAAAAGTTCCTTGTTCCCGCTGACTCATGTTATTATTTCCAGGTGAGGGACATTTCGAAGACGCCAGCGCAAAACCATCCGGTGCTGCTACGCCCGTGTCTGCGGGGGATAATAATAATAACACTACATCATTCACCGCCGGCTCTAAATCTAGACGCGGCGGTCGTGGTGGTGGAAGTGGAGGTGCCGGCCGGTCGAAGAAAGCGAAGACAACCAAGGAGAGACTGCGGTTGATTGATGGGGATGATTGATTGATTTTTTTTATTCTGTTGTGTACAACAACAAGGTACAGGAAAGGAAAGACAAAGTGGGTTGTTTTGTGTTTCTTTTTGGGTTTGTCTATTTTCTCTCTAGGTATTATTTACTTGCTCACTTGTTTGAATTTTTTTTTTCTTTTTTTTTTACACCTTTATTTTTAATAATAAAGATATACGGGAAGAAAAACGGGGAAAAAGCAACAGCTCTGTCTCACGCTGTTCTATTCTTTCATTTGTTTCTTCTATTCTATTTACATGTGTATATTACTCCATAGGCTCTTTTTTTCTTTCTTTTTTCTTATACTCTTCACATCTGTTCTCTATTTCTCATTTCTTTGTTCTTGAGTGCTTCTCCCTCTTCTCCTTAATCTTTTTCTTGTTTTTCACTTCTTGTTTAGCCTATCTTGTATACGTTTCACCCATCTTATCTTATCTTTTGTGTTTGATTATTCATTTATCTATTAACTTAACCTCTTCATTTGTCAAGTAGAGTGAGGGGTTTTCTTAAGAGGTGGTGGTGTCTGTCGGTTGGTTGGTTGGTTGGTTGGTCTGATTGGTTATGATATGATATAACTATGATGATAGTTACAGTACCGTACCTCTCTGATTTAAAAGTTTGAAAACACCTGTTTTTTACAGTTCAACCTGACACTGTTGTATTTTTTTTTTTTTCTCTTCTTTTCTTTCCAAAGTGATATCTGATTATATAGTTATATTAGACTAGCTTTATTTTTGAAAATAAACAGCATTTTGGTTCTTCGTGTGAATGAAAAAGAATAATGATTTGCTTCTTAACGCACAATAAAACTATATTTATTATATCTAAAAATACCCGCCCAATCGCACCGACCTGCTTAGTCAGATTAAAATTCTTGATTGGCGGCATCCGAGCCAATCAGCAGCGTCTTATTAATCTGTGCAGAATTCCCATCCCAAATTGTTCAGACTGTCAGACTCTCCGCATTCTTCTTATTCTTCACGATCCCCAAACCACCAACCACCACCCGCCAGGAGAACGAAGCAAGGGCGGTATCAGTCATCCGGGCGCAATCAAGCACAATTGATATCCTGCCTCGTACCTCCACCCCAAGAAATTCAAGAGCCAACTGATCAAAAACGACATATACCAAGGGACCACAAACGAAACCATGGAGGCGCTGCTGAACCAGTCACGCTCGCTCTGCCCTTTCCTGCAGCGGACTTCCCCCGCTGCCCTCCGTGCCCTCTCGACCCCAGCCAGGCAACCCAATGCCGGCCCCAGTCCCAGGGGAGGCACCATTTCCAACCTGCAGGTCATTGCCCGCCGATGCCCCATCATGAGCAAGGCGCTTGCCGTCCAGAGTGCTCGCATGGCTACTCCCAGGGCATTCAGCACCTTTGCCGGTGGTGTCTCTGGGGGCGGCGCGAAGGGCGTCAAGGGAATGCGTGCCCCTGGTGCTGGCAAGAGGAGGTTCCATACCTCTGCGAGTAAGGAGGCGGCGATTGGGCAGGGTGCTGCTGTTAGGAAGCATGAGAATGGTGAGTTTTTCTGTGTTTGCTTGAAGTTTACCCGTATCTATCCCATCTATTTTTTATTTTTACTTTATTTTTATTTTATTTTTTGTCACTTTTCTTCCCGGTTACTGATGACTCTGAAATTAGTTCATCCGCCACTTTCCGAGGTTCAAGCCGGGAAGCCTGCTATGGCAGAAACAATGACTGTTTTCCCAGGCCCCAAGCCGGAGGCCCCCTCGATCAGCAAATTTGACTATGAGGGGTTCTATAATAACGAGCTTGAAAAGAAGCATAAGGATAAGTCCTATCGCTATTTCAATAATATCAATCGGCTTGCCCAAAATTTCCCGCGTGCGCACATGTCCGATGCGCACGAACAGGTGACCGTGTGGTGCGCCAACGACTACCTCGGCATGGGACGGAATCCGAAGGTTCTTCGAACTATGCACGAAACCCTCGATAACTACGGGGCTGGTGCTGGAGGTACTCGTAATATTTCAGGCCACAATCAACATGCTGTTGGGCTGGAGGAGGCTCTTGCCAAGCTACATGGCAAAGATGCTGCGCTGGTGTTTAGTTCCTGCTTTGTTGCCAACGATGCCACTTTGGCCACGCTGGGAAGTAAACTTCCTGACTGCGTGATATTGTCAGACAGTTTGAATCATGCATCGATGATTCAGGGAATACGCCACTCCGGTGCGAAGAAGATGGTCTTCAAGCACAACGACTTACAAGATCTGGAGCAGAAACTGGCCTCTTTGCCCCTGTCTATCCCCAAGATCATCGCCTTTGAGTCGGTCTATAGTATGTGTGGATCTGTAGCTCCGATTGAAAAAATCTGTGACCTGGCGGATAAATATGGCGCTATCACTTTTCTCGATGAAGTCCATGCTGTCGGCATGTACGGACCACACGGTGCCGGCGTTGCCGAGCATCTCGATTTTGACACTTACGCATCTCTGGATACGAGCAATCCTATGAGTACTAGAGGAACGATTATGGACCGAATTGACATTATAACCGGCACACTCGGAAAAGCCTACGGCTGCGTTGGTGGTTACATCGCCGGCTCCGCCTCCTTCGTCGACACCATCCGGTCCCTTGCCCCAGGGTTCATCTTCACAACATCTCTCCCACCCGCCACCATGGCCGGCGCTACGACCGCCATCAAATACCAGTCCTCATACGGCCGCGACCGTACCCTCCAACAACTCCACACCCGCGCGGTCAAAGCCGAATTGACAGCAAACGATATCCCCGTCATCCCGAACCCATCGCACATCGTTCCCATCCTCGTCGGAGACGCAGAGGTCGCAAGACAAGCGTCCGACATGCTCCTCAGAGACCACGGTATCTACGTCCAGGCCATCAACTACCCCACCGTCCCCAGGGGCGAGGAGCGGCTGCGCGTCACGCCGACCCCAGGCCACATCAAACCATACCGTGACGAGCTCGTCCAAGCCCTGCGGTGCGTCTGGGAACGCCTTGGCATCCGCAAGACGAGTGATTGGAAAGCGGCTGGCGGCTTCTTGGGCGTTGGAGTTGAAGACAGTGCGGAGAATCGCCCGCTCTGGAGTGACGCGCAGCTCGGGCTTAGTGCAGGCGAGGACGTGGAACAGGCGCTTGAGCGCGAGTTTAGAGCTGAGGCGTTGCATAGGGAGCAGATGATGCTGGAGATGCAGCAGGCTGATTTGAAGGCGCATGTTCATGTGAATAATACTGGATCTGCTGCTGCCACACCTGTCGGCGTTGCTGCGTAAGCAAGTAATGGAGGAAATCGAGAGCTTTCCGTTTTATTTTCTTTCCCTACTTCCCAAAAGCATGTCACCTCCCCTCTTGCTGGTAGCATCTTATCTTATCTTTCCTTTTGCAGTCCTGGCTCAAAGGCCTTTCTCCCGGCCTATCCTTCAGTCCTTACCTTAAATACAACGTTTTCCCCACCCCCCAATGGTTGTTGGTGGTGGCTATTTTGTGACTTTGATGAATCGAAAGGTCGAGGATATATATTTCGAACTCTCGTTTTTGCACATAGAATCTATTTTGTGTGTGTACGTACATGTACCTATTGGCTATATTGACTATCTTGGCTATGCCTATTCATACGACCGCCATATTTTGGTCTTGTGGCACGGAATGGATATTCATTGACTTCATTTTTTTGGTTATATTCTTTTACGGGTATTCAAAACTGTCACCCCTTGGGGCTATGCTGGGACTCGTTTGCCCGGTATATGCGTATGCTTAGATGAGGTTGGAGTTTTATTTTTTACCCTCCTCTTAATGCGCACATGACATTTTTAAATTTCCTTTTAGGTTATATGTAGCTGGTCGGCTACAACCATGCCAGGGTGGGCTATCTATCTATCCCATCATCCCCCTTAATGGAATTATCTCTTTCGATTCAAATCTGCTTTTACTGTACTTCACACTCTCATATTTGTGGCTCTCTTTTGATGGATGGATGTAGAAATTTTAGTTATTTGTATATTCTTTTTATTGAGATCTAGAACGAGTTAAGAGATGGTAAGGAGATTATACGTATCCCCCTCCAAATGCAAGGAGAGGAAAATTAAAAAGAAAAGAAAAGAAAAGAAAAGATAAAAGAAAAACAGGCATCACAGAATACGCAGCCCGACTAACTATCCATTCAAACCACAAGAAGTTCTGAATGAATACAGAACAAAGTCCCCTCCCTCCCCTTTCTCCCCCCCTAAAAAAAACAAAAAAATAAAGAAAAAAGCCCTTCCCACCAAAACCTCACCTCCTCCCCCCCCTACTAACCTTCGGAAACTCCACCGGAACCCTCAACCTCGCAATCCGCCTCGCCCCCGCCTCAACCTTACTCCTAACCCCCCACTTCGCAAACTCGCTCTCCCTCGGCTTCTCCACCTTGCACCCCAGCTCCCTAAAATACTGCTGGATGGTCTGGTACTCGAGGCTCAGGTCATCGCGCAGATCCGCCGGGTCCGTGGCCAGTTCGTTGGGCGCAAACCCTGCTTCGGGCGGGATGTGCAAGGAGAGCGCGCAGATGGTTGTGTGGAGGAAGGTGATGTCTGTTTTGGAGAGGAAGGTGCGTTGGGGGACGAATTTGCGGCGGAGCGCGTCGAGGAAGGAGTCTGGGAGGTGGGTTTGTTTGTTTGTCACGGCGGCGGCGGTGGCGGCGGCGGAGGAGGAGGAAGAGGAGGAGGAAGAAAGTATGCGCCGCAGATCCTCGCGGGGCGGCAGTTTCTTGCTCCCCGCCGCTACCGCTGCCGACCCGGCCCCGCGACTCGGCTTCAGCGACCGCGACAGCTCGATCAGGATCATGATGTAGCGCAGCAATTGCAGCTGCGTCACATCGCCCGACCGCACGACGTGGTTGACCCGATGCGCCACGAAGCGCGAGGAGGAAAGCACAGGCTCCCCCGCGCCAATGGCGGCCTGCCACTCGTGGACGGGCATGGTGCGCAGGGTCGAGAGGCCGTTGGGCACCAAGGTGTCGATCGCGTAGACCTGCGACGGGTGCGTGGCGGAGAGGTTTGGTTGCGGGAGGGGTTTTGCGGCTTGGATTTCGGACTGGGCGGACTTTTGTGGGGAGCCGGAGACGGAGGTAGAAGTATGTTCCTTGGGGATTGAGGAGAGGAGGGCGGATTCTGCGGGGGTGGGGCCGGAGCCGGCGGGGGCGTTGGAGAGGAGGGCGTTCTCTGCGATGGATTGGATGGCTTTGCGGGACTGTTTGGTGCCGAAGGCTTCGGTGAGGGCGGTGCGTTGGGCCCAGTTTGATTTCTGCGGTTTTAGGGGAGTTAGTTAGTGGATAGGGTTTTCTTTTTCTTTTTCTTTTCTTTTTTTCCTTCCCTTGCGGGAACGAAGCCATCGTAACAATACATATATGCATATATGTATAAGGGGAGATATATACCGTAACAACATCCCCATCACTCTCCCCATCATTAATAGCCTTCCTAGCCACGCGCCTCACACACCCGCGCACCGTCATCTTTCTAGCCTCCACGAGCTCCAGCTTGCCCGCGTCCGGGTCATAGACTGCCACATAGTGGTTCCAGAGAGTATCCAGCTCATTCTCGCCCTCTTTGCCAAGGAAGTCTATCCTTGGGTGTGCGGATGATTGCAAGAGGATTTCGGAAGTTGACAGGGTTGTGTTTGTAGTTGTCTTGTGCTTTTGTCGGTTTTGGCGCGGCCTTGAATATGCGGTTAGGGGGATGGAGCTGGGGATGCTGCTGATACCCGGTGTAGAGGCTATATATCATTTTTGTTTGTTAGCCATTTGTTTTTCCTTTCTCACTTTGCTGCTACTTTATGTCTTTGCGAAGGGGAATGCATATGCGTAGGAACAAGAGCACGGTATGAATCCTTTCAAGCGTCCTTCTAAGCAACGGGACTTGTCCTACTCCCCCAAGAAGCTGCGAGAGCTTGTAAACAAGAAATAAAACAAAAAATAAAGAAGATGAATACCTATAACAGGCACCGCCCCATTCGTATTCTGCACAAACTGAACCTTGACCGCGGGGACAACAGGCGCCGCAAGAGCAGGTTTCTTGCTGGGTCGGTCGGGCTTTTCAGAAGCTCGTTTTCGCTTCTTCTCCGCTTTGTGGTGGATGCCCATGGTCGGTTTTGCTATGTGTGTGGGCTTTACAATTTCTTCAAATGCTCGAAGGTAGGATTAAAAAACGTCTTTAATAAAGAAATTGGCTCTTTTTGGAGGCGGCTTGGTGGCGGTTAGTTTGCGGCGTTCTGGTGCTGCTGTCCGGGTGTTGGGGCGGCGGAGAGAGAAAAATTATATAAAATATATAAAATCTCCACCGCTAAAATATTTCCCGGCGAAGATTTTGCACTAAACGCTGATCAACACCACGGCAATCAACCAACAAATAAATCCATTGATGGAATGGACTATTTACCCGTAATCCTACGATTGGAAAAAATAATATTACTTGAATTTTTCGACAAATGGATTTATAGTCACAGGATGAGAGCTAAGGCCACACTTATGAAGGGCCACACCCCGCGCACTCGTCCCAGAGTTAGAAAATGAGGCACGAACAAGCAAGGCAAAGAAACTGCCATTAAGAAATTCAGAAACAAAGATGATCAATAGACGAGAAGAAAAAAAAAATTAGCCTTGTATTATTTTAAGTAAACCCCAACAGCTCCGTAATTCCTACAATGTTGATGTTTCCCCTTTCTTCCTTCACCTTGATCTGCACTCCCCCTGTTTAAGACGAGAACAAATCGCAAGCGAAGAGAAGAAAAGTGGAAATTAAAACATATCAGGAAAGGGGGGGGGAATTGACCAGCTCCCTCCCATCCACACAAAAATCAGACCCTTCGATTTGAAGGAATCAAAGGCGACAAAAGACATATGTGAGTTTTCCATTTAGCGCCTCTTCCTCCTTCCCCAACCCCCATTTCCCGCAACCGAACGTTTTAAATGAAAAAAAGCCAATCAAAAAACAAGAAATTCATGTCGTCAAATTTCTTTCCTTGTCGTAACTCTTCGTTAAGAAGTAAGATAAATAAAAAAAGGCGGAGCTCAGAACGGGTTGGGATGCTGAAAAATGGAAAAGGCATCTGAGCTACTGCTTTTATGACTAGGCGAAAGGAAAAGAGATAGGGCAATCGTGGTGTGTTCGTTTAAGATGATCGTATTCGTTCGAGTTTCATGTTCTTTTTGCTTTTGTTTGGGGGGAGGGAATTCAATCGGTGTGCGGTTTCATTTCAGCTCGGAGGGGAGCATGACTTAATGCATGGACGGAGAAAAAGCTGAGACGGAGTGGTCGAGTTGTTTACTTGCTGTAATGGGAGTTAGCTATACCGGAGATCAAATCCATTTGGGAAATAATATTTGATTATTTTGAAGAATCAAATGTGCGTGAACGAACCTTCTAGCCCGGACCTTTCTGCGCTTACGCTTCAGCCGTCGAACGCGCTTCTTTCTCCACTTAGCTCTCATCTTCGCAGAGTTTTGACTGTTGTCGTTGTGGGTGTGGTTAGCAATTGCATTCAATTGATATCAACATCAAGTAGGTCATGCATGTTCTTGTGTTCCACGTCAATTGGCCGCAGTGTGCAGTGGCAATGCGGGGGTCAAGTAATATATCCATTTCCGTATAGGAGAGATGAATATACAACAGAGCAAGGAAGGGAATTGATAACTTACACTTCTTTGACGATGAGGGGGATGGTTGCTAAGAGGAAGAAGGAGAGAGAGCGTTGGAGTTGCTTTGTAGTGTGCGTGGCTGACTCAGCTGGTTTTGCGCTAAGGGTTTAGTGGCTGTCCAAGCGAGAACCTGTGGTGATTATGTAATCAGTGGGAAAAGCGGATTTCTTGATTGGATGCGAGGAGACACGATAGAGGTAATATTAGGCGGAAGAATGTAATTTGATTACTTTAGAGAACTAAATAAGGGGAAAAAATATCATAAGAATTGAACAATAGTCCACGTGCCCAAAACGGCGCGATAACGGTAAAAATGAAATGGCATAAACAGAAAACTTGGAAAAGAGGACAAAGAGTGGAAAACGCCAAAGCACCCAGAGCATTAAAAAAAAAAGGAAGCAAAAGTCATCAATCAAGCGGCGGCGGCAGCAGCAGCAGGGGCAGAGGCAACACCAGCTGCGACGGGCTGACTTTCAACGCCAATAGTAGCCTGCACGCCAACCCGTTCCTTGCCCAAAAGATCAGCAAGTAGAGGGCTTGGGCGGCTGTCCCTATGAGGTTGGAACACCGCCTGTGTGGCCTTGTACTTATGCACGCTCTCCAGGTAGATATCAAAAAGATAAGAGGAATCGAGCGGGCCTCCTTTTGCCTCCGGGTGGAATTGGGTGCTGAAGATAGGTCGGGTCTTGTGGATCAGGCCTAAAGACAACCAAGTTAATAAATACGACGTAAAAAGTTTAGGTGCAGAGAAAATATATGGATGTTACTAACCTTCGTTGCTAGAGTCGTTGAGGTTGATGAAGTAGGGCTTCCAGTCGCTTGGGAGCGTAGAAGCATCAACGGCATATCCGTGATTCTGGCTGGTAATATGACAGCGGCCCGTGGTCAAATCCAGAGCAGGGATGTTGTGGGCACGGTTGCCGTACTTCAGCTTGATTGTTCGAGCACCAGCGGCCAGGGCAATGAGCTGATGGCCAAGGCAAATACCCATTACTGGCACTTGGGACGTCTCCATCAATTTGCGGAGGTTGTAGACAGTATCCTGGCAGTGGGTTGGGTCGCCGGGTCCGTTGGAGACGAACACACCGTCGAAGTGGTGCGCAACTTTGTGGATAGGATAGTTGTGAGGGAAGACAGTGATGCTGGCTCCCCGGTTGACAAGACTTCTCAGGATATTCTCCTTAACGCCGCAGTCGATGACGGCGACGTGTGCGGTGCTATTGCCAGGGCTAACATGGAAGGGGCCCTTGGTGCTAACCTTTTGCACCAAGTTAATTTGCTCCGGGTCAACGAAGGCCTCGTCCTGATCAGCATCGTATTCCTCGCCAATTGTGATTCGGGCCAGGGAGGAACCCTGCTCACGAAGATAGGTGACAATTTCACGAGTGTCAACTCCAGAAATGGCGGGTACACCTTCCCTAGTGCACCATTCACCGAGACTCTCAACAGCGGTCCAGTGGCTGTAGCGCTCGGCAACATCGGCAACGACAACGCCAACAGCCTGGAGGCTGGGAGATTCAAAGTATTTAAGAAGGCCATTCTCGTCCCTTTCAGCAGACGGCACGCCGTAGTTGCCAATTAAAGGCTGGGTGAAGACCAAAATCTGGCCACGATAAGAAGGGTCACTCAAGGACTCCGGGTATCCTACGAGGGAAGTGGTGAAGACAGCTTCACCGGAGATGTTTGCCTTGGCACCAAACGACTTCCCGTGGAATACCGGACCATCTCTGATCGTGAATGTCGCCCTGTCATGAGCCGATGGGGTGACTTTCTTAGGTGGGGGAGCGGTCTGGAGAGGATCGGTTCGGCTGACAGTAGCCATGAATCGAGCATTAAAGGCCGGAGTCCTCAGAGCAGCGGTAGCATGAGCCCCCGCTGGGACTGATTTGATAATTCGTGCAAACATAATTGTTGATTTTTTCTTTTTGTCTCTACAGTTTTATAACTCAACTGGCGCGATGTTTGACTCAATTTACCGAAGCTTTCCAGAGGTGATCTGGAACGGGGATTTGAGTTAGTTTAGGCGTCAATGGGATGGGATGGGATGGTAGAGTTCAAGCATTTTGGGCATACCAGATATGTAGTCCTAAATCACAAAAGTCAGTCAGAGATCACAGTCATGAGAAATGATGCTGGTTGGGGAGCCATTTTCCCCGACTCTGGGAGGCAGACATACCTGAGAAGTAAAGATTGAAGGAATTACACGCATAAGCGCTGTTGTGCTCGTCAAGCACTTAAATATACTATGTGTAGTGGGTACTGGGTACTCAGATGAGTGTGGAAGAAGGCATTGAGAGAACTGGCTGTGTGGGTGGTGCAATGTGTCGAGCGTCGTGATGGTGTAGAAAGGAAGCAAAAAAGACGGTGAATCCGGGAGGGGAGAAAAAGAACAGCGAAAAAAAGTTTTTGACTCAGGGCGGTGTCGGGCGGGCGCTGTTGGGCCAATGAGCCAATGAGAGCGTGGCGAAAGGCGTGTATCGTTGCCGTCCTGTACGGCCATTTCTCTGCACTAGTGGCGGTGGTATTGGCGTAACGGCATGTAATACGGTACTGTTTTTGAGCTTGAGAGCCGCCTTGGGATGTTCTATCCCTCGATCTATCCTGGACTATCCTGGACTACATACCTGGATCGAGATGGTGAACCCGCTATCAGAAGAGTTACCTATGACTCGCCCGTTCCTTACCATGGGATGAGACATCTATGAACGCTGAAGGCATGATATTTTAAGCTAGCATCTACACGAGTATAGGCAGCTAAACTTCGCCATTCCCATAGATCTATGTGTATATATTATATATTGCCTCACTTCCGAAATACATTGGAAGCCCGCTGATGATATCCTATTACTAGTGGAGTTGCGCAAACGTGCCCAGCGGAAAGATAACTCTAGATTAGCCGGACATGAATCTGACATAGGAGTTTTCTCGGGAAGACTGCCCTGAGGTGCTGAAGAGAGAGTAACGGCATCGGGATGGATTTATTAGCACCCGCCACATGTCTAACGTTATACTAGATAATCATTTATGGGCAGCAAAACCCTTACTTGCAGGAACAGTATGCGGCTTCGTTGGAAAAAAAAAAGCGTTTCCCTTTCGCAAATGGTTGTTCTATGGTTTAGAGGTTTGTTAAACATATCGTCATTCTCCGAAGATTTACTTCTGCTGAAAGCATCTCCAGCCCTTTGTGAAATGCATTTACTAAACTAAATCGTTGATGTATTAAATATTCCGGATCATCCATTCAAAACGCTGTAGCCTGCGTGATGGTTGCAATGTGGAAAAATCTTCAAGATATATAGATATTTTTACTTGATAACGCTGGCAGTGTCTGAAAGCCCTCTCATTTTCCCTATTTCATAAGAAGAGCTCTTTATCCCCAATACCGATCACAATGGTCTGTCAAACGCAGCGGGTAATCAGGCCAGACAGACAACCCGCCGCCTCCTTTCCCTCGCCCTAGTTCTCATCTCTCACACACCAGTAGCCCATAATCTACAATACACCACACTGTCAATTTTCGCATCACTCAACACCCCACACACTCCCATAAATTCAAAAAAAATAAAAAAATAAAAAAAGCAGAGTTTAACCCTCACTATTGGTTTTTACATACCACATTCACCGGTCTCTCAAGCAAGGTACGCATTCCTCATCGCAGCAATCGTAACAGTTCGGGGCACCGGGGATGCTACATTGCCAGGCGCAGTCGTCATACGCATCCTTGTTATCACATGCGTTCACGACAGATGATTCAGTGAGGAAGAGAGCGATGAGTGAGAGTTTCATGTTTTTGTAAGTTAAGAAGGGATCTGTGGTTGGTGGTGGTGTCGAGTGGTATTTTGAAAGAGGCGGGCAATAAAAATTGAGGATGGATTTAGAGTGTTTTCTTCTTCTTCTTCTGTTTTTCTTTTTTTCTTTTTTTCTTTTTTTCTTTTTTTTTTCTTGTTCTGCTAATAATGTGGAGGGGATTCTGGTCTAGTTTTACTATATTAGGCTTGCTGAATGTGCTCTGACTTCTGTCTTGCTTTCTCAATGAGCGATCCCTTCATATTATCATGAAGCTCTGAATGGATGTGGTGCTCTCGATAAGCTTGTCCAAAAAATTTGTTACATTTATGCACTGCGCAAGTCAAAAGATGATATGTTATGTCAGTATAGATACCTCTAAATTATCGTAAATTGAAGATATGAAAATAGCACATGCAAGGCCCAAATGTTACATATAATTCGACCCGTTTCCAGGCACCGAAACTATGAAGATTCGTAAGATCTACAAGTAGGGGAGAGAGGGAATCGAGCTGATTAGATCAGACTAGAGCCGATGAGTGTCTCTTGCTCAGCTATTCTCTAATGCTATATGGCTGTGCTTTGCAATTTGTACTTTTTTTTTGTTTTCTTTTATTCTTTTTTATTCTTTGTTCTTTCTTTGTTGTCCAGCAGCGGGAGTTCGTAATTATTCTAGGAATTGACCTTCAAGGAGTGATAGCTTATATGTTTCATCTTTTCATTGATGAACAAAGAAGAGCAACAAGCCAAGATGTGTCAAGTGAGAGTTTGATCAAGTTGGTAAATACTTGACATCGTGCGTTTGCTGGATTTCATCCCTAATCTTTGTGTTTGGATTTGCCTACAATTTGGTGAAAGGCTAACCGGAAGAGGACCTCGCGAAGGGTGAGTGAGTTCTTCATTCGCGGGGGTTCTAGTCCGCTTTGCCCAGGATGCGGTTACCTTATTGAAGCGACAGACGAGGGTTGTCGTGTTGGCCTGCTATTATGTATAGAAATTCCGCAGTGAGGACGCAGTGAAATGTAAGTCTTTGCCTTTGATTGCTAGATGAAGTCTCAAACATTGGAAAGAAAAACCCCTAGACTGCGAGCGAATCCTAAGGGACCGCTCGAATTTTTCGGTGCTCTGATTCAACATGGTCGTTAGATTCTCATCCCCGCAGAAGAAGCCAATCAATGCCCGGTACAGATTTTAGGGTTTCTGAGCTAGCCCAAATAGGACTGTTAAGCGAGAATGCCAAGCGCCGGTCCCAAATCTTATTTTGACATCGATTAAAAGGACCAGGCGTAGCTTTTCTGCTGATTCATTCTCTGTGAAAATGTGTTGATGCATGTCTGTTTTACAGCTTGTATAAAACTACATAATACCTTGGGTGTAGATTAGCCTAACACCAAAGGTTCAATAATAATCCACTTGAGAAATCCTACCAATTCTCTGTTTGCTCCACTTTTCCTGTCCATTATATATTGCAGGACAGATGACCCCTGATCTTGATCCCCTGACACTCAGCAAAAGCACTTGGTTTTAAAAATCGATTTCAAGCAGATCACTGCTGCCATCAAGTGCTGATTGTTTTTCTCTCTGCATAACTTTTTCTTGATCTAATCATCCGACAGCTGGATGTTTTTATCAAAACAGAGCAAGGCTTTTGCTCCGAGGATTCCTTTTTGCTTCTTCTGGCGTTGGGATAAGCCATTCTGTCAATTGTTTTTATCAATGAGTGTATACTCATCATTTAATATTCTCAGCACTCTCAATCAATGAAAAGCTGGCTGAAAAAATGTTTGGTACACGCCTACATATACCACCTTTTTCTGAGATTGTAGGCAAACGTTAAATAGTTGATCTTACATGGAATATTTCTCCCACAGCTTTTGATAAGCAAACTCTTGATGGAATTACTCAAACATAATGCTTGAGCCTTAACCTAGGGGCAGAGTGGATGTTTCATTTCATTTGCACTGGCATGGTTTATGTCTCCATGTGGTGTTCACAAAAATATGAGCAAGGTTCTACAATCAAATACCCATTCAGTACCGCATTTATCTATAATATATATACCCTGAACTTAAACAATGAATGTAAAAGATATTCACACCTCACATCACTCACCTTCTTCATCCAGCTTCTTCGCAGCATTTCTCTGGGCTACAGCCAGCTGTACTCTTCGTTCACTTACCTCCACCAAGGTAAATAAATAAATAATACGTCACTCGAAGCCCAATGAGCTTGCTCAAGGCGAAATTTCGCGTTAGCGCTGTCTATTCCTTAGGTAGAGGGGTAGAAATAGCCCTCCTCAGCCCCTATGGGACAGACTAACCTTCCAGCACTTGATTTCTGTTGCATTAAGTACCTCTAGATACCTAGGGAACTAACCAATGCAACAATCAATTCGCTCCCCCCCCCTTTCTCTCTTCCTCTCAGTAAATACCTAGTGACAAGTGCTTATGTGTTTTCCATGAGCTATCCTAACTCATCCTGTCCCATCCCATCCTTCACATCATTTCTTTACTATTCCATGCTCCATGTTAACTAACAGCTAGGCTTATGATATGATTACACAGCACTTTCTACTCTTTGATTTCCCCTCTCCCCTCGCCGTTTGCCATGTAGGGGATTCGGCACTACGGGAAAAAAACAAAAAAAAAAAAAAAAAAAAAAAAAAAAAAAAAAAAAAAATGAGAAAAATGATAACCACTCTGCACTATATAATGTATACAAATCCATACAACATACATAGGAGGGAAAAGTACCACTCACACCACCCCCTCACTCACACAGGCCCCACCACCACCACCACTCCTACCTCCCCTACCCCCCCTCCCCTCCGCCAACCGCTTCGTAACAACCGCCGCCCCAATCGTCGCTAGCCCCCCAAACCTCAACACCCAGCCCACAGAATCATCCGCCGGCTCCCCGCGCGGCTTCTGCAGCGCGCTGAAGATAAGACTGCTCACCAGCGTCGAGAAGATCTGCGGGCAGGAGACGGCCACGTTGTGGATGCCGAGGATCACGCCCGCTTGGTCGGTTGTGTCGTTTTCGTCATCGTCGTCCTCGTCGTCGATGATAGCGTCCTCGTCATCCTCAACGCCGCGATCAGAGCTCCCGGCGTCGTCTTTGTCGTCGTTGCTATTGTCCGTGGTGTTAACGGGACCCGGCGTGGACGTTGATGCAGTGGGCTGACGGGCCAGACTGGAGGCTCCACCAACCCCGCTGTCCACCTCCTCCACGCCCTCTCTACTATTTTCCCCACTGGAACCTCCAGCCGCCCGATGTTCCCTGGGCTCCGCTAAAAACCCCCGATATTCGCTACTACCAGGACTCGCACGATGCAACCGATACTTCCGCCTCCGTTTCTTCGCATCACTCCTCGCCACCTCAGCCGATATAAGCGCAAACGGCGCCCAAAGCGTCAGCGCCCAGGGAATGCCAACGATAGATACGACAACCGTCCCGGCCTGCGGCGTGCTGATGAAAAACGTGCTGAACATACACAGGCTGAAGAGGATGTGGGACATGAGCCAGGCGCGCCGGAGGGTGAAGCCCGGTATCTGCAGGCGGGAGAGGAGGGAGGGAGTTTCTCTATCCGTTCCTCCTTCGAGCGGTTCGCTGAGTTGTGGAGGGGGAGGTGGTGGTGGTTGGGGAATCGCCGCTACGGATGAGGCGGTGATGGACATAGTTGACGCAGATTCTCTGCGCGTACGATACGGGTGCGGCCGGGCGGCTGGGGCCACAGCAGTTTTCCGCGATGGCAAACTTGGTCGATAGGTCGGTACGACAAGGAGCGGCAGTATAATGCTCGCCGCGAACGATATGATCGCGTAGACCAGTAGTGCAAAGGTACCCACCCGCGTAGCCGTCACCCAGGCCTCGTCGATATCCTCAGGCGACAAGTGGGGGTGTTCCTCAAATATAGGATTGACATACAACTGGCCAATATACGTGGTGATATAAAACAGAAACGGGAACCAGCCGATCCACGCGAAGAGCTGGATCTCGCAGACCTTGCGGATCTGCGGCGGCAGGTTGCGAATGGATTGGAAAACCTGCTTGAAGAACGCGACGACGCCAGGGTTATCTGACGATGGTGGCCCTTCCAGGCGCGGATCACGTTCCGTGATGTAGAGGCAGCTAATCAAAAGCGTGATGCCCAGCGACAGCGATGCAATCACACAGAGGACTTGGAATTGCGTCTTTCCAAAAAACGGGAGTATTTTAGGCAGGTCGAGGTAGCCAGAGATATATCCCAGGATATTGCCAATGCCAGTGAGCCGACTTGCCCATGCATTTGCGGATTCCTGCTGATGCGCCGGTGCATTGTCGACTATGAAAGCTCGGATAGCCGCTTGCACTAAAAAAAAAAAGCCCAAGCCAATGTAAGCACGAGACCTTTAACAGTCATGTCCAACGAAAAAGGGAGGGGTGGAGAAACAGAAACTCACCCGTATTAATAGCAAAATCAAGACAATACATCAAAATCGTCGCCACGACTATTGAGGTTACTTTGACCCCCGTGGAGCGGAAGGGAACTCCAAATATGCCCAAGACGCCGCCCACGATCTCACGAGTCCACGCAAGCGCGAGTAGGGATATGATCGTCGCAATCCCGCCCCCGATCATAAACGGCTTTCGTTTCCCCCATGATATTCTGCAGTTATCGCTGCGGATGCCGACGTATGGTTGGACAAGGGTTCCTGTTAAGGGGCCTGCTATCCACACGAATGCCAGGAGGGACTTATCCATCCCAAGTGAGAGTAAGTAGGGCTGTAGACAAAAAATATTAGCTTCTTCGTATCCACGGGGGGAAATATCAGGCAAAAAATTCCCATGCACATACAGATCCACTAGACAACTCCACAGACCAAACAATTTGTAAACTACATCATCAACACCAAAAGTTAGCAATCAATCAATCAATCAACCCAAACCGCAAATAACAAATAAGCAAAACGTCAAAAAAAAAAAAAAAAAAAAAAAAAAAAAAAAAAAAAAAAAAAAAAAAAAAAGAGCAAAATCTTACCCCCCAATACTCAACGTAAGCAAAAAGAGATACAAGCTACTCTTCGACACAGCATCCTTGCAAACTTCCTTCGCGAAATCATCATCATCATCTGCTGCTGCTGCTGCTGCCGCCGCATCACCACCACCGAACAACCCTCCGGAATCATCGGCAATGGCATTGTGTCCCGACGACGCCTGCTCACCCGCACCAAGGAGTGGAGACCGATCCGACTCTCTATCCGGCAATGACGAGCTCATAAGAGGAGGTATGTATATAAAGGGGAGAAAAGACGCTGCGCGAGGGTGTATTCTTTTTCTGCTTCTTCCTTTCTATATCTGCTTTTCCGTGGATGACGCTTGTCGGGTATCATGTACAGTACATCTCCCTTCCTCTCTCTCTCTCTCCTTCCTTTCGTTTCCGCAGCAAAAAAGCCGGGCCGTTCCCCTAGCGGGCCGTGGTATGATATGGATGTATGTATCTACCTCCCCAACACAGTCGAACGTGCACAAAACTATCGTCTCTCCTTTCTTTCTTTCCGCGGGGAGTTTGATTTTGCACCCCTTCGCCCTCTCCGTGCGTTTCTCCGAGAACAGGGGGTGGGTGGTAAGTTAAGAAGTGCGTTTGGTGATCTTTGCCGGGCACAGTACCGTATTTATCTCTATCAGCAGTCGGAAAAAACGGGCAATAAACGGCTCGTGTCCAAGAGGGTAAAAAGAAAAAGAAAGCAAACAAAGCGTAAAGTACAATAAACGTCGGGTAAAATAAATATATATATGTTAATGTTATTCCCTCCTTGTTGTTGAATCCGCCAGACAAGACCAGACTTACGTAGTAACGTAATAAATAGCTAAGTTCAGTTAGCTAGTTTGCGGGCCACATCACATTCTCCTCCCCGCAGCTCCTTTTCCTTCGCCGATAAGAACTCCTAACTAAAATCCTAGCATGCGATGCGATGCGATGTGATGTGATGTGATGTTGGGAAATGAGGGAGGTATATGCGGGAGGGTAAGTTGGAAGAAGAAGGGCAACAGTTAAACCGGCCAAGTTCAGGCCTTGGTCTGTTCTTTCCGGAATAGGAAAGGTCGCTACCAACCTTGGAGCTGTGTAACGACCTCATGTATCGCCGCCTCCGGAAACTCTAAATATCGCAGACACAAGCTTCGTCGTCTGATTCTCCACATGAAACGTTGTCATGGGCAGGCGTGGAAACTTGGAAGCAACAAAAGATTAAAGGAAGACATAATTCATTCAATCACTCTTCAAGAGCTGCAGTTTATTGCATGTATAGAAAAATTAATTGAAAGAAATCAAATGAAGTATGTTATACTTACTTCAAATAAAAATCACAAAAACCAAAGAAATATAAAAGAAGGATAGAGTGTCAAAGAGCATCTAGCAAAATAATAAGTAAAGAGAATCTGTTTCAGAAGAAAAAAAAAAAAAAAAAAAAAAAAAAAAAACTAGAAAGAAAAGGAAAGGAGAGAGACAGAGAATTAAGAAAATCAATTATAATATAAAGTATATAATAAGTATCATAGTAGGTAGCAGCAGTAGCAAATAGCACATAAATAGGAACAGAGACAAAAAAAAGCTCATAATCATAGGCAAAAAGAGAAACATTGGAATAGCAAAAATATAAGAAAAGTCAGATAAGAAAGTAGTAAGAAATATTCAGCAGATGAGTGTAGATGTGAAGATGTGTAGACATGTACCAGTGCAGATGTCCATGCGTTTCAAAAGAGTATCAAATCGGCTCTGAATAATGTCTCTTTGTGTACGCATCAACCAACAACCAGTCAATCAGTCCACAACCTGGGGCTTGTGGGGAGGAGGACGGTAACGAGGGAACTTCTTGTATAGTATGAAAACAAACCCAAAAAATATCTTCCATTCTTCCGAACGAGAGAAACGGAGACAAGACGCAGATCCGGGGGGGGGAGTGACAAGGAAAGCCATGTATATATATGTATGTGTGGGGGTATATATAAAAGGGTCATAAACTAGAAACGCGCAAAAACCAATAAACCAAAACCAAAAAAAATGGCAACAGGAATAGATAGATATATCGGATAAGATAGATGGGGAGGAGCTTGAAGGATTATTCGAAGGGGCGCGGAAGGAAATATATAGATAGGAAGGAGAGACATAAATCAGCAGTGATAACTAGCATAAAACCCGATTCCCTTTCTATAACAGAGCAAAGCATAACCACACAAAGGAAAAGAAAAAGGAAAGAAAGAAAGAAAGGAAAATCCAAGATCAAAAAATATCCATACCAAAATTCATATCCAAAAAGGAGCCAACACCACCTTTCCAAAACCACCATGTCCCGCGATGGGGAGGAGGAAGGAATGGAATCCTCAAAGGAGAAAGAGCAAAAGAGCAGAGTAGCGGAAAGCAAAGCCAAAGCAACGCAACGCAAAAGGGCAAAAACGCAAAGACGTATAAACCCCCAGCAGCCAACCCAGCCCAGCCCAACCAGCAAGCCCTCTTCTAGATATGTTGCTGCAGGAGGTGAGGCGTTATCATCTGCGGCGTGACCATTGTTGGTAAACTAGTTTGCATCACCATAGATGACGGCATGGAAGTTACGTTGGCCATGTTGACCATGCTGGTCGGCATGTAATTATTATTATTGCCGTTGTTTTTGGTGTTATTGTTGTTGCTACCGTTGTTATTATTATTGCTGCTACTATGGTGGTGGTGGTCGGTGTTATTAGTGTTTCTGTTCCTGTTAGTGTGGCTGTTGCTGTGGTTATGGCTGTGGCTGTTCGGGTCTGAAGACGATCGAGGCGACTCAGTATCTCCCAGCGATCCGAACTCCTGTTCCTCGTGTTCTTGTTCGCGATCCTCGTCCGAGTAGTTGTTCACTATCTGCTGCCCGCTCTGCTGTGTTTCATGGGTACGGCGGTGTCTGCAATGGCCGCAACAAGGGCAGTTAGTTAGCGGGGTAGCTCCAGAAGGCACGGTACTATTTTTAGCCAGTCTGGCAGGGAAAGAAAAGAAAAAGAAAAAGAAAAAGAAACAGGTGAAACATACTGGGCAAGATTGTCCGACCGTGAAAAGGCCCTATTGCAGTAAGGGCACGGATAGGGGCGTTCTTGCGTGTGGGTCCTCACGTGTCTAGGCGCCCAGTCAGTCAGTGAAAAAAGCCCAGCGGTTAGAACAAGTTTTAAAGCCCGCAAACATTTGAACCAAACAGAATGCTCCAAATCAAATCCTGCGCGATGCAAAATATTCAAAAATAGCAGCACATACCGTTTCAGATGTTCTAGTCTCTTAAACAACCTGCCACATGACGGGATGGGGCAGGAATGTGATTTCTGAGGATAAGGGCCAAGCTCCATCATTGTCGCACTGCGGGCGCGACGGACGGGACCAGGCCGATCGCCCTTGCCATTGGCTGAGCTCGCGGCAATAGCATTGTCGATTTGGTCACCATTGGGTAACGATGACAACTCATCGTGGGCCTGGATCAGGGATAGAGGGTGCTCGGGGGGACTTTCCTCTAGACTTGGCAGCGGAGTGCCCGTTCGAGATAGTTCGTGCAGCAGATCCTTTTGGTTCACGACCGTAGATGTGTAACTATTGGTTAAACCTGGAGGCGAGTCGTTGTTTGATTCCTCCCCTTCCATAACCGCCGGGACAGACCTGGACATGGAACGGCGAAGCTCACTTGGTCGTGTCACGGAATGGGCATGGGCGTGGGCGTGGGCGTGGGCGTGGGCGTGGGCGTGGGCGTGGGCGTGAGAATGGCCGTGCGACTGAGTAGATTGCCCAGCAGCCGCTGCAATGGCATGGGTGATGCTGGCAGGGATCGACGATCGTCGTCTCCGTTGTTTGTAGGTTGGAGATCCTTCAATGACTGAATATACATTGGTAGTTGGGAATGTGCGAGTTGCGGTAGAAAACTGTGGACCCACAAGATTGGAAGGAGGAAGTTGCATCATTGGAGCGAAGCCTGTCGGGTTCCCAATATCGGGGATGGCGGTATACAAGCCAGTGTCCTCATTGGCAATGTAAGCAGGCTCCTGGCCAAGATGTAGCGAGTGTTGTGGAGGTGTAATTGGTTCAAAGGATATCCCTCTTGCACCATACTCGTCATAGTGCGATGAAACGAACGATGGGGCCGGCGAGTACTCCATAAACGTCGGCATGGATGTATGGCGCTGGTGGATTCTGGAGACAGGGGTGCCGTTTCGATCGTAGCTAAACTGTCCCAGATCCTGTTCGGGTTTGCTCATACCGTTGGTCAACGAGTTATTGGGCATTCCCATGGAATTGTACAAACCCTGGTTGCTGGTGTCCTCTTGAAGAACTGGCATCGATTGGGGTAGTTGCGGTGGTGGCATAGAATCAGTGGCTCTCCCCATAGGGGAGGTAGAGTGAGTGTAGGCCGTGCTGGCGTGGGCAGAGAAAGAAGACGAATTTGCTTGTTGCGCCTTTGTGAGTTGCTCAAAGAGAGACTGTGAGGAATCGAATTCGAACGACAAGGCAGGTTCATTGACTGCCACCGTAGTTGCTTCCTGACCCATCTTTTCCCGCTTCAAATCCCGCTCCAAGGCATCGAGGAAGAGCCGATCGTGAGGTACACTATACCAGTAGAAGACCTTCTGCTTTTTCTGCGTTCGAATACAGTTATTTTTATATAGGAAGTCCAAAAAGGCGCTCTTTGGCTCCTCGAGGGACGCATCGGTGCCGGACTTCAGGTTGCGAAGATCAGAGAAGATGCCCTCTTCGAACTTCTTGGTGTTTTTAACTGGACGGCCAAAGGCCTGGAATCGAAAGGATAAGCATCGCACGATGTCGGTTCCCGAAATATGGAAAAGGTTATTCCTGCGATCGTTCTGTTAGACTCGACTGACCTTCTCCTTCCCCCGCCTCAAACCCTAGTCGTATCACGGGCAAAAAGACATACCATAAAACACACGAAACATAGTCGCCTGTTGGGAGTAAGAATCGTCTGATGAGTTGATCTGGAGCCCAATCGACCGGCGCGGATATAAGGAAGTATTTTACTATAGCCATGAATTAGGGACGGTGGTTTTTTTTTTAGGTGACCATGGCTCTAACGCGCAAGGACAGGGATGGATAATCCGAACGACGTGGCGGTTCAAGGACTTAAATATCGAGCCGACACAAGAAAATGGCGAAAAGGCAGAGAGTAGACTCACAATTATCGACTTGCTGTAGGGCAACCTGTGCATCTCGGGGGAGACTTTGTTGAGCCTCGTTGGAAAGCATGAAGGTTTCTGGCTTTTGCGGTGGTGCCATCGAAGCACCATGCTGCGAATACATGGCCATTTTGCAGATCGAACCTATCTCTTAAAACGCGGAGGGGTTAGTCATATTGCAACGAGAATGCAGTTTTTAAGAAGATAAATGCCAAGATAGAAAAATGCAATGGGAACGAAATTTCGCATCCGCAGGGCTGTGTCTCTCTTCGGGGACAGGTGCAGTAGAAGGGGTGCGAGAGAGCGCGAGAGATAGAGAGAGAGGGGGAAACTAACCGTCTAGGAGACAGTGAAAAACCACACGGAACAACGACGCAATGGGCACCAGCCACGCGAGAGAAGAAAAATGAAAAAGCGAGAAGAGAAACGAATGTTAAAAGGGTTGGAAAAATGGGAGGAGAGATTCCCAGATGGCGGTTGTTGTTGGTGGTGGTGGAGGTGATGTTGTTGTGCGAGGAGCCAGCCTCACTCCGACACTGCCGCGAATCCTGTCGAGAAAAGCAACGAAGAAGAGAGCTGAGAGTCCGGGCCTGCCCTGATCGAACGCTTCTCTATCTCTACTTGCTTCTTTTTATATTTTTTTTAATATCTATTTTTTGGTCGATAAAAAAAGGTGTACTTGGCGCGCTCGACGGGGTTGACAGGGGGTGTGGTGTGATCGAAACGAAGGTAAAAAATAATAATGTGTGATGTTTGGTTTTAAAAAGACATGAAAAAATTAGAAGAAGAAAAGAAGAAGAAAATGGAGAAAAAAAGAAGGCACAAGAGAACGGGATGACGGGAGAAAAAGAGAGAGAAAAAAAAAAAGAGAGAGAGAGAGAGAGAGAGAGAAGAGGAGGACGGCGGGAGGGGAGGAAGGTGGATAATAATAATAATAATAATAAGAAGAAGAATAATAAGAATAAGAATAACAATAATTATGAGAATACTACGGAGTACTTTTGCAGACAGAGCGAGCGCTGTGACGGCGGCAGACGGGATATTATTATTATGGGAGGTGGGAGGGGAGGTGGGATATGGGGGGCGCCGGCAGATAAGGGGAAAAAGAAAGGGCGGCCACGGGCAAGCAGGAAGAAGTAGTAGAAGAAGTAGAAGAAGAAGAAGAAGAGAAGAAGAAGAGGACGGGGGGGGTTGGGCTGCCGCCGGGGACTGAGGGATGGGATGAGGGAATCTTTTGGACAGACAGGACAGACAGCCGGACAAGACACAAACAATACAAGGACAGGACAGGACAGGCAACAGAGAGCGAGAGAGACGAGAGACGAGAGACGAGAGGTAGGGAGAGAGACAGACAGAAGAGACAGACAGAACAGACAGACTGGGGCGGCGACGACGGACAATCCAGTCCAGTCCAGTCCAGTCCAAGGACGAGTTAGCGGCAAGCAATCATAGACGACACTCGGCGGCTGGACACGGGCGGCGCTGGGCACTGGGCACTGGGCACTGGGCACTGGGTAGTGGGCACTGGGTAGTGGGCACTGGGTAGTGGGCACTGGGTAGTGGGCACTGGGTAGTGGGTAGTGTAGTGGGTAAGTGTAGTGGGTAAGTGTAGTGGGTAGTAGTGGGCAGTAGTGGGCAGTGGGCAGCAGCAACAGTGGGGACTTGTGGGGAGTGAGTGGGAGTGAATGATGTTGATGAGTAACTAACTAGTAACTACTACTACTAAGTAGTCGTCGTTGTCGTCGTCGTCGTGGATCGGCTCACTGGCCTCAGTGTCGGGTGGGCTAGTATCTGGACACCGGCGCAAGGAGTACAGGAATCAGGAGCCAGGCCAGGGCCCAGCACTTGGAGTCTTGATAACTACTCCGTAGAGAGAGAAGGAGGGAGAGAAATGTATAAAATAAGCATCATATCATGACAGGATAGTTAGTAATAATTAATATTACTACTTATGTATTATTATTATTTTATTTTATTCATTCTGCCTTTTATTATTAACTAACTTACTACCGGTATGCAAGTGTGGATTGTGTTATTTACCACTGTACATGTACCTGTACCTGTAACTACCTGTACCTGTAGTTACCTGGTAGGTATTACTAATTCTGATTTGGCTGGCAACAACAGGTGAAGCCCCAGCCCAGCCCAGACAAGGGTCTGATGGGCAGTAGAAGAGCAATTATTGATCAATCAATCACGAAGTTGATGTCAGAGAAGAGAATACTTTAAAAAGAACAGGATGAAGATGGAGAAAACTCACCAGTTGACCAGTCATCACAATCACAACTCAGCACCTGCTTCTGAATCTTCTGTACTGTATTACTGACTATTTAACTAGTTAACTTTGATAGGCATATCCAAAAATAGCCATAAGAAAAAGAAAAAAAAAAAGAAAAAAAAATTTATACTTTCATTGGAAGGATTTATTAGCTGCATACATAAAACTCCAGTCAAACTCTGATTTCTTTTTCTGATTCTGTTCCTGGATCTTCTTCTGAACCTAAAAATACTCCGTACAGTAATAATAAGTACATGTAGTTATTGGTCATACTATACTTCCAAGTTCCAATTATTAATGATAAGCAATGAGTCCCCCCCCCTCCAAGATACGTCAGTAGTACGTTTCATCTTAAAAAGGGATCGAGGACCGAGATGTTTTACCCCGGAAAATACGGAGTACGAACTTTTCAGATCTTATCTCTCTGTCAATGATGAACCAACCCCCCCTTCCGCCACTCAACCTGAGAAGAAGGTTCAGAGCGTACTTGTGTGTGTAGATGTCATCGCTGCATCTGACCCCTCCTTCCAACAACATTAGCAACAACCACAACCACCGCCGTACTTAATAATGTTGTGTACCACGCCCAGATCAACGATGGGCAACATGGCCAGCGTCCGTATAATGTATGTACTGTACATATTCATGTACATGTACAATGTACATCCCGTAGCTTATTAACCATCTCTCCCTCTCTCGCCATCCATCCCACCAACCACCAACCAAACCAACCAAACCAACCAACCAACCAAAACACCGCCTCTCTCCCAGACAAAAAAAAGAGGAAAAGAAAAAGAAAAAGAAAAAGAGAAAGAAAAAGAAAAAGAAAAAGAGAAAAAAGAAAGGGAAAAAAAAGAAAGAAAGAAAGAAGAATGAGCAAAAAGTGTATGACTTCATCAGCCAGAAAAAGATGCATTACAGCATGCAGCAAGGCAAAGCAAGGCCATTATTATTATTTTCACGGAGACGAGTCAAATCACATCATTTTTTTTTGCAGGAGGGGAGTTGCATGCCATTCCATCATTATTGTTATTATTATTATTATTATTAATATTAGTGTCCCTCCCCAATCGCGAATAATTTAATAACTATCAACTACGTCAAGTGTTACTGCCTCTCCTGAACTCTCTCTTTCTCTTCTCTCTCTCTCTCTCTCTGCCCAACATTAATATTAGCTTCTTCTGGTTCCACTCGGCGCTGCAAATCAAACAATTGGCATCTGGACTAGGCCGGGTTTCTTGTTATACTCAGTGGGAAAGGTTGATTGGTTGAATGAAATTTGGACTTTTCTTTCTTGGAGGCCAGATATTGGATGAATGGATGGATGCCTTGTGAAAATTGTTCTGATGTTCTGAGGGTGTTTGGGCAGAGATGAGTAGGCATTATTTATGTAACTATCTATGTGCGTGTGTGGCTGGTAAAAAAAAAAAAGAGAGAGATACCTAATCACTCTGGTGAAGATGATGGTTTGCTTTACGCTCAGACGTAGTTATACACCATTTCTTCGCCAGTTTTTTACAAGTGGGATATCTTGATTGACTTCTGTTATGTGGTACATAACAAAAGTACCTGTAGCTGGCTGATAGGCAAAAAAATGAATATTTATAAAAAAATTGAAAAAGAGTAACCTTTTTGAAAATCTCAAAATCTCACACTAGAACACATGTAAAATGAACGTACAGAGTCCAGAGTACATTACAGAGTAACTACACATCGAAATCAAATCAAATCGATAAATTAATACAGGCTACAGAGTACACACTCAATAAAAAGCCCAGAAACCCCCCCTTCCCCCTCTCTTGATTCGAAAACGTCAAAGAAGATGGATGAGACAGCCATCAAGCTATGCACAACTTTTTTTTTAGAGCAGTTTCGAAATCCAAAACTAGCACGTGGGAAAAAAAAAAGGCAAAGAAAAAAAGCAAAAGCAAAAGCTCTGAAACAGCACGCTCACTTCCTGGTCTGGGGGTTAGACCAAGGTTAGATAGATAGAGCGCGGTTTTTTGAACTTGGGATGATGATGATGAATGATGATGGTGATTGATGAGCTCGGTTCACTGCTACTACTGAGCCCAGCCCAGCCCAGTCCAAGTCCATTTCAACCCCCCTTCCCGGGTTGCGTTTGTCTGAGCTTGAATTGGGTTGCTCTTGGCTAGGATGTTAGAGCGGTGGGTAACTGAACGACTTATTATTATACGCTGCATATGTGTGAGAGAGCAAGTGTAACGGTATGCCCCCGGGGCGCCCCGGGGGCCAGGAACAGGCAAGCTAGCCCCCACCACTAACTATAAAAGGATGGGTGCCGGGGCGCGGCTGGCAAGGTCTTTTTGGCCTAGGTAGTACGCTATAAGTGATGATCAGCTAGGTGCGGTTGGGAGCTGTTGAGCTGATGAATAAACTATGTCTAGTGACGGCCGAGAGACTTTGAGTTGAAGTTTATGTACAGTTTTAATGTATCAATCAAAGATGTTTAAAAACTAGAGAGGTGTACAAATTAATGAAGTGAAACCTGGACAGAAACTGGGAAAAGAAAAAGAAAAAGAAAAGAAAAAGAAAAGAAAAGAAAAGAAAAGAAAAGAAAAGAAAGCAGCTCTTTTTTTGTCAGTTAGCTAAGTTATCAGTGTTTGAGATTTAAGCTTGATGCTACTAATAATTGCTCTTTTCATCCCCCTCTTCATTCTGTAGTCTCTCTCTCTAATAAATTCTCTTGTAGTGCCTTTTTTTCCCCACTGTTTCACCTGTGTCTCAGGTTTTCATGGCTGACTGACTGACAGGTTCGCAATAATGCATGTACATGTACTCCGTACATTACATACATGTACCTGTACATGTACATGTAAAGATGTTTCCCTTCTCCCATCTTCCCGTGATCATTACCCTATCACTATCACTAGGTATCATTTAGCCTACAGTAATAGTGGTAACTACAGAGTTATGTACGGAGCAGACACGGGCAAAAACGCAGCATCAATCTTAAAAAGTGTAGATCATGTTCTGCTGTCTCTTTCTCTTCTCACTAATGATATTCTTCATCGTTCAAGCTAATCATATCAAGAGAAGAAATAATAAAGTAAAGTGAAGCAAGATTCACCACTGATTAAAAACATTCTGATTAGCTTTCTGAGAGTCTGAGAGTCTAGAGCTTGACCTTTTTTTTTATTTTTATTTTTTATTTTTTTTATTTTTTTTAATGACTTTGAACAGATTCTTTCTCATTTTTACTTTCAAAAAAAGATGTATGTATGTGGATAAACACTCAGATCCGGTTTTAAATCAATTCTCTGGAGCTGGAAAGTAGTTGGTTATGAAAGAAGACCTATTCTGTTTCTACATCAGTTCAATTTCAAACTAATAAACCAGCATGCTTTTATACAAAAAAAAAAAAAAAAAAAAAAAAAAAAAAAAAAAAAAAAAGTTCAGTCTCAGATGTCTCTTGACAATATAATAGAATTAGAATGGAATCAACTCTGGCACTGATACAGACCGCTTAAGAGTTCTAAGATGAATGATTCATAGCCATTTTACAGAAATGAGAGGATGAGAACACCTCTCTCACTCTCGGCGTATACATGTTTATACGTTCAGATTATTTATAAAAAAGTAAGTAGGTGTGTGGGAACTCCTCACTGCAGCGTACAGAGCAGCGTAGAAGTTCTGCTGTTGTAAGTTAACTATGTCTGATTCCTCTTACGCGTAGTATAAGAAAAATGAGTGTTCGCCAATCTTCTCTCTGTATATATATATACCTAGGCATATAGGTATATACATAAACAAGCTCATGTATACGCGGAAGGAGTGGTCGCAGGGGCCAAAAGGGAGAGGAAGAATAGAAGGGGGAGGGGGGACAGAGCGGAAGAAGAGAGGAAGGATGGATGGATGGAGAGAGGTGGTGCGGAAGTTCTGCAACGCTCACGGCTAGATTTTAATGGAAACCATGTTTATCTTCTCAATTGAAAATTTTATGTTCGAAGATGGTGATATCCAGTGTGAGTAGAGAGAGAGAGAGAGAGAGGGAGGATGAAAGACAGGATTGAATCGAGAGTTGTTTTGATAACTGTGATGTTGACTGAGGGAATGAGAGGTTTTTGGAGGTTGGAAATGAGTGGTGGTGACTTATTATGCAGAGAAGGTTTGATGGCAATTGAATTTGAGTAGAATGGAGAATGGTGAGTGTGGAACATGGAGAGGCATCTTTTATTAAAATCAGATGGGTATATATAGTTGATTAAAGAGGGAGATGAAGGGTAGGGAGAAACAAAAGTGAAAGGGGGGAAAGGGAGGGGAAATCAAGAAAGAAAGGGGGAGAGGTAAAATGACGACATATCTCATAACAGATGACGAGAAAATAAAAATATATAGACTCAAAGTGCGAAAAATGTATAAGCCCATTGATAGTTTTTTATCAATCTATTGACCGCACATTCACTAGCAACTCTCATCCATCCCCATCCTAAACCAGGTCGAGGATGGGTTTATTCATTCCCGTTTCCTCTTTTTTGAGAAGGGCACCAAATACGTCCTCCCTGCCATGAAGTATGATATCCCGTGACGGCCGCATATACGTCGATAAAACTAGTACGTATATACCTTTGAACGGAACACAAAATAGGAGCGACTCACTCAACTAGGATTCGTCGGCATCTCATACGTAACATTCTGATTCCGACTCGCATTCATCTCAGCCGGAGGACCACCATGGCCACCATAGCCACCATAGCCACCATAGCCAGGATCCTTCGCCGCACCCAGCAATTCATGAACGTCGTGCGGGTTTCCTCCATCGCCACCAGCAGCATATCCATAATACCCCTGCGCTTTCGGTTGACCTGCACCACCGCCTGTATGGAGGCTCTGCAATTCGGCCCGCCCCTGCGTGTTGTCTAATTCAGCTGCGCGCGGGAGCGCCTTGGCGCCATTTTTCTGTTTCCGGCGGTAGAAGAAGTAGGCCAGGGCGAGGATGCTGACACCCACGACGGCGCCGGCGGCGACGCCGCCTATCAAGGCTCCGTTGGATCGGGATTTCTCTGGGGCAGGTGTTGGTGGTGTCGACGGTCGCGGGTCTGACTCCTGTGGGTTGTTGCTTGGTAAGTTTGGGGGTTGTGAGGTTTGCGATGGTGAGGTTTGCGGTGGTGAGGTTTGCGGTGGTGAGGTTTGCGGTGGTGGTGTTATGGTTGACGAATCTTTGAATAAAGCGATTGTAAGTGGTTTGATTGATAGTTTTAAGGTTTGCTGAAGGTTCCCTTTTCACGTTTTCTTCCTTCCTTTGCTTTTTCTTCCGTTTCATTTTCGGCAAGGGAGGTTTTATTTTATTTACAGTTAAACAATGGGAATCCAGGGAGCAATTGGGATTCAAAAAGGAGCGGAGAATGATATATTAGAAAGCAATGAACTTACCAGTAGCTTCAGCAGGGAGTTTGCGGTAGACTGTATATGCACTCCAATTTTCCCAACAGAAAATGTTCGTCGCAGACGGTGAGCCGCCGGGTGAAGTTTCGTAGACTGTCATGGTTGCGCAGGATTGCCGCTCCGGACTTTTTTTTCCCCAATTTGTCAGATATAAGTTGATAACAACTGTCTTGTCCGTAACCCGTCGAGGGGTAGGTGGGCTCCTTTCCCCTTCAATTTTGCCTTCATTCATTTTCTTGGAGTGCGGCACGAGGCACGTACCAGGTATATCCACCGCCGTTGTCAAATGAAACTGATGCATCTTCGCATTTAGTAGGCATCGGACATCTTGTGGTCAGCGTGGTCGCGCAGCAGTTGGCATATGTTCCAGAAGTTATCCATGACGTGTGAGAATCGCGACATGTTATCGATTCGACTATGGGTTTTTTTTCAAAGCAAAGGTTTGTGTTAGCAAACACCGGGTCAACCCAAAGAGCAATCCCATCCACAAAACATCTGTTCTGTCATAATTCCATAATTCACATGTCACGAACCTGCAGTAGATCCGTTTGTTGCATATATATAGTATCCATTGAACCAACTTGGCAGCTGCTCAGCGACCGAGAAATTTTCATTTAATAAAGCAAAGATGGCCAATGCCTTGACCAGTGTGGTTCGCGTCACCGCCATCGAGCGGCGGGTTGATGAAGTAAAGTATAGAGCCAGTAGTTGAAGTCGGACTTGGGGTCAAACACAGAAATTTGAGAGCGCCGACGTTGCATCAACAGCCGGGCAGCCCGAGCCGCAAAGTTTCGAGGATTTAAGCTGATGTTGTGTGTGTATTTTCCCCGACGAGATATGGAGGAATAAAGAAGAGGTGTGAGAAAGGTCGGGACGACGAGAATTAGTGTAGCCAGGTCAGCTCAGGGCCAACAGTGCCAGCATTATTATTTTTCCTCTCTGGCTTTCCCTTCCAATGTCCAATGCCACTCTACTACCCTTGTGCCCTTGTGCTATTCATGGAACTTCATGGAGTCCGTCTCCTCCGCCCCCCCCAGCTTGTTGTGGCACTACAGGTGCACACATCAACGCTAGCAACAAATAAGAGGCCGCTCACCCAACCATCCCTGAGTCAATGCGCCAGATTCATAGGGGGTGAAGAAGGGGGGCTGAATTATTATTATTGCTCAGGTCAGGCTCATAAAACCATTTGGTTTGGTGATACGTGCGTAGCCCGCCAGGCATAAATTCCCATGAGTGCTACCGGGAGGCAAGCACTCTGTACTGTTCACCATGAACATGAAAAGGGTTGCAAACTTTTCCTTACGCAGCGTACAGCGTATGCATGCAAGAGCGTAGCGTAGCGTAGGGTTGAATGTTGAATACTATGTATGTCATGTCCATAGTCCAATAATTATTAATGATCCGCTCGATGCAACTTGCTGGCTGCAACTTTGGGCGTTGAAGATCGTTGTTGGGCGGGATGTTGAGCCAATGGGGAGTTGTGCAGACCGAGCCCCTTGGATGGCCAGTCATGTGATACCAAGCTTGGTCACATGGAGCAGTAGAGCAACCAATAATATGGGGCGCTGATTCGGGTCGGGGTTCATCATTCATTCATTGCCTTCATTTCATTGCCTGCTGCTTTACCCAGTTCACCCAGCGCGGAAACTAAACAGATAAGTTACTAATTATTTAAATGTGGTCGACCAACCGGCGGCTTATATAAAAAATCTTAACTAACTTAAAGAGTGCTAACTATCCCGGGTTGCTTTCCTTGGCAGGTCCAGAGTACTCCGTACAGTTTCACCCACAGAAGTTCTCAACCCATGTTCAATGAATTATCATTCTATCGGAAATTTTCTTTCCTTAAGGGGGGGGGGAGCAGTAAGGACCCCTCACGCAGCCAGGGTAGCGATTCCATCATTTCAAAAGCCCCTTTTTAGTTTATCAAAGTCCCTCTCTCCATGATGAAAAGCTGCAAAAATTTGTCGCCTAGCTACTTGCTAATCACGGCCCTTAAGGAGGATAATGTGTTTTGTGTCCAGCTGGGTCAGATCAACTGTGCAAATAGACAGTTCGATGAATAATATGACGGCCCCAGGCTTGCCAAAAGTTTACGAAAGAAGTGCAGATTCAGGGAGAACGTCTTCGAAGAATGCTGTTGAAGTGATTGATCCGCTTTATTTTGACTCTCAGAACCAGGCGATCATGCTGCTGCTGGAGCCCTCTGGACAAGTCCACTCTGGGATGCGCAAGTGGCATGACCATTGTTGACTGGGCCATTGTTGACTGGAGAGCTCCCGTTTCTGTGACCCGTTTCTGTGAGAGAGAATGCCATTTGGTCTGGAGACGATACGATACATATCTAATAAGGCTTATCTCTGTGCATGTTCACTGAAGAAGGCCTGCTCTGGATGTTAAATTGTGAAGAGTGGTATTTGGGACACTGCCTTGCCTCATGAGGAATGATTACTTCCACTGTACATATACTTTAGCCTCCTAGTGTTTCAATAATTGAATCTCGAACAACTGTTATATTCATTTTGTCCTGGGATATTTGTGAAAAGTAATTGACGAATAGGCCTGGGCTTAAATGATCGAAGGTGCCCTGCTTCTCTACCAAATAACCACCTCTCCTCTCCCCATAGAGGAGAAAAGAAAAATCTTTCTCCGATATTCATTGGTCGTTAGATACAACAGCCCAATAGTCCAAGTCGATTCTCAAACGAACCACCAATGCCCCGCTCCATAAAGCCGAGTGCCCACATACGCCAAACCGAGGAGAAGAGCTAGATCATTTACCAGTTGTGGATATTGGGGTGGTGGTTGTAGGGCTTCGGCACACTACGATATAGGCAGGGACGATTGAGAGGGAGTATGCGCGGAACAGGGAGAGAGAGAGAATGGGATGGAATTCTTTTCATGTCGTTTGCAAGGAACATCCCCAAAGATCAGCCGTCGACGTTGGATCCCTCCCTCCTTTGTCAATTAGTATGTAGGCTAGGGGATGGATGTTGGCTTAAAAAACCCATCGAGGACGAAAAGAGTAAGTTTCGCAAGAACCTGAAGAAGATGGGTGTCGCTATTGTGCTCTAAATGATACCCCTCTTGTTATTATATATCATAGACAATGTCTAACGAAATCAAAGAGCCCATTAAAGCAAGATGATCGGGAAGCTAAATGGAGATATATGGAGGTTTCTTCTAATTTCTTTGCCTGCGCTATATAAAAGAATAAGAAAGCCTCAATGCTATTGCATTTTTTATCTCAAGAGCGTGTGGATACATGGAGATATGGTCCCCCTTTATCACGCTTTATTTTTCGTTCTTCTTCCAAAGACATTGTCAATGACACAGAGACCTGAAACCCCGGTTGGTTCGCGGCCAAGAGCCCCAAGACCCTTCTTCAGTTAAGGCGCGGACAGGGTTGAGACTAAGGTGTTAGGACCGGGGGAGGAGAACGGGGCGCAGGGGTTTAGAGCAACTCCCAGGGCAAGGAAACCCCGAAGTCCGTACCGCAGGTAGCGGAAATAGAGAAAAAGCGAAAAACCCAGGGGAAGCCCGGGCGCAATATACAATATGGCGTAGATATATTATAGCAGGCCACCGGCGTGGCCTGGACATATGAATATCCAAAATTCTCCAGTCTGCTTTCGATCGTCCGGGTTTAGTGGCATGGCTTAAACTCACGGAGACTTGTTGGAGCCTGATCAACCCCGGCAATGCCAAGTAATAGTCGCAAAGGGTATCCAGGGCCCTCAGGCTCATCCTCCATGGAGAGGGCAGCAATTGGATCTCCCGCTTCGCATCCAAACCCTACAGATGAATAGTATCCTCAATTCAAACGATATGTCAAGTACGTTTCCCTCTTCCTCTTCCCCTTCCTCTGCCTCCACCTCTATCTCTTCCCCCCTTTCCGGGCCCTTGTATATCGGAAATATCCTTCTTGCTAAGCCGTAGCGTGCCCCCAGTAAATTTCCCAATAGAAGGGCCCCCAATGCCCCTCTCTCTGCGCATAGCACTGCCCCCACCGCTGCCACTTTGTTTTTTACCAACTGTAGAAAACGAAGGCTTCTCAAGGATAATCCCATTCTCCTTCGCTTCTCTCCGCCGCGCTTCTTCCTTCTTGCTCGCCTTCCCAATAATCCCTTTGCGGTGCGACATCGGCATTTTCGTCTGCGAGAATATTGATGATTTAGCTCCAGCAGATTGCATGCGGAGATCGATGGCGCGGTGCCGTTTGGCGCCGGTTGGGTTAAGGTCATCAGCGCTATCGAGTAGATGCGACTCCTTTAGAAGTCTCTGAAGCGCGAGGTCGTTTTTCAGGTTTTCAGCATCCATGGCTTGATCTTCGGTGGTAGCGCCTGCCGCTCCCGATGGCTTTGTTTTTGTTGTTGAGTTCCTTGCTGCTTGAGAGGAGGATGGGGGTTTTGAGGTCTGTAGGAATATATATTAGAACCTGTCTTACTTTTATCTCCTATCGGATTTTTTGCCCATGGAGACAAGGGTAAAAATTCTTCTTGAACGGAATGAGACTATAGTAAAGAAAAACCCACCATAAACGCTTTCCGGGCCTGTTTAGCTAAAATATCTTTCGTTGAGTTCCATGAAGTCGTGTGCTCAACTACCTCCGCAGATCGGTGCTTCTCGCCCGCAATATCACTATCACCTTCGTCTGAAAGGCCTTCCCACCCATCATCGTCGTCGTCTGCCTCTGCCGAAGAAGAATGTGAGGGCTCCTCGGGAGTAGTATATATCGGTTTCACAAGTGCTTCTACTGGGCCAAATCTAGCCTCGAAGAGCTTGCGGAGAATATCTTGTTTTTCCTCAGCCGACGGAGATAGGTTTTGGAGGTCGCTGTCCTCGTCGTCACGTATTTGTCTCGTCACGACGACGACGTCCCGCTTCCTTTTACCCAGCATTGTAATGTATTCCCACCAATTCGGGCCTGACTCGTGGTGTCGATTGAAAGTAAGTAATCGGAGTTGTATGAAAAATAGTCCGGGACGAAATCTGCAAATATTTTGCGCAAGACATAAGTTAAACTTATTTGTGGTCATCGTGCGGGTAAGTTTAAGTCACGTGCTTTATAAATCGATCTGCGGAAAGTTTCAACTCCGCGACAAGTTACATATAACACTCCTGCGACGGATTGAACGAATTTGCGGAATTGATCTATCTGGAAGAAAAGATAAAGAAGAGAATGACCCGTTTTCGCCCATGTATTGATTTGCATGCGGGCCAGGTCAAGCAGATCGTTGGCGGTACGTTGACCTCCACACCGGGGGAATTGAAGACGAACTACATATCCTCCCACCCGGCCGGATATTTCGCGAAGCTCTACAAGGAACATGGCTTGGCGGGCGGACATGTTGTGATGCTTGGAGGAGGCAATGAAGAGGCCGCAAGGGAAGCGCTGGCCGCCTGGCCTGGGGGGTTGCAAGTCGCCGGCGGCATTAATGACAAGAATGCACAATATTGGATAGAAGCTGGCGCCGAGAAGGTCTGTGTTAGTTTATCTACTTTCCTGTGCTTTGAATTTAATTTTGTGCATTCGGTGTTTTCATGATTAAATGTTATATTTTACCCACTATTGTTTGTTTTTCTATCACCAAGTTTGCTCGTGCAAAGTGGCTCATACCCTGCAAATGAGTAGTAGGTGGTTATTACATCCTACCTGTTTCCCGAGGGGCGGTTCTCTCTTGATCGATTACAGACGATACTCTCCGCACTTGGGAATGACAAGTCTAAGTTGGTACTAGACTTGAGTTGTCGGAAGAAGGGAGACTCTTGGTTCGTTGCCATGAATAAGTGGCAGAAGATAACGGAAATGGAGATCACGCAAGGTATATATATTTTTCCATCTAAATATATATAGAGGAACTCCTGTCGCGGTATTTACTGACTCGATTTGCAGAGACCATCGCAATGCTCGAACCATACTGCTCCGAATTCCTCATTCATGCTGCGGATGTGGAGGGCCTGCAGCAAGGAATTGACGAGGCGCTGGTGTCAAAATTGGCCGAATGGTGCACCATCCCAGTAACTTATGCCGGTGGCGGAAGGAATCTGGGAGACCTCGACCGTGTCAAGTCAAGTAGTGGAGGTAAAGTGGACTTGACGATTGGGAGCGCTCTAGATATATTTGGCGGCTCTGGGGTTACTTTTTCGGAATGCGTGGAGTGGAACAAGGCGAATGGAAGCTAGAAAATTTCGTACCGCCCTTAACGAGAAACGACCAAAATTCTAGAATTTGAAAACTTATTCACCGTATATTAGGGGCGCATGTAATTCAATAGCGATTGGAGATTCCATACGCAGTATGTCACCATTGCGAGCACATTCATCATTGATGGTCACAATCGGGGAGCTTTTAGCTAGGCTTAGCTGCAAGACAATGATCTCATCTTGTCAAGAAGAGCTATACTCAAGGAAATAACTGATGGGTCCGAGTGAGATCCAGAGCTACTTAAGTAAGTCTAGGCCCCCATGCGCGATCCTTGTAACAGGAGATTTATATTGTAGAAAGCAAGGAGGATAGTTTATATATATACAGAATATCAGTTAACCTCCTTTCTACACTTAATTTACGCAATTGGACCATAAAAGCTAAACATGCCTCTAGGGTCGAAAGCCCGTTTCAAAGATTTCAAGCGGTTCTGCCGCCATTTATCCGCCCCATACCAATCCTTAGGCGTCTCGTCGCCATAGGCGTAGTTAACATACGCATTCAAGCTACTTTGGCCACTTCCCTCGTGGAGGATCTGGCGAATCTTGTTGCCGAGTTTCATCGCTCGGTCATCCAGTTGTTTTCCGTTCGGCGTGTAGGTGAGGAGCGGTGCGGCGAGCAGGTTCTGGGAGCGGTAGGCAAAGGCCGAGGAACCATCCGGGATCGCTCTTACGGCCTGCATCGCATACCCTTCAAACATGAAGAGTGAGTTGCTGAAGGGGGTGCCGGGGCTGGTGGTGGCCTCGACGAACAGATCGTATACCCGTCGCTGCGCGGAGGGGTTGTATGATTTGAGATAGATGGGGAAGCGCGGGTTGGCGTTTCCGGTTATCTGGCAGGGCGTGTCGGAGAGTGAGATGCCTGTCCACCTAGCCAGGTCAAGATAAGTTCCTGGAGTGGACTCTTTGGAGATTGGCCCCAGGTCATGGAAAGGCTTAGTATATGCTGGGTTGACGGTGTCTACCCCTTCCTGGATGAGATACATGACGACGACCGGCTATCGAAGTTGATTAGATTTGTTATGACAGACCCCAAATTGGCATTTGGGGCACACGCACCTTATTCGGGTCAATTGTAGGATCGAAAAACCAGTAAGACCAGTTGACAAGATGAACGGGCATGGTCCCGTTTGTCAGCCACATCTCGTTGGCAAGCTCATAAACCGCCTCGACCTTATCGCCGCTAAAGATGATAGTCTCCAGCGCATAATTGCGGTGCTTGATATCGTAGATTTTGGAAACCACAGAGGTGACAATGCCAAAGTTGTGGCCGGCTCCGTTCATCGCCCAGAAGACATCGGAATTCTTGTCCACGGTGACCAAGCTGCCGTCGCCCTTGACGACTCTCATAGAAACGAACTGGTCCCCAATGAGACCATGATGGCCTTGGAGCCATCCGTGGCCACCTCCCAGGGCGGGACCCAGGTAGCTGACACATTCACAGGTTCCAGTCACTGCAATCGGAGCTTAGCTATCAGGACCGTTGTTGTATATATGACAGTCAGTCATATGCGGAATTGATCGATAGCTACTGACCTGCTTGTTTTCCAGCCGCCCACAACATGTCCGTGACCTTCTTGGACTGAGTTCCGCCGCCAATTGTGACCGTTTTCCCATCACCGGCTATTTTGATCCTGTTCAACTTCTTCAGATAGATCTCGATGCCATGGGTCATCTTTTTGAGAGTGGTGGATGCCCCATGACGGCCATTTACCGCGAGGAAGGGCAGGCGTTTGCAGTTTGCAAACTTGACCTGAGCCGCAGAGAGACGACGAGGAGTAAGCTGTCACATCCTTTCATCGCAGACACCTTTTTTGATTGAAAATGAAGAGAAATTGCTGCTTACCGTCTTGACAACATCATCTTCGGTGCCGGGAACAACAACAACGTTTGCCACGGGCACTGCCAGATTGGACCATCGTGCCACTGCGGCGTCGAACTCGTCCGACCCTGGTAGGTAGATCTCGGCGGTGGACGAGAGTGTGCGCCCGAGTTCAGTGAAATCCACTCTGCCACGAGCGTCAATGCTGGAGAAAGGGTTGCCCTGGCTTGCTACCGCAGTTGTCCATGCGACAAGCGCCGCAAGTGGAAGCTTGAGTCGAAACATCTATGGGGTATCTAAGTATCTATAGATATCTCGAGAGCGCGCGAAATGACAAGGAACGATAACAACAGCAGCAGCAGCAGTAACAGTAACAACAACAGAGAGTGACTGAGCTACCCCCTGTGCATAATGTGAAGAGAGAATTCCACCCTCTTAATTTTCTTTAAAAAGAAAAGGCGGGAAATTGCAGCCTGTCGCTTCTCGGCCATTCGTTGAGAGTGTTTCCCATCCCTGACAACCTATTTTCTTAGCATGGGATAACTCATTCTCCGTACAGGAATCTTCGGCTAGCCGAACCTAAAATGTTTCATCTTCTGCTCAGGAGAAGAAAATTGCTCAGTCCTTTCTTCGCTGTGCATCCGATTGTGAAGAGTTGCATATGTTCGCTTGCAACCCCCTGCTGGCTGTTGCATGAACCCAGGAAGTTTGCTGTTCCGTTCAGAGCTTGTCAAGGTTGCGGCTAGTGTCCGGGCCTTGCGCCTAGAACACATTCCCCGGGAAATCCACGGCAGGGGAGCTGCAACTAACTCCTTGTTGGCGTGAGGGTTGCAGCTACGGGAGGGCCAAGTTGATCCGTTCATAGCCCACTTGAGGGATGATGGATTGATCGATCGCCTTACGATCGCCTTACTCTGCACCTTTTACAGCAGGCAGGTCGTTCAGCACGCGTTAAGCGACCCATGCTATTCAGCAAGTATGATAAAATCATAACTTTGGCCTATGAACATCTACGAATATAGAGTCCGGAACTTAGGCTAGCCTACTGAAAAGATACTAACATACCATGCCATGTTGTCAAGTAAAATTTCCTGGCTCGTGTTGAGGGCTCGTCAAATATGCCATGACTGAAATGGCTAAGCGACGGGCACTCCTAAAAAATTCACCACCGATTGCCTCTACTCAAGTGTATCTCGGAGTGCCGGTCGCCATCTGAATAATGGCTGCTTTTGCGGAATCTTTCCGGCGTAACTTTCTCGGACAGCCACTGGGACTTCTGGAACACGCCTCCTCTCTCCTCTCCGCGATCCTCGTACTCCAGCACCACTACACCAGGGGTCACTTCTCCCCGGGGTAGAGAGAGGAAACTTGGGTATATTTCTCTCAGTGGATTGGACCCTGTTTAATGGAATCAACATACACATAAACACACAGAGGTATAATAAGCAGTACACCGCACTCGTTCATGAATCGTCGTACAATCGCCTCGCGCTACCCGACGGGTCTTGACTCACTCTACCAACCCGATCATCGTCTTTCCTTTTTTAATCTAATGTCCGACTCCGAAGCGGCAGCCGCAACGGCTGTAGCAGCGACCGTTCGCGAATTCAATGTTGAGCTATGGACACAGTATGGATTCGGCGTCCTCATAACTGCTCTCAGGTCATATGCTCGAGTGAACACCGTAGGTTTCACAGACCTTCGGGTAGATGACTACCTCATCTGGTTTGCCATAGTACGCCGTTCCCTTGGGAGACTCCTGGGTGCCATTTATCCTTCCCTCAGAACAAAACCTTCATCGCCCTTACCATTGCTGACCCAAACCCTCAAACTTCTACATTTATTATACTCTGCCCAGTTCACGCTGGCATTCTTCGCCGTCAATCATGGCCAGGGTCTTGCCAACAATGGTATGACAGATGCCGCGCGAGCTGCTCTGGATCCGGACTCTGAGGAATACCGACTCAGGTACACGCTCTCTTGTGGTAGATGGGGAAGCGCATAGTCCATGGCTAATTTATGCGACCTCAACTCTCTGAGGGTGTTCGGTTCTAAAATTCAAGTGATAGGCTGGACCTGTTACTCGTTCTTGATTTGCATGCTCAAGATGTCAATGCTTGTTTTCTACACGCGGCTCATGGTATGTATGTCTGTTTGGACAACGGCACCCTCGTCTGGCCCCCGTAAATTTTCACCGGAAGCCTTTTATGTTAATTGAATGAATGTTTGACAGGAGGGCCTTAGCAGGTATTTCAGCATTCGGATCTGGTTCGGGATTGGGCTCGTTGCTACAACTTTTCTCGCATCAGTTATAACAATTTATGCAGCATGTCGCCCGGTCTCTAAGTACTGGCAGGCAGATCAATCCAGATCCTGGTAGTAGGTTCCCTTATTGTTTTTTGTCTCTTTTGTTCCGTCTTGCCTCTGTGTGTTGCCCCGACGCCTGCTCACTGTCTTTGCTCGTTAGACAGGTGCCAGGGTGCTGTGAGCAGGCCAATTGTCTTCGTGACGTACATCGCAAGCGTGCTCACCGATATCTACCTCATTATGATACCCCTTCCAATGCTTTGGGGTACAAGGCTAAAATTAGCAAAGAAGATTGGCGCCACCATCGTGCTCGGTGCGGGAGTGTTTGTCCTCGTTTGTGCTACTTTGAAGACTATCTTCGTGGAAGTGGTAGGTTGACTCAACCCTGTAGCGGATCCGCCCCCTATGTCCATTTTTAGATCAAAGTCAGGACAATCGATTCTTTTTTTTTTTTCAACTAACTTCACCCTTACTTACAGGATCCCATCCACGGCGCAGAGCTTGCTGGGAGATGGGGTACGCGAGAAGCCTTCGTCTCAGTCGTCACCACAAACCTCCCCATGATGCTCCCCCTTGTCAGGATGTGGCTCAAGCCGCTATTGGGTAGCGCAATCTTCTCGTCTCACATGCCATACAAACATCCAACTGGCTTCCGAACCATCGGCGGCGGCGATGGATATAATAAGAACAACTCCCACAAGTCTTCTAGTAATAAACGTCGTGGACAAAAGGCTAGCTCTAACAACCAACATGCAACGAGCGGCACCATACCACTCACCGAGAGCGAGGAGCAGATTTTTCAGGATGTAAAGTTGCAGAATTTGAGAGTTTCTGCGTAGCCGCAGGCGGCGACGGCCGCGCCTCAGCAACAACTACAACCACAGGATATAGTTGTTTCTACGGAGTTTCACGTTACTGAGAAGAGAGCTGGGCGTAATGCCATACGCAGCCACGAATCCTTTTAGCTGTATATATGATTAATTTTGTCTTGAGCGAATTTATACTCTGATTAGTTAACAAAAAGAAAACAAGAAAACTGAAAGCTAGCAAGCGCTGCGTTTCATTCATTCATTTATTTTTTCTGATTTTTAACGAGCTTTTCAAAGAAACCCTTGCTCGTTCTAGCACCTGAAACAACAGCTACATAACTACAACAATTCAACACGTTGGGAGTTTCTTGTCGTTGTATCCGGCAGGGCAGAGTAGTTGGCCTAGTGTAGCCCCCAGTTCCCAGTTAATCCGGTAGCGTCTTAGCAAATTCCCTTCCTTCTCGGCTCCCAAGAGCTATATAGATGTAACTATACTCCGTACTGTGTATGTATATTGTCGGGCCGCTCCGTCTCCTTTCATGTGATTTCCACCATGTAAAAGCATCCTTGAAGCTAGCTATGCAGTTAGTGATCTCTTGGATCGGAATCAAGCTTACTACATATCATACCTCTGTCAAATATAATAATGTAGATTAGATTCCCTTTGTCGAACTTATAACTGACCAGGGAAGCCAGCAAAGAAGGCGAGAGGGGGCGCAGCAAATCGAGCTCCTCTATATTGTGCGGATACCACTGGGCCCCTGGCATGCTCTCCCTTAGCAAATTATTCAATAGTTAGTTAACTAAACTATGCTTTAGATAATCCCTTCCTGTTCTCGTTCCTAGTATGTACTTGTATGTACAGTAGTGTCCAAGAAGTCAGCATACTAGGGGCTCGGTGCTGAGCATTCTCTCATATATCTCTCTTCTTGATTTCTCAACCACTCAACATCCACCCTATGGGCTAAAATATGTCTTTCAAATCAAGAACATTTGCATAAAGAGCATTCTTCAGCTATTATCAATACTATTTTAAGTCTTCATGAGCAGGAATATTCATTTCTATCTATTACTCAGACTTTGAAACTACTCTGTCTGTTCTACCATATTCTTTATATTTTTTATAGATTGAGTACTACTGATACTAATACTGATATTACTCAATTTCATCCTCAATTTCATCATTAACTCTATTTTTATCTCTTATATAAATTACACTAATAAGGTGCGCGACTGTGAGTGAAGGCCAACTTACCAGCTTCCAGTTCCCAGCTTGGTCGGCAGGTTAATGGTGCTTTTACTTGCGGGACAGCGCAAGCCCCTGACAATCTGCCATCCCCCTCTTAACTACCCCTTGATCGTCTAGTTACCTTTTCGTGCATACTCATGGCGTTGAACAAGAGAAAGTAAAAGGGAGAGAAGGAGGAAAAATCAAAAGAATTAAACTTGCACACCATCTATACCATCTATGTATATCTGCATGTATGTACAGTACAGTACGTGTATAATGTATGATGTATCCTAGGTATCATTTGGAATGTCGCCATTCCCGTCCCACATCTAGCAACCAAAAGACAAGAAACCCAAAAAAAAAAAAAAAAAAAAAAAAAAAAAGAAGAGAAAGCCTTTCTTTCCTTCCTCCCAATTAAAACATAAAATATAGTAGGTAATATAAAACAAAACAAACGTCGATCGCTTTCTAAACCACGCAAAACCCAAACTGGAAAAAAAAAAAAAAAAAAGGAAAGGAAAGGAAAAGGAAAAGGAAAAGGAAAAGGAAAACCCTTACATCCCAACCCATCCACAGCCCAGTCCAATCTAATAAAATAGAATCTCAGCCAATCCAACACCTGCCTGTTATTATTAACGGACGCTGGCTGCGGTGTGTGTGTCTGTGTGTGTGTGTATTGTGGTGCTGTATATTATCATACACGCCCTGAACTATTTCATTTTGATATTCCGCCGCTGGGTGGGTTCATAGTGAGACGGGAAACCGGGGGTAGTAAATATTTATGAACTTTCTCCAGTAAAATCGGTGATAAATATAGGTGATCCCCTTCCACTCCTTACGCTGTTTCGTTGGGTAAGGCCTGTTTTTCTTCTCTTTTTTTTTCCTTTTTTTTTTTTTTCTTCTTTCCCCTTCCCGGACGAGAGAGCGCTGTGGGACGAGAAACGCCGAAGGTTTTTGTCTTGTGGATTTTGCGATTAGAGTTTCCCCATTTTGACTGATCCATTGCGGCAGAGGAAGAGAGGCTTGGAGGAGGGATTGGAACGGCAAGAGGGAGGGAGGTGTTTTGTGATGTGCGCGTTATGAGTCGGGGTGTATTTATTAATTATATTCTTTCGGAAAGAGGGGGCGTGAAAAATTTCTTTTAATTTTTCTACTCAGGTCGGTTATAGTAATGGGCCATTTCGAGGCCGGCGCGCTTGAAGCCGCACTTCAGATAGAAACCTTCATTGGCTTCTGAGCAATCGAGGATACTCTGTAGGAATGAGAGAATTAGTGAGGGGGTTCACATTTTAGCGGGAAACGATATGCAAAAATGTAAAAATAAATGCCAGCTGGGAAAGGGGAAAAATAAACACACCTTATAACACCCAACCTTCTGCGCCACATAATCCAACGCCTGAATCATCCTCAAGCCCAGCTTCTTCCCCTGCTGCCCCATCTCCACTGCAATATCCTCCACATGCCCCACCATGCCTAGCGAATGAATAAACTTGCGCTCGACAATCAGACTGCCGGTGCTCACCACCCTCCCAGACCCATCGCAGATGACCAGCAGGAAATACTCCCCGTTCCGCTTCGCCATCCAGTCATACCGCTCGTTCCACTGCTCGACGGTGAAGTCGCCGACGGTGGTCAGGACACGGAGCACGTCGAGGTAGCCGGAGAAGTAGTCTGAGCGCTGGAGGGGCCGGATTGTGTAGTTTTCTGGTAGTTGTTCTTGGACTGCTGGGGAGATGTAAGAGGGGCAGAAGAGGGGGGTGTTGTCGTCGTCGTCTGCGGTTGAGTGGGAGGAGGAGGCTGGAGGCGTGGGCATGGGTGCTGGGGAGGTGATGTGGGTGGTATTGCTGGTGCCATTGGCCGCTGTTGTCGTTGTGGTTGGCAGCTGGGAGGATTGAGTGGTGGCCATTGTTTCAATCAAGAGGGGATGAGTCCTTGTTGGCCTGCCGGGGTAGAGACAGAGAGATCGTACTGAGGTAGATAGCTCCGTGCGTTCTTCTTTCCTTTCCTCTGCTATTTTCGTTGATGTGTTGATGTGTAGATGTGTTGATGTGAAGATATGCAGGTCGGTTTGCAGCTTAAGCTAGTTGCAGAAGTTGGGGCGTGGTTGCGTGAGGACACGGATGAAAAACTGGGAAGGTGAATACAATGACACGCGTTAGAATTTAAGTTATGAAAGGACCAGTGTACCTGAGAGCGTTTACAGCACAATTGAATTCAATGCAATATTCCGAAGTTTGATATCGAATTGGACAGAATTGCTTATTGTGGGAACGGATATATTTTATGTCGACGTCTCCTTGCTCTGGCCGGGGCGCAGTCGGCGTGATGTCTCATCAGCCTCCAGGTGGAGCTGCATCGGGTCTAGCGTGCGGCTTGTGCTTCTTTTCTAAACCTTCAATTACAATTGCTTCGCTCTTAATGTAAAATATAAACTTAAAAAACTTCTTCTGATTAATATAATTAATTTTAAATTATATTTGATTTTTAATCTGTTATTTATACACTGTTTTCAGAAAAAGCAGTTAATATTCAATAATTAAAGAAGATGAGATAATGTAAATATACAGAGAAGATTTTTAGGCGCCCTCCACATCCGGCCTAGCGTCACCCGTTCAGGTCGGTCGGGCGTGGCCCGATTCGGTTTGGCGGCTCTCGCGGCTGTGGCATGGCGTTACCCCCGTCGCCGCAACAATATAAGATGCTCCCCTTTTCCTCTTGTGAGCATCCGGGGATGTGGAACTGGAGTACAGTAGGCAGGCTACCTAGGTAGAACCCCTCAGGGCGGTGTGCCATACACTAGTAAGCAATTAGTAATCTTGGGCCGCACTCCTTTATCTGCATGAGCTATCCCATTCCAACATTCCAACAATTTATAGACTCAGTCAACATCAAAGTTTCTTTCGTTAATATCAAATCTGATGTATTATACATAATGCCTCTCAATTTACGATCGCCAAGCTGCGTGGCGATACAAGCAGCTCACCTAGCTGCCTGCTTGTCTGCAGTGACTGAGAAACTTATTCAGAAAAACATTCAAGTTGTTGAGTATGGTATGAGGGGACCTTAAACCGGTGATTCGGGTATCCCGTGGTACTGAATGTAAGCTAAATGCATCTTGATTAATCCCAAATACCGGTCACTGACTTAAGTAATAGATGTTTGCATGGGGTGTGCCAGACTCTAATCTATCTGAAGTGTGCGATCTCCTCATTACTCACGGCTTTGAACCTGGCGGAATCTTAAAGTGACATACTCGATTGGGGGATTGATGTTTCTATGTGGCTCAACCAGAGCACATCTGGTACCTCTCTCATTTCTACATCTTGCCTTAGATGACTTTCAAGAGGTCATTTCATCTGTCAACTTGAGATACAAAACCCTAATTCCAAAGATACGGCCATGTCTTATTTCTTTAATCAGCAGGCTTGTGGCTCTACCAACTGGGATGCATCGAAATCCAATTGAACATGATTTGGTTGTTTTTCTTGACCAAGTTATCTTCCCCAGACTACCAGAAGGTGAAGATGAGGAGCATGAGCCAGAGGAACACTTTCAACAACGGGTTGAGCAGGCGCTATCTTATGTCCATGGGTGGGATTGGAAGCGAGAGGAACTGAAGTACCTTGAGATTGTTGGGAAACTTATTCGATTCTAGCCAGATTTTGAAAATAACGGAATGCAAATGATAATGATGAAAATATATGTAATAGGTAGTGGCAAGGAGGTGGTGGCATGTAACAGAATAGCGGTTATGAGCCCGTCACAACCAGAGAAAAGGTCTAGATATTATTTTATTCAATACTTTTACAGTCTTGCCATTAAACTATAGATAAAATAAAAACATATAACATCATAGCTCGCATGGTTTATGATTATGGAGAAGGATTCTGTAAAGCATTCTCATTCACTAGCAACTTGGATGAAGCCAAAATGCAGCAGGGGCAGCAGAGCGCGACATCAATACGCCCTGATTAGTTACTTTGACAAACAGGAAGTGACAGTTTTACATCGCTTGATCCGACTCGAAGAAATCGGGGGCTATAAAATATGTCGAGTTAAAACTGGCTATTACCTCTTGCCATCCTGTTGGGTGTACGCCTAAAGCCGGATACTGGAGCTGGTAACGTGCTGGTTTATTATTCTTTCATTCCCCCTAATATTCACAGTTTCCATCATCGCTACATGCTCACACTTTCACTATTCTGCTTGTTGACTGGCTCTGCCTGCTCAATCTGCCCTACTATATATACTTCTACATCATATCCTGACTTCAGGCAACTACGAACTAACCTTGCCATGAACAGAAAGTTTTATGAGCACCTACTTTCTCTCCTTGGGGCTAATCATCAGCTCAGGGCGGACATGGGTATCAAATTCCTCCTCAGTGAGAGCCTTCAGCTCCATAGCGCTCTGCTTCAGCGTCAATCCCTTCTTGTGTGCATTCTTGGCAACTGCGGAAGCCATGTCGTATCCGATCACCGGGTTCAGGCAGGTGACAAGCATCAGACTGTGGAAGTAAATTATGTCAGCCACCAATTTCCAGGAATCAACCGCCTTGGGAGAGAGTTACCTTTCATGCAACAGGGCTGAAATCCGCTTCTCATCCGCCTCAATCCCCACAACCAAGTTCTTCTCAAAGGAGCGCATTCCGTCACCCAGGATGCGGATGCTATGCAGCAGATTGTTGATCATGACGGGCTTGAAAACATTGAGCTCGAACTGGCCGCTCATGCCCCCCACCGTCGCCGCTACATGGTTACCCATCACCTGTGCGCAGATCATCGTCAACGCCTCGCACTGGGTCGGGTTGACCTTGCCAGGCATGATCGAGGAGCCGGGTTCGTTTTCCGGCAGCATGAGTTCACCCAGGCCGCAGCGGGGGCCTGAGCCTAGGAAGCGGATGTCCTGCGCGATCTTGAAGAGGGAGCAGGCGAGGGTGTTGAGGGCACCTGAGGCCTCGACGATAGCGTCGTGGGCGGCGAGCACTTCGAATTTGTTAGGGGCTGTCTTGAATTCCGTGCCGGTCATCTTGGTAACTTCCTCTGCGATGGCCTCGTCGAAACCCTTGAAGGTGTTCAGGCCGGTGCCAACCGCAGTGCCCCCCTGTGCGAGATATCGAAGGTGTGGGATGGAATTTTGAACGCGCTCAATTCCCCGGTCAAGCTGGCCGACGTAGCCGGAAAACTCCTGACCCAGCGTGAGAGGGGTGGCGTCCTGCAGGTGGGTTCGTCCGATTTTGATGATCTTGTCGAACTGCTCGACTTTTTGTTGGAGGGCGTTGCGCAGGCTGGTGAGGGATGGAAGCAGAGTTCCCTCGAGTTCCAGAACAGCAGCAATATGCATAACGGTGGGGAAGGTGTCGTTGGATGAGGCGGACATGTTGACATGGTCGTTGGGGTGGACGGGTTTCTTGGTGCCCATGGTGCCGCCCAAGATCTCGATGGCGCGGTTCGAAATGACCTCATTGGAATTCATATTGGACTGGGTTCCAGAGCCGGTTTGCCAAACAACAAGAGGGAAATGATCGATAAGCTTAAGCGATGCAACTTCTGCAGCAGCCTGTTGGATCGCCTTGCCAATAGTAGGATCTTCAACGGAGAAAGAGCAAAGAAAAAAAATTAGTTGGAGGATAATCGGTTGAAATAATAGGAGTTATTCACCAAGTCCATATCTCATATTCACAGTCGCAGCAGCACCCTTAAGGATTCCGAAAGCCCGTACGATGGGAGGTGGCATACGGTCTCGCGGTTGGTTGATATCGAAATTGGTCAGAGACCTACACAATTCCCCCACCAGCGGCGTCAATTTACATCGTGCTTGTTAAGTCGTAAATGCTTTTTCGGGATGTTTCTGGCATGCCTACCGTTGAGTTTGGGCTCCCCAGTATTTATCCGCGGGGACCTATACACAACCTGGAGTAAGGAACTAAACACCTAACTAAACGCCCTTCCAAGTACGACAGCTGCAGCGCATCCTTACCTGGATTTCGCCAAAGGCATCGGTTTCAGTTCTCGAAGCCTAAAAAAATATCAAAGCAAAAACAGACCCGTCAGAAACCAATCCAAACACATTGAACCTTTCCCCCCCTCCACTGCGGAAGAAACGAGAGAAAAGAAAAAAAGGCAAACGCCGCACCATCAGAGCGCCCGTAGTAGCAAACCCTCTCTTTCCCAAAGTCTCAGAAATGTTCTTATAAACAACCGCACGATCCAGATAGTGTGTTCGCCTGTGAATCCGCGCTGGTAAAGAAGATAAGCCGCTTATCGATCTACGCGCATTGGACCGCGATGCAATAAGAGTGGACAGAGGAGATGATCTCGCAACAGAAGAAAATAATATAGATGATTGTGCCGATCGAGATACGTGGGAGAGAGTTGACAAAGACCGCACAGCGGCAGAGGCGGTGGAAGTGGCGGCGTTGGAGGGTATTAGCACCATGATGATGGATGATGATGTCGCTGGTCTTAGCGGCGGGGGGCGGACGGGTTGCGGCCGTTTGTGCTTGCGGCAGGGAAATGTCGGGACAGGAACAGCCAGCAAGCAGCAAAGTTTGAAACTGGCGGAGAAATCTTGGAAAAGTTGGAGGGGAAAAGAAAGCAAATATGAAAATCTAAAAAGAAAGGGATTGGCTCAATTGCGCAGGGAAAAAACGATCTGCTTTTGTCTATAATAATATACAGCCTCTATAATAAAGATAGAGAGGAAAAAAGGGAAAGAAAGAGAGAAAAAGAAAGAGAGGGAAAAAAAATAAAAAAAATGAAGATTTGAAGATTTGACGATTCGCTGGGTTTGGACAAGTCGCCGGTACGGTACGGTAACTACTGCGTATCACCCGGTTTCCTCCGGTAACCCGCTTAACCGTATCCAGCTCGTCGGTCAGCAGATTTTGCAGACAGCAGAGCCCACAGATACGTTTCCGTACGGTAAGAGTCCGGCAATGGCGTATTGTGCCGAGATTGGAGCTAGGCCGGATCGGGGATGGTCGGTTTTATGTAGATATTGAAATCTTTATCAGTTTTGTCTTGTTGCTTCAATCAATTGCTGTTGAAAACTACCCGTACATTGTCTGTCCACGGGTACAATGTACCGCATGGATGGACATGAATGTTGTGTGAAAGCATTCATGACAAAGTGAATCTTTTAACTCCCGTTGTTTAGCTCTGAGCAGTGTCCAACAACAGTGGGCGTCTGGTTAGGAGGGTTCCAGGGGGTTTCGTTTCTCTAAGCTAAAGATGGACGAACAATCTACGAGTAGCCAGTTTTATATTTGAGTCTCCTCATAGATTCAAGGCAGGCCAGACAAGTATACAATACCAGAGTATTGAAGGATGCCAATCAGCAAAAACTGGAATAAATTAACTAAACCAGGCTCAATTTAAACTGCAATTGCGCGCTCATCATCTATACTCCACACAAACGGACCATCTTCTACTATCTTCCAGCCAATTCTTTTCACCCCCCCAGAGCCTTTCCCAGCGCCTCGATGCTCTTCTTATTGAACATCTTCCCTGTATCCAGGATCTCATCCAGATGGGAAAAGGTGTGCGGCACCCCCGGAGCTCGAATAACCTCCACCTCGACCCCGGCGGCCTTGAGCTTTGCCGCATATGCCTCCCCTTCATCCCGTAGCGGGTCCATCTCCGCCGTCCAGGCGAGCGCAGGTGCGAGGCCGGAGAAGTTGGGCGCAAATATCGGGGAGATTTTCCAGTCCTGAGATTAGGTTTTAAGTTAACATAAAACGAAAACAGAGTTGTTTGCGTTTTAGCGACGGCAATGTCAATGTGGCAAAAAGTACTTGTTAAAAACAAAAATGTACATACATCCGCTGATTTCTCCGGCCGAGGGACACCCAGGAAATGCTTGTGGAAGAATGCCATTCGCGCGGCTGGCAATGCGGCGGTGAATTCCATCTCGCGGTATGATTCATACGGCGTGTTTTCGCGGTCGAATTTGCCCTCTGGCGTGAAGGAGCTGTGCATATCTGTTACGGGGACAATAAGGAGTTGGAACGCGAGTGGATAGCCATTGTCACGGCACATGTGAGAGATGACGGCACTGAGATGTCCGCCTGCTGAAGCACCGCCCACTCCCATCCGGTTGATATCGATATTCAGTTCCTCGGCTTTGGAACGGACCTACGGGGAGCACAGTAGAGTGATATATGATTAGCTTCTACATGTGAGGGGTTTTCCCCAACATGCCATGCCATATATACACATATGGTGGATGGCGGGAGCAAGAATGAAATATATGTACACACCCAATTAAACGCCGCCCAGCAATCCTCAATACCAGTCGGATACCTAAACTCCGGCGCAAGCCGATAATCCACATCAACGGCCACAACATCCCCCTTCAAGTCATGCACGACGCGTTTGCAAAAATCGTGGTCCGCCGGCAACCCGCCAAACACCCACCCGCCGCCGTGGAAATTGACGTACGCGCCCCTCTTCTTGGGCTTGCCGTCGCTGCCCAACACAGGCTCGAGCTCGAAGATGCGCAGGGTGATCTTGCCGCCCTTGACGGGGCATTTATGCTCGGAGATCTTATGCACGTCCGGGCCCGCGGCGCGGCCGTAGGAGATTAGGTATTTGGTTGGGTCGGCGCGGAAGTCCTCGATGGGGACTTGGTGAGTGTGGAAGCGGCCGACGTTGTGGCGGTTGTAGTGCTCCACGTAGACGGGGTCGAAGCGGGGGAGGAGATTGGGGGGGATGCTGTTTAGGAGGGGTTGGTGGATGACGACTGGTTTGAGGTCGTGGAGGGACTGGAGAGCGGCAGGTAGGTGAGTGGATGGAAATTGGTTGGTGGTAGGTGTCATGCTTTTTTATTTTGGTTTGGATGGGATGGGTGGGGAGTGAGGGGTATAGGATTACTTACCTTGTTATCTTCCGTCATGGCGAGCTTGGAGATGGTTATACTCTTGGATACTTCAAGGGAAGGATAACAACAAACGATACAGATATAGTTCTATAGCTGTTCGATGCAGTGTTGCAATTTGAATCATGAGGAAAGATACCCGGTACCAAGAAGGAAAAATCTGGAGAAACGGGAACTATATAACAATAACCCTCTCCCATCTATATAAGTTATCTTCAGCCGTAGGATTTGCGCCGCTCCTATACTCACTCCACTACGTCCACTTTTGAAAGCAGCCACCCCTCAGTTAATCAACATCAAAATGCAAACGGGGGGTTCATATAACTTTGAATGCGCCAATATAGGTCTCGTGGCTCGGATTAACAGTGCTTTGACTATGGAGAACTGCCAATTCTATCAACATCTCCATCGTAAATGAACTCCTCCCCCCCCACGTTTTTGCTTTCGGCAATGCATCAGGCAAAAGCGGATTCAACCCCGCAGCGGCTCTTTGGCCGAACGAATCATCCGCCACATTTTGTACTGTATTGTATGTACATACAAGTACTAAGGCCTGCATCAGTGTATATCGTCCCTCGTGGATAAAAGTTGAGTTACCGCCCAATGAACAAGTATATAACGTACAGTACAGTACATATGTCGCGACCTGGCAGCAAGATTTGCAAAAATTCCGATAAATAACCGAGGCCTTTTGTTCCACTATATTGTGAAGTGTTCAGTGGATTCTATGCTTTTCTTTTTATGCCCTTTTGCTTTCTTTATTTTTTGTGTAAATATTGTAGCCGGGACGCCACAGGGGACGAATCGAATCTATATACTCGACTGCGGGTAAAGAAGCGCCCCTATCCAGGGTACTGGGATCTAACAAAGGCTTAGGCTTATTACAGTTCGTTCATTGTGCCGGGCTGGCCTGAGAGCATCGAATGCGCAGCATAATGCAAACGAACTCGTGGCAGAATGGCTGCTTTTGGAGACTTTAGGTTGAACAAGGGAATCCATACTTCAAAATTGGTCTTCTAACGGTCGTTTATCACGGTCTGGACTAGGGTTGGCCAGGGCATGATTTGCATAATCCAATATCCATCATGTTTTGGATATTTCAGTGCCAATTTTTGAACATGGCACATATATTTGCGGGGGGGGCCATCGCGGCTGGGCTCTTAGATGCTAGCAAAACCCCTTGTGGTGGTTATCATCATTGCGCGGAGTATACTCCGTATAGTTTACTCGTGATATCAGTTTTTGCCTTTTCCGCAACACAACATTCAAAATCATTATTATTGGCCGGCACTTGCATTTCGAAAACTATATCTAAGCCCGGTAACTTAACTAGTTAGTAAAGCAAGCCAGAGCGGGAAAGCATAACTATCACTTAAAATAGACGCCGGTCTTTTTGAAACTGTGGCTTTTGTTACTATCCCCAGTAGTTAGTTACATCACAATTAGTTATATGAGGAATCTTCCATCTTGAGTAGTAAGTAGATTGCCTAAGCTAATTTAAGTTACATTAACTCATCAACTCTGACATTGAGTGTAAGATGAAAGGGGAGCGCGAGCGAGCATTAAACCTCGCACCGCGAACCAATCAACGCAGTTCAGAATACGAAGCGCATACTTTCTTGGGCATATATGAACCCCATTCATTCAATGTTTATCCCTCCAGGGTCAGTATGTCGGGCGTTCAAGGCTTGTTAAATGTTGACATGCTGTCTGTCTCCTCTGTTCCTGGCTTGTTATCGCTTCTTTCTTTTTATATCCTGTCTATTTTCCGAGGGGGGATAACACCCTGATTACGCGCTGATCTCATTCTCTGAAATATATGCCCGAAGCTTAGTGTTTGGAGCTTGTCGGGCCTGAATCTGTAAAAGAGTGTTCTTTTCCAATAATTTGCTTCTATGATTGTTTTTGTCAGACCTTTTTTCCCTCCTTTCAAAGTTTGTGTTGCAATTTACACCGCTTGAAAGCCTTCGACCCAAAAATACCAATATACAATCGCTAATTCAACTCAACATCGCCCGCAATAAATGGCGACGAAAAAGGTTGCTATCATCGGCGGCGGTATGTGCAAAAGTTATCGTTTTAACCTGCCTATCCACACACTGAAAGTATAACGTACTAATCCGCCTCACAGGACCCTCGGGCTTAACTACACTTAAACAATGTTTGGCTGAAGGTCTGGATGCCGTCCTTTTCGAAGTACGCGGTGGAATCGGAGGGCAGTGGCGTTATGAAGACCCAAACCCGGAAACGGACGATGCCATATCATCCATCTATGAGGGAGTTATTCTAAACTCAACCCGCGATACCTCCGGCTTCAGCGATTTCCCCATTGATCCTGCCCAGTATCCGGAATATTTCGGTCATCGCCGGATGCTGAATTACCTAGAGAAATATGCTGAACATTTTGGATTGGGGAAGTATATGCGGCTGAATACCAAAGTGATGTCCTGCAACCAGCGGCCGGACGGGAGGTGGACTGTGGTGCACCAGGAAAAGGGCGCAGATCAAGTAACATCAGAATATGATGCTATATTTGCTTGTTCGGGACATAATTCCTATCCATCGACTCCTGTTTTCGAAGGGATGAGTTCCTTTCAAGGAGATATCCTTCATAGTCACGTATACCGGAGACCGGCCAGGTTTGACGGTAAAAAGGTTGCGCTCATCGGTTTCGGCTCCTCAGCCGTTGACTTGGCTTGCGAGCTGGTTTCCGTGGCGAAGGAGGTGCATATGATTACCAGGAGAGGCGGTTGGGTTATACCGCGCTTTGTGCTCGGCCAGCCTGTCGAGTTATACGATAGTGAGTTTATTGTTTTATTATTTCGATATTATGGTCTGAGACATGTTTTGCAGCCTCTTTATTTTAACCTGTAGAGTGCAACTCTAGACCGAATTGCTGAGACGCTCATACCTGGTGGGCTTTCACAATGGATCCAAACAAAGATATTGAACTTCGCCATCGGCGAGCATCCAGAAGTGATTAAACCACACCACGGTATAATGGAAGCCAACCCGACTGTGCATAGCAATCTGATCGAGTATATCAAAGTTGGCAAAATCCACGCCCAATCGCGCAGGTGTAAAGCAGTTCAACGAAACCTCTCTCGTCCTCACGAATGACACGGTTCTGGATGTTGATACAGTAATCTGCTGCACTGGTTACAACATGGATATGCCGTACCTATCCAAGGAAACGTACCATGCGGAGGACAATCCAATCTTGAAATCACCAAACACCCTGGATCTATATAAGCTGGTCGTCTCCCCACGATTTACTAATCTTTTCTTTATCGGGTATGTCGAATTGCCCGGGCCTCTCCTTCCCGTTGCCGAAGCCCAGGCGAGGTGGGCGTCGGCCATATTGACGGGGAGAGTGAAGCTGCCATCAATGGATGAGATGAATCGGCAGGTGAAAGAGTACCAGGAGGAATTAGTTAGAACAGTATGTATATTCTCCTCGTGTTTTTCAATTCGTATATCTGGTCCCATTCCCTTCCACCCGGCTCAAAGAAATATCTCAAAAACGGAAATAAATTGCTACCATCGTAATCAAAAGCCCTTTCTCACCAATCTTCAGATGGTGGTCTCAGACCGTCACACAGCAACCGTCCGTTTCCTCCCTTACTGCGACTCTCTTCTCGCCGACCTAGATGCGAACCCCACGATCGTCCGCCTTTTGCATAAACTTTTCACTTCGAATCCGTTCCGTGCCTTCTCGTTGCTAAAAGCGGTGTATTTTGGCGTGAATTCACCCGCGCAATATCGATTATTCGGCCATGGACAAAAGGAAGAGCTGGCTGCTGCTACCTTGGTTAGGTTGAATGCGGGAACGGGGATAAGTGTCAAGGAAAAGGAGCTTATTGACGGCCAGGTTCGATATTGATCGAAGAATTGGTGGAGGGTGAAAATAAAATGTAAGATACTGGAGGGGGGCACAGGTGATGAGGGAGCATTCAAGATCTTTTTAATATGTGATGCAAGCATTTATGGCTTAATTATTACCAGCCCGTTGCAATGAGTATCGTTCGATCTCACTTCCCAGTCTCTGAATGGGGGTGTGCTTCAAAAGCCCACCGCAAAAATCACGTCTAAATTTGGCAGGGAACGATAAATCCAATCTGATGAATATTAGAAATAACGAAACTCAGGCAGAAGGGACACAGGACAGACGAACAGGAAATTATCATCCAAATTCAAAGGCCCCCAACATGCGAGAATGCTGGTGACCGTGGAATCCGGGCATCTCAACTGCAGTGACTAGGCTCATTCCTTGCAACCAAGCCTCATGGCGATCTCCGCCATCTTGTTTAATGATTTTGACACAAATGCGGCACAGGAGTTGCGAAACCCACAATCTCCAAACCTTAGTAGCCTGCTCTGCCCCCACAACAAGGGCATGCGCAGGGAAATGGAAGGTTGATTTTCACGCAGATCATAGCGAAGAGAGACCAACAGTTGCATCCACTGTTTTTTTCAGCTATCCCTGTAGGTGAAGCGAAAGCTCCTCTCACACTCGAATGCATGGTCAAATGGGATCTTGTTGGAGGTAGATCACCTTTAGCTGTGGAAGTAGCGGACATGGTTATATATACTGGACAGAGGCCAGTGTCAAAATTTCTGTTTCATTCTAAGTATTTAAACTGAAACGCTGATACTGGTACTAAGTATCTGTTGCATCTCTTAATTAAGGGATATTGACTTTCAGGGGGCTTTAAAGATATCAATGCCACTGGCTAGCTCACGAGCTCACTCAACGCTCGCTCAAATCTCGATGAGCTAGGCTAGATATTTCTGTGTAAATTCTCAGTGTGAGAAAAAACGTTTGACCCCGGCCTCTGTACTCCGTACATATCGGGATATCGTGAGCCCTTTGTTGTATGTCAGTCGGGATTGGCCAGCCTCAGATGGAGCAACTCAGCTGTAGCATGTGTAAAATAGGCAGTGCCCGGCCCGTAGTATTCATTCCAAGCAACGCATTGACATTCAATCGCCAATCATGGCCAATCAACTGCAAGAGAGAGAAGAAGGTATATATGACGATAGTTTTCTCCATAAAGCTGTTGTTGCATGGGTTCGCCTGCGAGTTGCTATGGCCTGTTTTGCGTACAGTACATTTCGCATCGCGATTCCATCCGTCGTAGATTGCCCTACGCTTCGGAGTAAATATTTTTGCCTTCCGCTGCCCCCCGACGGTTTACGTCCAAAAAGAGTACCATTATGGTTACGACTCTTCCTAAAGTTTGAATCGCCAAGTTTTGAGAAGCCAAAACTAGCCCATGTAGCCAGGCAATCTAACCTAGGGAGATGCGCTAGCTGCGACTAACTAAACTGTCATCAAGAATGGCGTCAAAATTGTATTTTTGCGAACTGGCAGCACCGTTTGGGCTGTCAAACAAACTTTATTTGATGCATACAAATCTCCTTACACTTTTTGACTGTCCATGGTAAAGATTGGGTTCAACGCTCCATCTAGTAACACTGTGAACATAGCAACAGCATTCAAATGTGATGTACAATAAATCAGTTTCTCATCATCAAATTTATAGCGGATGATTAGCTTATAGGTCAATTGTATTAACCGTTATAGCTCTCTTCCTGTTGTTGAAGGCGCGGAGCCGAACATCTAAAAAATAGAGTTTGCCGCCAGACGCGCGGAACGCGCCTATCCCACATTTGAGCCAATCCATTCCCACTTCAACCTCGACTTTCCTTTTCAGCACATCAACCCATCAATCTAAGCATATAACACCAAGGACCTCCCATTTCCTTACCTAGCTAACAGTGGCCAAGAGCCGGTAGTAAACGGCTCTGATAAACTTTGGGTTCTCAACGTCGTTGCCAAACCTTAGATGCCAAACCTTAGATGCCAATCCAAAGCATCATTGGAAGCATATTCAAAATTGACGTCAATTTCGCAGTTCAGAATGCCTCCCAGCAGTTTCTATTTCGCACGGGAAGTCTCGTACTTCTCAGTGCCGTTTCTCTCTCTTTCTCTTCTACAACCCTTCAAACATCCGCTACCCAGTTAACACTTACGCTCTCAAGATCTATCTATATTATTACAAGTCTATACTTGTTTCCCAAGTCTACAGAGCAACTCAAGCAAGCCCACCACTCTGATTGACTCTCTTGAACTTTTAAGACCACTGCTGCACCAAAAGCACGCATCAAAAATCGAATATAGCTCCGCTCTCAAGCGTATTACATTACAGAGATCTTCAATATCGCAAGGCCACCATATTTCCAACCTCCGTTGCGAAAATGGCCCGAATTTTAGAGATCTCAAAAAAGGCCTATGGCCGTTTCCATTCCATCTGCCGCTCCGCCAAAGCACGTATCCGGCGTTCTGGAAACACCAAACCCGTTGCTCCGGAGCCTTCTCCGGAGCCAGCGGCCATGCCTAGGCCTGCCGTCTCTCGCCCAAGCCCACCTCCAAGGCCCATGACTCTCAGAGTTGGAAGCGCTACTGGTAGCTCTCATTCATCCAGCGGCCGATCTTTCTTCTCTTCTCCAAGGCCTTTGGTTCCCGGAGTTGGAGGCACCCCTGGACCCAACACCCCATCATCCTCGCTGGACGAAAATCCATTTGACAAAAGTGACATAGTCGGAGTAGCCCCAGTTGTGGGCTTCCGCATGCCATCCAGGAAAGCTCAACTGATCATGCAAGCTTACCGATTCGGTCAAGAGCACGGATGCCCCGTTAGCGACCTGAACTTCCAAGGCTGGCTTGCATGCGTTAAGTTGAACACCACCGTCTACTTCCGATCCAACGCCAGGATCGTGGACGGCGAACTCATCCTAAAACTGGATGTTGCAAAGCGGGCCATCAACCCTTCTTTCAAAGCCTACCTGCAAATCGGGGTGCTGGACAACATGATCCCAGAACTGTATATGAAATTCTCCAAATTCTGCTTCGACCAGCATGGAGCGGACTCGAACGTCTTCATCCAATATCCCAACAGCGACGCTGAAGTGCGCGCAACCATGATTACAGACCCGCGAACAAAAGTGCGCGATATGCGTGTTACCTTGTGGTGCAATCTGGGGGAATGCGAAAGCCCTATCGACCAGCGGCGCGATAACAACGCTGGGTCTTATCACGACCCTTCCTTAATGGGCGGTTGCCGCATCATCAGCCCCGAGGAGTCGCTTTACTTGAAGCACTTTGACGATAAGTTGCCTTCGAAATTCGGAGACTACTTGTCATCCGGGCGAATGTTAGCGGGGTCATTTGGGAACTGAATTGCGACGCATGGGGTGTGTCGTACGCAGCTTCCAAGCTCCCGGATATTTTCTTTTTATTACTCCTTGCGTCCTGCTCTCCTCAATTCAGAATGCTAACAGTCAGAGGGGCATGGATGTTACATGGTCAGAATGATTTTGTTTGCGTTATCTTGCTACGGTGTTCGGTAAATAGCATCCATCATGTACTTCAATTCTGTGTGATCTTCACTCCCCTACCTCAAATTGTCACCTTGGGGGAATATTTACACTATTCTTTTGCATGTATATATATGTTTCTCTTTCTGCATTTTCGTCTTTCCATCCAACCAAAATTGCCAGACACACATGTTTTTGTTAAATGTTGAATGTTCACAAAACTGCTCAGAGTTCAAATTGTCAATATATTTATATGTATGATGATGGTTTCAATTTTTGCCCTCAACCATCAACCTTACTTATTCTTATGATTTGAAAGAGGGGTACAAACACGCATGTCCGTTGGGTTTTGATGTGTACATGTATATTAATTACTACAATTCATGTTTTCTACCTGTTTAACAGATCTATACCAAATACTAAGGGAAAAAGCAAGTAAGGTCTGCCGACGTTCCTGTCATCATTTCCACATAATCTAGGTACTCTTGAGGGGATACAACAAATGGAAACCTGGGAACGGCCAGTCAAAGCTATCACCTCTACTCCGTACTTCATACTATTTTGCAATTAATATATTGGTCCCCCTTGTCCCCCCCCTCCCCTAAGGCACCACAAAGCCCGCCATTTCACCCACAGCCTGCAGCATCCTTTCTTCCCATTCTCCCTTAATCCTACAGTATTTTATAAAAAACCAAAGAAAATAAATGAATAGTTACATAAACAAAATGTCATAATAACATCTATGAATGATCAAAAATCTCTTCAGCAAGCAGCAACAGAAAGCAACAGCAGAGCAAGAGCAAGAGCAGTCAGGCAACTTCTGATGTCGCCATCCCAACACAACAACAACAACCCATCCCTGTTTCCACTCACGCCATTCATTCTGAATCACTTCTCTCCCTCTCTCCCCCGCCTTTAGCTAGATGCTCCGCTTGCCTGTTTGCCTCCCCTGTTGTCGTAATCCAACCCCTCTAATAAAATCCTCGGCATGGATAAAAGATAAACCCTGCGATGAGTCAGATCCTGTTTTTTTTTTTTTTTTTTTTTGTTTCTAATTTTTCCCTTGTTTTCTCAATCAGACAATAAGAATAAACGAGTGACAGCGCGCTAAAACCTTAGTTCCTGGCATCACATGATCGCGCACAGAAGTACGCTAATCCCGAAATGGAGATGCCAAGAGTCAATGTTAGATTATTGGAACATCTTCAGCAGCCGGATGACGGCAAGAGCGCGCTCTGTTTACCATATCAATGTCTGTTGGCATGATGTTGTTCGTTCATTCGTTCGTGAATTATCCTATGTATGTAATGTAAGGAGAACAGAGTATCTCTCCTCATCTTCAACTACTTGCCATTATTATTAATACTTACATAGTATTTGTCACACAACCCCGGCAGAAACTTCCCTGCACGCAACAACAATCATGGACGACATAGCTTATTGGGCGATTTGCCTGATCGGCCCTTGACGGGGTCGCTATAATGATTCTCCGACCGGTTCCAAATATTTACAATCTCTTATGTCATCGGGCGTTAGCGCTGGACTGACTGACTTGGAGATAAACCTGTTCTATTCACGGCCTAGGCTGCTGAGCAAGGATATGATGGGGCTGGGAAGTTTCAAGACGAAAGGGAGTGGACTGCGTGTGTGGTGTGGCTGGGAGGGATCTTCAATATCTTCAATTCTCCACAAGGCTAGGCTGAAAGAAAAACTCCGATCTATGACGATGGGGATGTTGAACTACGGATGACGGAGTGGTTTTTCCTTTTCCCTTTTTGCTCTGGAAGGAAGAAGAAGAAGGTGAATGAAGAGAATGAGTTAGAAGAGATGGAGCACGGAAATAAACGCCTCCAATACTTGGAAATATATATATATATATATATATATATATATATATATATAAAAAAAAAATAACATGCAAGATTAGTCAAGTCCATTCGTGTTCGGAGACTCTCTGCCCCGATTTTACAGGTGCAACTGGGGGCCGACTCGTTTTCTCTTGCAGCTGCCGTGACAAATCGGCGCAGGCAAATACCGTCCAGGGGGCTATTATTGTTCTTGTTGATGAGACTCTGGAAAAGGCAACAGACCAGACAAAAAGCAGGTGAGATGAATCCGGATTACGGACGGTGTCATCAAAGAAGAAAGAAGAAAGAAGAAAAAAGAAGAAAGAAGAAAGAAGAAAGATAGCCACAGGCAACAGAAAGACAGAAGAGAACTAACTATATTAGCCGGAGGAAACTTCGTAACCCAGAGAATGACCGACGACGGGGGCTCGCCACCCCACCCACCCCAGTTGTAAATAATAATGTATATACTGCGTAGCCAGGGCAAAAAAAGAAACAGAAAAAAAAAAAAAAAAACCCCAAATTAACCCCAGGGTAGCCAAGTATAAAAGTAACCAATGACTCAGTTCCAGGCCTAGCGCGCCAATCGCGGACGAGAGCACAGGCTCCTTCTTGCCTGCAAATCACAGAGTTTGACCCTGGCCTTGGCCTTGGAAGGGCTTGGATCCATGGATATTGGTTATTGGTTATTGGTTATTGGGAGGTGATGACTTATGACTAACTAGGAACAGCAGTGTGCACTTCACCACTTCAGTGTATACAGAAAACTTGACCTCGCTAAGTGCGCCACTTGACCTCGTTACATAATCATGACCCCGACCTCGCATAATACAGTAATAATCAGTTGGTAATTGACTTTCAACCTTTCAATCCACTCATTCATTCAGCTTATCAATCAATCAAAGCATGTATAACTGATTCATAATCAATTAAATAAACAGATAAATTTATATAGAATATAAAGAGATATTTTACAGAATTTTAAAATATATCAAGATAAAAATATTTAATAATTAATTTTAAATTGATTTTAAATTGATTCTGAATTGATTCTGAATTAATTATAGTAATAAAAATAAATTCAATTTATATATTTAAGTAATTAATAATTGATTGAAAATCAGTTGATAATCAATTTAGTATTATTATTAAATTCAAGAATAATTTCAGTATTAAATTGATTTTGAATTGATTTTAAATTGATTCTGAATTGATTATAGTAATAAAAATAAATTCAATCTATATATTTAAGTAATTAACAATTGATTGAAAATCAATTAATAATCAATTCAGTGTAAATTATATAAATACTTACTTTATTATTAAATTCAAGAATAATTTCAGTATTAAATTGATTTTAAATTGATTTTGAATTGATTATAGAATTGATTATTAATTAATTATAGTAATAAAAATAAATTCAATCTATATATTTAAGTAATTAACAATTGATTGAAAATCAATTGATAATCAATTCAGTGTAAATTATATAAATACTTACTTTATTATTAAATTCAAGAATAATTTCAGTATTAAATTGATTTTAAATTGATTTTGAATTGATTGTAGAATTGATGATAAATAATTGAGTGGTTTCAAATTACAAGAAAAGATGTATTGAGCGAGGTCAGGTAGTGGCACGGGCCACATTTGCGAGGTCAGCTTACATAACGAGGTCAAGTGGCGCACTTAGCGAGGTCAAGTTTTCTGCTTCCTGACCACTTCAGGAGAGGGAAATGAAGTTGGCAAATAATGGCAAGTCAAGGGAGAGGGAAGTTATTCTTAGAAAGTGAAGGGGTAAGTTAGTTAAGTTACATGTTATAAAATAAAGAGGGATGTAGCCCAGTCTCATCCTTTTTTTGAACCTTTTATTTAATTACACTCATCTCCAAGGCAGTACGGAGTAGTAGTTGTAGACAGATTGATAGTGTCAGTGTATCTGACAACAATGACTCTACCTACCTTCTTCCTGGCTCATGTTTCAGCTTATTTTATGTTATTTTATCACCAGGATATTTCCCAGATATTTTTGACACCTGTGTAATTCTTCCAGAAGCCTGGAGAATAGATAGTAACTAGTTAATTTATTTCCCTACACAGAATACAGAACAACCTTAGTGTAAGTTAGAGATCTGAAGTCAAGAAGAAGAAATCCCGTAGTTATCGTATTCAGAAACTCAATAATTCGCTGGCGGTTGTCAGTATCATCGTCGTCGTCGCTAGCTGTCGCTTCCCCGATTATTATTATTATTATTATTATTCCATTCCCAACACCATAAATTCCAAGCCCTGCTGCTGCTAATAATGGGTTATCATCAATTTGGCTTCTTTTTGTCCCCTTTCGTGCTCCTCTTTTTTTCTTCTGCTTCCAATGAGGACAAAAACACCAATATGAACTACATTATCATCCACCTTCTACCCGCACGTACGCAGATTATAGAGAACCTGCCTCTGCATCTCAACTTTCTTTTTCTTTATTTCTCCCCTAAAAAAAAAAAAAGAAGATTTTTTTTTTCCATGACTCGTGTTCGCCTCAGGCTGCCATTTTTCTTTTTCACAAACTCACACCAAATCTCTCCCCTCCCTTGGGCTTTTTTAACCTCATTCATCACCCCCCCATCTAAATCCTATATACATATCTGACCTGTCTCTTGAAAAGAACCCATCTCAGCCCTTTCACAAACAAACACTCTCTTCTCAATCTTCTTTTTGTGTTCAATTCCCCTGTACTGTACAACCTCTGTTTTATGCGCCCATCCTATTCTTCTTTTTCCTTTTGAGTCAACAACTTATTGTCCTTCAATACACACATTCTCTCATCTCTCTTTCCTTCTACTTCATCATCATCATCATCTTCATCATCATCATCATCATCTTCTTCTTCTTCTTCTTCTTCTTATCCGCTTCCTCTTTCAATGATTGTTGCTATTGTTCGACCAACAGCAATAGCAGCAGCCTTCCTCCCTCCCATGCCTGCGGATCGGCCGTATTTGAAATTCTTTATTTGGAGATAACTATCCTTTCTTCTTGTTCCTTTCAGGTAAGTAAGAGCAAAAGCAGGACAGAAATAGGCAGAGAGAGCAAGTAGCAAGTTGCCAGCCTGCCTCCGTGCCAGCCCCCTGGCCCCAGCCATCCGAGGATGACAAAACACATCCATGTGCCGCTTCCACACCCTTTCCCCTTTGCTGCCTATATACGGAGTATATATAGCTGCCTATACTCCGTATAGCTGCTATTATTGCTGCTATATCCTGTCGGGTACAGACTTCAGCACGAAGAACTATTTTGGGCTATTATTTGCCAATAATGATGTGCTTCCACCCTGTCTGTCATAACAAAAAAGACTAATAGCAACATCAAGAACAAGAATTTGAGGAAAAGAAAGAAAAGGGAAAAAAAAGAGAAAATGAAAAAGAAAAAGAATATCTCGCATTCATATTCATGCCTTGAACCTACCCACACACCCTTTTCTTTTTCTCTTTTTCTTTTCTTCTTCTTTTTTTTTTTAAATTCATTCCCTCTGATGATAGATAGTTAACTAGATAACTATATTATTGTTTTCTTGTTATTTATTATTAGTTATCAATATCGTGGTTATGCTAGCCTTGTTGAGGGTTAGAAAATAGGACAGACAGCCTTCTTTTTTTTGCAGTATTATTTATTATTGTAATCGTCATTATCACCACCAGTATATATAGTATTTAATATTGTATTGAGCTCACTAACAAGTTGAACAACCAACTCAGCCCAGCCCAGCCCGCCTTCAACTCCTCCTCCCATCTCTAAATCTCTTCCTAAGTTCCTAGTATATTTGAAGATTCCTTTTTCTTTTTTTTTATTCCCTATTATATTGTAACCTGATTTTATTATTTTATTATATATATATATATATACTTTTTTTACCTTGTTTGAGTTTCCCCGAGTTTATTCCAGCTAGTGTGAGAGTTGAGGCGGCGCGTTCCCCACTAAGTTACCTTGCTGCTTAGACTGTCAAGTGTTATTACTTTTATTTCCCATCCCATCCAACCCAGCCAAGCGCTCTCGCCACATCGCCACTTGCCGGGCTCCGTAGGGTCGGGAATTCAGTCATAATAGTCTCAGAATAATATTAATATTATTAATAATTCCATACGTGTTAGTTATACTCCGTACTATTATTCCAGAGTTGTGGACAACCAACCGAGTGAGCCAGTTCCCAGTCATCATTCTTCCTCCCATTCTCCGCTTGGCTTCCTCCCCTCCCTCCTCCCCCCCCTTCTTACTCATCGCCTCTTCCACTCCTCTCCACTCCTCGCCCTTCCCTCTCTCTCCCTCTCTCTCTCTCTCTCTCTCTCTCTCTCTCTGTGTGTGTGTGTGTATCTCTCTCTCTCTCCCTCCCTCCCTCTCTCTCTCCAATATAAGGAATACTCCCGAATGTCTAACTGAATGGATCTTCTCCTCCCGCAGTAATCCCTCCGGTCCAACGTCCTCTCCTCTCCTCTCCTCCCTCCTCTCCTCGCCCCCCGTCTCCTCTCGCCTCGCCTCTTCGTATCCGGAGTTCCCAACACCAAATCTCACACTACCACCTTATACCCTTCCTGGCCACCAGGCTCGGAGAAGCAGTCTGAGAGTTCGAGCGCGTTCTCTTTCTCTTGACTCTTCTTCTTGGGAACCCAGCAGAATCCTCTACTTAGCCGGGTAGGCATCATACCATACAACCAAGCTGGATCCTGGTACTCCCGAAGAGAGACAGCCGCCTGGATAAGCGCAAGCCTTAGCTGGTGTTGCCTGCTTAAGCCAAACCACCAGCCTCATTTTTTTATTTTCTTTTCTTTCCCTTCTTCTCGCGTGTGTTATTGTGTTGGCAACAGAGTGACGATGTACCCTGCTCTGTCATATTCTTTCGATCCGATCGCCAGCTCAGCAGATTCCAAAGTCGCGTATCTACCCGCTACCACTACTACCACTACTACAACTACTACAACTAAGATGGCTATGACTGGTCGCATCTGAGTCGATCGGGCCCCTCCGCCCCTGCTGAAGAGTCACGTTGCCCTTGTATTAAGAGCCGAGTGCACGCCACCCGCCTCGACGTACAGATCAGCCTGCGCTCTCCACTGCTTGGTACCTGCATCTCATCGCCGTCTTCGCATCCAGTTATATACACCGTCTTGCTGTCCTCATATAACCTCGCCCCCTACCTGACCTCACCGCGCTCCACCTCCCTTGCACACCTCCATACACCTACTTCTATACATACCTGCATACCTACATCCTCCTTTGGAATCATCTACTGCTGGTGATCGGAATCGCTCCCCAATACCGATAATACAACATCCTCTCTCCTCTGTCCTGCGACACCCTTTACATCATACATCAACCAACATTCCTTTACTTCATCCTTCGCCCCTGATACCGGCTCACTAAATCTTCCAACGACTCCTTACCTTTCGGCCCCCCTTCCACCAACCTTCGGAAACAACTTTGCTTTCACCCTGCGTTCTACTATAGCGTAGAGAGGGCTCCCCGTCTCCTCTCGAAAAATACCAAAGACGGGATTATCCTACCGCATATCTTACACGGCTTTTTACTACCCGGTTTATTTCCCCCCCAAAAAAACTCCCCCGGCTTTTTACCAAAATCGTCCGTTACGTTGTCGACACATTTTCGAACGATATATTTAAAATAAGGTTTCTACCTCTGCTGCTGCTTGTTCGGGAAAAAAAAAAAAAAAAGGAAAAATCATAGTACCAGTCTACTATTTTCCTTCTTCTTTATAAGCGCATGCATTTTTTGCGACCGCTTTAAATATACTCTTTCGAAAATATGCCTGGAATGGACGTCTTGGGTTTCAATCTTGCGAACCCAAGTCTGCAAAAGAATGTCCCGCGACCTCCACCACACCCGTACGCTTCGTCGATCGCTTCGTCTGCATCTTCTTCCTCGTCTTCAGTCTTCTCCCTCGACTCTGCCCAATACTCCCTCTCCTCGTCGGCTAGTTCTGTCGACGTGATTTGGGAAAATGAGGTCCTGGGAAGCGGTGACTCATCATCATCACAACAACAGCAACAGGCAGGAGGAGGAGGTAGAACGTTGAGCTCATCAAGTGAATCGAGTTTCCACTGTTTCCGTTCTGGAAGAGGTTGTGGCCCTAAAGTCGCTGACGCTGCAGTTGCACCTGAATTGCGGCAGAATCCCCGACGTACCTACAGTAACACTTCATCATCATCGTCTGCCTGTTCGAGGCCCCCACCGACGCTGGTCCGCCAGTGTGATCGGAAAGTCAATTTTGTCGACAATCTCGTCGGTAAGTTTGATACTACAATCCCGTTGTTGTCTGTTTCTGCCATGTTCTTTGTTTCCGTTTCTGATCTTTCTTCCTGATCCTTTTTCTTGGCGTGCCCTGGAAGACTCTGCCTCTCAAATTGTCGAAACCATCTGGCCGTTGTCAGTAGTAGCGCTCCGCAATGATTCTCCCTTGGGTTCAAGGGGGGTCTTGCCCCTGCGCACTTTCATCCAGGAAACGCTTCGACGGTCAAGGACCAGCTATTCGACTTTGCAAGTTGCGCTGTACTATCTTATCATGATTAAACCTCATGTGCCTAAACATGATTTTACCATGGAGCAGCCGAGAAATCACCCCTGCACGCGTGCTATGCAATGCGGCAGGCGGATGTTCCTCTCTGCACTTATTTTGGCTTCCAAGTATCTTCAGGATCGAAACTACTCCGCTCGAGCGTGGAGCAAGATTTCAGGCTTGAATACACTAGAGATAAACCAAAATGAGCTGGCGTTCCTCGAGGCGGTGGGCTGGAAACTCCACATCTCGGAGGCCGTCTTCCAGCGTTGGACGGACATTGTTCTGAAGTACACTCCTAGCGCGGGTGGTTCTCCAAACGGCGAAGGCCTCACTTGGCGGGCCGTTATCCCCGTCCTCACTCCAGAACTTGACACAGTCGATCTGGAAGCCGACCGGTATCGCGGTGTTGTTGATCATGTCATGACTGGCACTAGCATCACCCCGTCGCCTAGTCCTACGCCAATCCCGGACAGATTGTCCAGTGTATCACCACCACAACCACAACCGACTAATGACCAGACACCCACGGGACTGAGAATTGTCTACCCAACTCTTGAGCCAAACCCGTATGCCCAGCTCCCTTCTCTCCCGAAATTTGCCTCTCTCCCCACTCCACAGATGACCCCGCAGACAGGCTCTGTCAACACTCCTGCAGCGAGCGTTGGTGGATTCCTCTCTCGGAAACCCTCCATCTGTGCCGCCATATCCCAAGCGCGCAGCATCTGCGCCCAGCGGACAACCTTTGAGGCCCGCCCCATATGTACTTATAGTAAGACCGCCCCTGCCGAGACCTATCCCAGCATAGGCCGCCGTTCCTCTCTAGCCCGATCTGCCTCGTCAACTTCATCTCCGGAGTCCATGATCTCCGACGTGCCCTCCCTGATATCATCATTATCGTCCCGCTCATCCCGCTCATCACGATCGTCTTCCATTTCGTCCGTCGCATCAGGGACCTGTGCGCCTGCGCAGCCAAGGTTGGCTACGCGGGCGACTCGTCGATGCGCGAACCTGCAAACTTATTCCCTTGCTGCTCCCGCAGCGAACGAAAGCCGGAAGAAGAACCCGTCATTCACGGCGGCAACGAGCGTGCCGACGATCGACGAAGGGAGCTGGTCAGAGTTCTACGCGTCGCCAGAGTCGTTCTCCACACCCATTTCTACGGAGTCAAGCAACATGGGAGACCACCAGCACGTCCCCAGCTTCGCCCTGGACGCGTCTTCCATCGATCTAGCCCACGAAGCTGCTCAGGGCCTCTGTGAGCTTTCCGGCGCCCTCCCCCGCTCTTCCTACTTTGCCCCTTCACACCCAATCCCCTCTCGCACCACCACAGTTTCGACCGCCGACTTCTCTACACCACTGTCTGACATTTCCGCCCGCACCTCACGCAAACGCACCCGCACCACCTCCAACGACTTCGCCCTGCACACAAACGTGCGCGAAAGGA